GCTCGTGTTCGGCTGTTGTTAACTGCTGCCTTCTTGTTCTTCCTTTCTTTGATCTTGTCCAGTGTTTCTATAGAGATTCATTCCTTATGATGGTATTTCTTTAGACCCAGAACCTCTTGACACGTTGAAGTTAACGCTTCCTTGATGCCTTTCCAGTTGTCCTCCATAGTAGTTTCTTCTTCTTTCAGTAGATCTTGTAAGGCTTGGAACCTGTTGTTGAGAGCTATCTTGAATTCATTGAGTTTGACAGGATCTCGAAGGAAGGCTGTATTGAACCCTTGTATTGCTGTTTGTCCAGTTGTCCAGTTCTTTTTTAGCTTCAGTTTCAAATTGGCTACAACTAGGTGGTGATTTGAAGATACGTCAGCACCTCTCCTGGTTCTCACATCTTCCATTGTCCTTCGGAATTTTTTGTTGATGCAAATATGATCTATTTGGTTCTCTGTAGTGTGGTTCGGTGAGATCCATGTAGCCTTGTGTATACGCTTGTGTGGAAGATAGTGCCTCCTATGACCAATTTGTTGAATGCACATAGATTTACAAATCTCTCTCCATTTTCGTTTCTTTCTCCCAGTCTATGTCGTCCCATAAAAGAAGGGGCATCGGCCTCGTGGCTTCCGAAGGAACTCGGCTTTCACCATGAAGCGTCATAATTGTTCTAAATGAAGACCTTCTAACTCTCAGGGTAGAGTTAAAATGGTTTGGATTATTTTTTCTGGTAGGCGTTTTTTTAGCGAGTTAGTTTTCTACGGGATGGGGACGCTAACCCCATGCCCAACCCTCCTCCTTTACCATGGCTTGGGACCGGCAGCAACCCTATAAGAGCTACAGGCGGAGTTACGCTTGCCTTCAAGGAAGAGAGAGTGCCAGTGGCAAAAAATGATAAAGACTGGCCACCGGCAAGTTCGTTGACGCAAGATGTATGTCGCGATGTAGGGTGCATCAAAGTACGTCCATTGTAGTGCGATTCAGCGTAACTGCATTTTTTAATAGCGTTTTTACAAATACATATATTCTGCCAATTAACCATTTGTATGTAAATAAAACTCTTAAGCACTTCTGTCTAAATATAATAAGGAATCACATGTTACTAAACAGTTAATTTTCTCTCAATTGTGTTCTTTTTATCACCCTTACACTTGTTTCTATTCCTCTAAACAGAGTCTATTTTAGAGGCTGTATATACACAATTTCGAATTGGCTCGTGATTTATTTTACCATTAAAAAGCTTGCATTAATCGAACAGCAGTAATAGAGATAACACATAAAAGCAAGTTCAATTATTTTGGGGACGTTAGATCCCCAGAACTCACCTGGAAAAAGTCCTGATATTGCAATTTCATCTTGAAAATTTGAATTTATTTGTTTTGGCGCTGAAAGCTCTGTTTTCACCTTCATGTCGTATTTTCCAATTGGGAGAATCAAAAACGCTATTGATCCGTTATATTTTTCAGTACGCTATTTTGTAACCCTTCGCAAGGACGGTTTTGTGCTGTATATATACGTTTTGATTTGTGTCTGTTGTTCTCGCTCGTTCTTCAGGCTTTTTGTGAAACATGCTTTCTCGTTCGGCCTTTGACTTCTATCTTTAATTGGCGGGGCTGGGATGCATCAGAATAGCTAGTTTATTGATATTTGGTCACAGGTCTGTGTTCCGTTCGCGGACTAAATTAACTTCTTATCGTTTCTAACATAGCAGATTAGTTATATATTAATAAAAAGATCGTCATTATAAATTTGTTAGCTTAGTATTACGTATTTTCAAAGCATATTAGAAAGTCTGACTTTAATTACTCCAGAAATGATTTTCGTTTATTTTGAGTCTGGGTTGTATTGCAGAGAGCTGAAAGGTCATCAGTTGCACTACGCACCGACCTATACTCTTCCTTGATGGAAAACACCATTTCATTTACAGTCATTTTTTTCAAAAACAAATACTTTTTTGGTGTAGGTATATCAGTATTTAAAGCTTGATTACAGTGTCATTAGATTCTGGAATACCTAACTTTGGATACGTAAGTGTAGCCTTAAACGTTAATATATTAGTTACAATAAATTACACCTTTACCTTACAAGTGAAAACGGAGGAAGAAACCCAAGTTACGGCAGGACGAATGTGGTTGTCGTTAGGTCCTTATGTAATGCATATATGCCAGTGTTTGCATAATGACATTGGCATTCTTACTGACTAGGTTTAATTCTGCCGCAGTTAAAGGGAGAGGTGATGTGGCGTTTAGTAACACAAACATTCTTTATAGTAATAAACTTAGGGGGCTTGAGAATTTTTGGGACTGTTTCGGCTACTTTTTTGTGACTTCAAAATAACATAACGAGATAGTGCTTATCTGAATAAGTCTAGAACTTCCAAAAGAAACAATCAAGAACTCCCACTCTAAGTACTCGGTAAGGAATTATCTGCATTATCGTGGTAGGCTTAAACACAGCCTAAAATATATAACTGCACAATCAGTGTGTTGGTTATTGGCCATATTTGTTCAGATACTGATGCATAATGATTAAAGTGATTCGAATCGGTAACTGATTGTGGACAAGCAGAGACACAGCTTAATGACTGAAACATGTGAATTCCTTTCCTCTTCTTTATTTCTACAATTGACTTTCTGAGGTTTATTGCCTGTAATTCTGAGGAATAATATATTATTTATGAGATCAGAGCACTATTACATTTTTAACACACTTAATAAAACCGATTCTAAATTTATTTCTACCCAACAATCCCTTTTCTTTTAGTCCAGAGTTTTCTAACGAACGATCATTACTGCTTGTAAGATTCTAAAAGCCACTAGTTTGATTATTGATTTGGCTTAGTTTTCTGGAATTCGTATACAATGTTATTTGTAACTAGAGGTATTCTTCCTTCTGAATTCTGATTGATACATTTGATCTTACCTGGTGTAGTGCGTAACTCAATTTAATAATTAGATGAGGATAAATTTTCCACTCAGTTAGCTTCTGAAAAACAACAACTGTTCAAACAAAATTATTGGCTCGATTAACCAAGTAATCATTAATTTTTAGTCAAAGATCTTTTCCATCTTACTGTGTTGTTTTACTACACTGTGTTTGTGAAAAGTGTGGGAGTAACGTTTCTGATTTAGTGAGTATTTATGGTGTTTAATACGGACAGGTTAAATGTGTATAACCATACGCTCATTTTGGAATACGATATCTGAGCATGTAACTGTCAGATGCTGTAGTTCTTTAGTTTGTCCTCAACTATATGACAAACTCGAATGCATTACACGTGAGTCTTATTATGCTTTTGTTTCATCACCTGTCCTTTTGTTTGCAATTAAAATTCTCTTGTCTTATTGATGAATAAATACTTGAGGCACGTCTACTAATTGACAACAGAAATTTGGATGCATTTCAATACGATTCGGTTTGAACTAGTAAAATGACGTCCTGGATTTATTTTACTACAATACAATTACTAGGTACCTATTGTCAGTACAATTTCTATTCTAGTGTAATTGCTGACAGTTCGATGTACCATTGTCAATAATAATCTTATTCAATCACAATGGGGTCTAAATCTGGTGCTAATCCAATGCTACTAGTATATAAGTTTAGTTGTATTCATTCAATTTGATTACAGATTGATTGTTTACCGCTACTGCATATGCTAGACAATTCAATTACTTGAATAAACATCCTGAGACACAATCATATGCTTGAGCTGTCGACTTCTAATTTCGATTACCAAACTATCTTAGTCTTACGTTTATGTTATATATAATTGCTGTCGATTTTTTCCATTATTCTCTGTACTTAGAGTCGTCGATCCACATTTTTCTCATTTTTTCCTCTTCCACGTAATCTCATTTACTGATCCTAACACTCCAAACTCTCCCTGAGCAAACGAAGTACCTTCAGGCGAGACGTGGACCTACCAAAGGCTGGAAGTTACATTCAATTTTGGTTATCATCATGTTTTTCATCAGTCCTTGTTCATCTAGTGCAAATTGGAAAATATTTCACTATTGTTGATACCGATAAGGTCATGTCTTATTGTCTATGTGTTGTAGATGTGGGGTTAAATTCAGTCGTTAGTATGGTTGGTACGCTATTTGGATTCCTCGAGTTCACAGCTCAGTCATTCAGAGCTAATGTAGTAGCTTTTCATGGTTTGGGAATCAGAGTAGTGAAAGGAAAAGGAAGGAATGTGATCAAGAGATGTTACTAAGCAACTGGATAGTTCATCAGCGCACGGAAGTATCCCACAATTTCTAGATTTGTACCAAAAATTAGATTTGATGCTTGTTGAAGAAATATTAGCTAACTGCTGTCTTGCACACTTGCAAAGGAAATGGGTTGTGATTAGTCCAACCGTAGGCAATAGGGATTGTAAATAGAAACCTTCTTATATTTAAGAAATAGTTAAATCCAATTCCATCGTTTTTGGAGCATTTTGTTCATGTTTGTTTATACAATACATATTCTTCCAGGAAGGTATTGTTTACCACTCACAAAAATCATAGTGCTCCGGCGTAAATCATAGATACAAGCATCTCATTAAAATCCAAGGTTTTCACTCAAAAATTGTTGGATCTAGAATACTGCTGGAGAATCATCTACAACCATTTAAGAATAAGAGCTATTCACTAAAAGTCATACCTTGGAGTTTAAGCGCTAAATGCCCCATCACAAGCATGATTGGTATTGGATGTTGGAAGGTAGTCAGATTACTGACTAACCAGACTAGCTTTTGTTGCCGAAAAGTGACTCTTTTAAATTCTTTTCATGTAAAATTACAACTAAAGTTGAGTGAATAAAATCTGTACATCAGTTAAGAAATCTTTTCGAACATCAAGAGCTCCGAATTGCTTATCATACTCAACGATTCGGCGAAACAATATATACAATAAAAATATAAACCTTTTATTTTTTGAAACCGTTGAAAATAGAACCTAACAAATCCTATTATTCATTGCTTTACATTTTCGGGCTAAGAATATGTTTTACCTAGTCGGTTTATTCGGCCTCATTAATGAGCTACATTTGAAAATCTACTCTGTATTCAATGTCATATTATGTTAACCTTACTTTTTGTTATTAAAATGTCACAATATCACGCCTTCATTAAAACGTACTGTTGATTGTGATTTTACCTAATAAACTTAGGTAATTGTTTGTTGTTTTTTGACTTTTATGTTTACAGATTTCAATAATTCTCAGCACACTCCCTCGGTACAAAACTTACCCTCAAATGAAAAGTAAACTGTTCCATATCTACAAATCACCGCAAGACTTTCCTTAATGTTTATCACGCTCATTCCGTAGATTTTACGACACATAATATGGTTATTTTTACTTTCTGTCTTTTTATTTTAAGGTAACACTTATTTTGATTAAACATCTATGATATTACTTACTTAGAATTTACTTAGTCAAGTCAGGAGACTTCAATGATCTCATCCTCATCGACCAGCCCGAGTTATTGTCAAGATTACCACTCAGCTGGTCCTGGGACCTTATTCTTCAGAATCCGTATGAGGTAAGTTACCATCGTGAAATTTGATAAAAGTTTTGTTTTTACTCAGAGATCTTGCAAGTATCTTTGCGTCATTTTAAAATATGTCTGTCGTAAGGTGTTCTTCGATTGACCTTATGTTTTTTTCTTGACTGAATATGGCTAGTTGAAATGTAAGAATACTAAATGTAGTTACTTGGTAATTTATATAGTTGCAGAAACATCGCTGTATTGGTTTTAATATTTACAAGTTTATAAGTGTTAAGACCAGTGTATTGATGGATGGTATCGTATAAATTTGCACTATTGTAACAAGGTGTTCGATTTCTAGTGGTAAATAAATCCTCGAAATCAATAGCTCTGTAAGTCTTTGGCATTTTATGCTGGCCGCATTAGTTTTAATGGGCTCACCTAGCTGAAGGCGCTCGGTCATTCATCCTCACCAGATCACGAGTGAGTGCACCTTGCTTGACTTCTCCTACAACCACTGGTCAGTTTAGACTAGTTACTTATCGATGTATCAATATTCTATCAAATATATCTTCGAGCCTCTTCGCTTCTGACTCCTGATTTTACTGGATTGGTACGTTTTGATTTTAAAAAATGTTACTGGTTGGGGTGTTACCAAACTCAGAATACTTTTGACACCTGTATGTTGAACGGTTTCACTGGCTTTTGTTCTAGAGACTTAATTTATTTCAATAGTTCTCATTTGTTACGAATGTATTCCTCAACGATTTTGAAATTTCCAATCTTCATTTGAATATGCTTTTCGTCTTTGTTTATGCATAGTTATGTCTGGTTTGAAGCCAAATAACGACATGTTTTGGCTTCTGAATCAGAATCTTTTATTGCATTTATGCAGCTCCTAATGCATTATGAATTTTACACATGATATAACTGATCTGCCGTTTAATTGTTAAATTTGTTTTCAATTCGTCAACAGATAAAACTGTGACTACATGTTGTAGCAAAGAATTCCGCTTGTTAATTACTCGATAGGAAAATATCTGTCCAGACAAATAATGGTTTGTTCTGTACTTATTGACTTAGTTAATAAGACAAAAGCCAATGTTTAACATTTCCTACTTTAGCTCACTTAATTGAAGCTCTTTGATGTACTGATATTATCCTTGCTGTGAAAATCTGAGTCATAGTTAAACACCAGATAGTAATTCCAACGAATACGAACTAACAGTTAAATCTTCACCAGTTCTCAAGGGCTTTTCATCTGATATTACTATGTAACAAAAGCTGTTTCTAACAGAACAACAGACACATGAGCTCATGTTTCCTGATTACCCACATTAGTTTCCATCGTATACAACATATTACGTCTTTCTTATTTCCATTATTTGTTATGTTGAGATGTATAGTTTCTTAATCATTCTGTCATCACAAGGATTAACGATGCTACTTATTTCACTTTACTAATGCAATAAAGTGGTACGCTACTGTTTTTTACAAGAATATATTATGCTTATTTTAGATGTACATAAACATATATACATCTGTGTATTAAACTAGATTTTTTTGTTTATTTCGACAGAAGATGAATTTTTTCGAAAATACATTGGATGTCTGCACTTTTAGGCTAATCAGTGTTGGTTTATTAGACAAAAACGTTTTACAACCCATACCAGTATTGTCTTAGTATGAATGAATTGAGTAACACCTGAACGTTTTTGGAACTTGGTTCTATTCACCAGACTTTCAAAATTCAAAGTTTCAGATAAATACATCCAAGGTTTCTAGGTACAAACATGTGAGTTAGTATACAAGTAGCGTGATAGATGGATAAACATAAAACGTTCGTTCGATGTCTCTAATAAAATCCACTTAAAATTGATTATTGTATTCCCATCACACATAAAGCGCTCATTATCTAATAAACTCATCACTCATTTGATGGTATCATATTAGGGTACTTCAACAAAATTCCTAGAATAAAATTTAAAAGTCATTTTGTTAATATTGTAGTTTCGTTTAAATCTTAAAGAACTCATGATTCTTCGTAATGATAGCATGTAATCTTTATCAATAAAGCATTTAGTGGATTTTAAATTCTACAAACCTATTTACTTTTTATCTTATAGGGTACAGTAGAAATTTCTGAATCTCCTGTAGACAAATTCCAGATACTTATTAATATAACTGGTAGTCACTTAAGTGATCAAGAAAGATTGAAATATCGTCTAAGAAGTACAGAAGATTCACTTTTTGTTGAACTGGTATGTTTTGATGCAACAATATTTCCTACGCATTTAACTTTGTGAGAATATTCTTAGTATTACAGACATTTTTCACGTCGTATTTGTGTATATGTACAGAATGTAGAGGACATTTTGAAAACTGATTGAATACGTAAACTCCCAGTTTAGACACACTGATGAAACAGATATTTTTATTTATAATGGTTCAGCATGACTCCATTGGTCGACATAGCTATGCTATTTATAGTTACATGATGATTATTCTTGGCAAATATTTATTTTTTGTCAGCAGAGTGGGAATGAATTTCAAGATAGACTCTTCAATTGTCAAAATAACTCATCTCAAACTGATATCTACCCGGTCAGTGGAAACGTTTCTTTATTGTAAATACAATTAGTATTCGATTGTAACATAAATAAACTTAAATTACTTCATCTATCATAACTTAAAAAGTCTAGAAAAAGTTGTTGAAAATTTCAAACATAGATTGCTCTTTACTTACCATCTATAACGTCAAAACATTTCATACCTATTTCAATTGTATTGTAGTGAACAAGAACACCAGTGGGAACAGTCGAATGTATTTAACACAAACTTACAGGACTTGTCAACAAAATTTAGCAATCATAAAGTAAATGCCTAATTTGCGAAATGTCCATCAATTGTCCCAAAGTGACTCAGACTTCATTGTTCTTGCATTTTCATACAAATTGCATCCTGTTTCCATTCTTTACTGTTGGATCCTCTTGTCTCTCAGCTGCCAGACCTTATGTTCACAACGAACATCATATACTACTTATGTCAATATAAGTAGCACACACCACAGTATCAGTGAATTTTCTACGAGGGATTTGTTGGGTCTCTTTTGTTTTATGAGAACAGTGCGATTGCCCTTTCCCAAAAATTAGCGATTAAGGTCGTGTTTCTTAAAATCTGTTCCAGAAAATTTAATCGGAGCAGTGAAATTTTTTGATAACATTACTTTTCTATGATATTGCTATTACCTAGATGTGTTTACTGACTGCTATTACCATTATTTCCAAAGAGAATCAAATATTACACTTTATTTGAAATTAGAGTTGTATGCATTTAATAAATTGTCCTCCATTATTATGTGGATCACAATTGAAGTGTCACCTTTACACACTTATTTTCATCACAGATTATGCTGTGATGAATAGAACTGTCTACAAAATTAATTCGAACTTCTTTGAAGTAATTGACTATGTGAAGCAGTCAAAGGTATCTGAAGTTTCTTATTTAATCTAATCTGACTTGATAGTTGTTCTTTTCGTACTGAGTTTTCAATCTTATGGGATATAACTATAAAATTATGTCAAGTTCTATCCTATTATGTACGAACTAAAATATCTGCCGCTATGATAACAATAATATGAACTTGAATTAGTTCTTGAAAATACTTCCTTTTAAAAAAGCAAATGATTAGAATAACACATGAAATCATTGAACGTTAAATATTTTTTATTCATTTACTGAAACCTTGTGCTAAGAAGTATTTGTTTCTGATTTTTGAAAATAATGCACTTTGTGTGTAGTCTAATCTTTTCTCTTTGAAAAAAATTATTTTCAGTATCCACAGTTTTCATCTCCAGCTCATCGTAATGATGGTGAAGAAGAGAAAATCTATTTACAACTGTTATGCGTTACAATTATATCCCTTGTTCTAGTTGTATTTGTTGTTTCTATTATATTTTCTTGTTGGTGGACTAAAAGTTATAAAATACCAATTGATTTAGGTATTACAGATGCTGGTAAGTTGTCTACATGTTTAGGCTTTTCTTCTAATTTATTAGAAATGATGATGAATTTACTAAATGGGAAATGGCAATAAAACTTGACTAAGATAAATTCTATACATAATGATTGTAATCTAGTTAAATAACATAGACTATTGGCATTTATTTGAACTTGAACTCCTGGTAAACGTTTGTACGAAGTGAATATTTGGATGGACATACTCCTTAAATATTTCGGAGTCTGCCTTTTCCATTAGACGTTTTTTAAATATTGTTCAGGTGCTTAATGTGATACTGGCTTCTTCTTCTTCAGAGACCGTTTCTCTAACTTGTAAGCCAAAATTATACTGAAACACAAGAGGTACGATTTATTATAAGTCAGTAACCAATTAAGTTCAAATGTCATTCATTTCACTAAAATCCTTCGGCCTACAGCTTCCATTTGTTTGAATCCGATGTTTCTCAACTCCTATAAATGGCCACTCTGAGTCTAGATTAAAAGTTCGCTTTGGCTCTGTTGCTTTGTAGGATCCCCCCTCGCTATGTAAAAGGAGTGAATAATGTATCTCTGAAAGCGCTTATAAACGTGTGACTATACGAGAGAATTTTATTCCTCATCATCATTCATACCACTTTATTAAAGAGCCTGTACCGATTATGAAGTACAGCTATGTATCATCGCATTTTGATGTGGAGGGCTAGTGAAACCATCCGAAAATGATATTTGAATTTTTAACAACTTTGAATAGTTAATTCAAGAACGACCTACAAAATAAATCATTTTGTAGATTGAAACTCTTTAAGCCCCCAATAATAAATGTCAACAAATGGCGCTGACTAGAATAACCATGAATAAAACTACTAATGGAAAGCATCCATTCATCGTCCTCGAAACTACCAGAGTCCATTGCTAAAAGCTTTTAAAATCTATTGGCAATAGTTTCTACCTTGTGATCTATCATTTCTCAAAAATAAGAAAGGGAGATACCTTCAAATCATATTGCTAAGTTTTTAATTTTGTTAATTTCCAGAAAATCGTTGAATAAGTTTTGTCTAACATTTAAACTACAGAATGTGCAATTATTCATTTTAATAATAATTGAATCGTTGAATGGTAGATGCTTTTATGAATAACCAGTCTGACAAATAAACAATATTGTATCCCTGACATATAAAATATTTCTGATAACGGAACTTACATTTTAAAATCCTCATAGTTTAAAACTGATTGAACATTACTTGACATTTCCGTTTAAGAAATTCGGAGATATGACGTGAAAGCGAACCAGTGTAAATAATCAACCTTTCAAACAATCAGTATTGACTTGTGATTTCACTGTGCGGAAATTTTAGGCTGAAATTGGTCGATTCTTCTTGTCATATGTGCATCATGGAAGGGTTGCCTTGATATAACTTCTGTCATATGTTTCACTATATTTGAATTGTCACTAACGCTGGAATCCAAGTCTTAATTTTCATACTGAATGGGACTCAGCTGGACATACTTGTATTCAAATATTTATGTTCATATAGAGACTAAGCAGTTGGGTCTCTGAGTTTTAACAACGAAAAGTCATAAACAACTTCTAATAACTTCATTCCTGTCAAGCAAGTTATAAGTATTTAAACTCAACAACACACTTGGTGACGCCTTAGCGCTTGAAACGAAAGGTACCAAATTCAAATCTTTATTTAAAGAATAAGACAGGATGCAGGTATGTCCAGTTGAAGTGTTCTGAATAGAACAGAACACAACCGGAATGCTACTGGTAGTCTTAATCCCAACGTAAAAATGCTCACAAATAACTGTTTACTTACTAGATCAGATGATATTCATCATAGATGTAACCCTTTGATCGATAGTTCTCATTATGGAAAGATTCATATTAAGTTGAAAAATTTATCTACAACCCTAGATTTTATCTGTTTCATTGAAGACATAACACACTTTTTATGAGTAAAATTTTTTGGCGAAAACGCTTTATGATTTAAATGCTGATTGCTAGGTAAAAAAGCATCAATCTTTCACACATACAAATATACTACAGTCCAAGTTTGTCTACTTTAAGGACCATTATTTCAATGGATGTTCTTATTCCTAGTGGATTTTAAAATAATTGTTTAATAGTCAAACTGTTTAAGAGGCTACGAAATTTAAACAGACGTTTAAGATACCATGGTTATCAGTTGCTATTACGGATTGTTATAATTCGACTACCCATGCAGACTTAGTTTAATGAATCTAAAATAAGAATTCAAAAAATAAATGACCACAAATTGAAAATGTGATTTATTTTTTCTCTTTTAACCTAGTTTACTATATTTCTTTGAAACATGAGGTAATTTATGCACTGATAATAATAAAATTCAATATTTATTTATTTATTTATGTTGTTACATGTCTGGTGACTTTTAATTTTTTTGAACGTATTAAGTGCTGTTTATGCATAAATTCATATTCTTTGGTGTTGTTATGTTGTATGTACAAGAGAATTTTTAAAAAGTGAAACCTTGATTTCACAGTTTACACTAGGGACTGATGTTAATGAAAATTGTAAATGAAAACTGGGAAACACTTGCATGGAACTCCTCAGTAGTGCTCATTCACTACCCCACCGGTGATCGAACTGGAGATTCTTAGACTTTGTAACGAGTGTCCAATCCTTGACACACTGTTGCTATTTAATGGTTTACATGCAAACCACTACTAAGGCATCTCCTATTAGGAAAAAGTAGCTTTCCGTTGCTTTCAGTAGTTGTTTAGCTAACAACAATTTGTGAAACAAACTGGAATCTAGCAACCTCCATAACACCCTATAATAAAAAATATCAATTGTTTTGAAAGCGTAGAAACATTTATTGTTGTTGTTTAAGTTAATTTGCCAATGAACTGAAAACAATCTTAGTTTGATTTTTTTCTTCATTTTAAGGCTAATCATTTATGTCATAATTGTACTTGCACAATTGAACCTCACTCATTCAGTCTTTTTAGTCATTAGAGGTTAAATATCAGAAATAACTTATTTTATTTGGTCACAATTTCCTAGCACTTTATATGACATTTGTATTTTATCTACCGTGCTATTGCATGTGTCTAGAATCTGACGTGATTAATAACAGTATAATCTACTTGTCGTCTACTGTTTACATCATTTTCACATCAGATAACACTTATTAACACATTTTTTGTCAAAAATTCATTTGAACATCGGGATATTTTATTGCAAACATTGAATGATATGAAGTTCTATGATGATTTCGTTTTTGTTGACCAAAACTGTTTACTGTTTTTGAATGTTAAATTTTGTTACAAATCATCTTCATAGATATTTTTCTAACTAAAGTTGTACTTAGTGTCTAACAAATGTTCATTAATTCATTACTATTTTGGTCTTATTTTGAGTATCTTATTAGAATAAAATACACAGCATGAAGTTGTATGCTGTTTCTAGTTATGCATTTTCAGTTACTATAGTTATTATTAGCATTAATGATTTTAGTTATTAATTATTTATTGTGTCCATTAGAATACTGCATGTACTACTGTCAAGATTATTAAGATCTCTAATGTTTTTTAGAATTATGAATGGTAGCATCGATGTTTTCTATTGAAATAGATTGGAAAATATCTGTTGGTCGCCATATGCATGTTGATGTGGATCTTATTGTCAAATTGTGCTAAACGACATTTTTCCCATGTTGATTATGAAATATACATCATGAGGACGATTGCGGAATTTGAAGTTAGCTTTAGTCAAGTGTAGGATCTTAAACGAACAGTTTTGGGAAGTCCTGTTTAAGAGCTGATAAATCTACAGAGTGTTTCTAGGTTGTAAAAGATTCTCCAGATGATATAAGTGTTTGGTAAAATCAAATCCAACTATCTTACTACTGCAGTGGCTATTCAGTTTAGTCAGTTTCTACTATTCCCAATTGATCGTTACATGTTATGGTTGATGACCAAACTATACATCACAAAGTATCAAACAGTTAATTAAATCGAAATAATAACAATATTCTCTTATGTGTTTCCTAAATACTATATTTTATCAGGATGGTTTAGTAGACGGAGAGAAGAAAGATTCAAGGAAGAAATCAGCTGAATCTGCATCAAACGTCAATGTAGCTAATATATCTACAAATTCTGGAAATCAGTGCGAATTGATTGAATTAATATCAACTCCACATTCAAGATCTGAAAATAACAATCAAACAAAAGCACATGTAAGCTTTTTTTACTTTTGTACAGTAGTAATGATGACAATAATTAATTGTGTCATATTGAGAAGAGTCTTAAAGATCATGTTTATAATTAACTGAGAAACCCTGAGTAACTATTTCCTCCCCATAAGGATTGACAAGACTTGAGCTATCTCAAGCCCTTAATTATCAACCATGTCATGACTAAAACTCCATCAAAATAATAAATGATAAATTATTAGTTATTACGCTTATAAATTCATTCACTTCTTGTCACTATGTAGAAACTGAATGCTGATTTTCTAAATTTGGTATTTTATCTTAATTTTCCATTTGGAACGAAACGGTGAATGCTTACTGAATTGTCATTCATTTAGTGCTTCTAGTGGTTGATTTATAGATGAAATCTTTCAATGTGATACAATATGTACATCACAAAAGTAGCCGTTATTCACTGTATCAAAAAGCATGATTTGAGTGGGAGTTCACCTTGATAAGACTTGTTTAAAGATATGACTTTCAAAGAATCGACAGTTTTCGCAACGTTTTCTTAACTGTTATCAGAAACCTAAAGTTGATGCATCCGTATGACATTTTTGGATAAAAATGACTTTCAGTATTTCGAATTCATATGATTTATCATAATCGACTTTTAGCATATTTCCAAACACATAAAGTTACAACATATGACTACTGATAGTCGATATCAATACAGATACTTTGTGTTAATGACAATAATAATAACAATAATAATGATAATAATAATAATGATAATAATAATAAAAACTGATTTAATTCGGTTATATTTGTCACTGGTTTTTTCTTCACAATTCATTTATCATTCACATATTTGCGGTTGATCCATTTAAAATCATAAAGCATTTTCGACAGTTAATCATCAAGTAATTTTCTAAGTTTTTCGTATGACAAAACAATGCGTCTATCTTCTGTCCTAAACCTAACGGGGTTTAACATAAATCCACAAACTTGCAGAAGGTATTTTTGTACAGATAATTCAAGGAATATTCATATTAGATATTTAAAACCGCTAAGACGCTGATTATGGTTGGTTGAAATAGAAAAAGTAAACTCTTGTCTGTAAATAATGATGGTTTTCGTTACGAAAGTACCACCAGCTAGTGAGACACCAATGAATCGTCGGAACTGAGTTGTTTTGCCTTTGTTTAAGGCTCCTCGGCAAGAGATACTTATCACCACATTAGAGATCAGACATAGGACCTCTTGGTATTGTGATGAGCAAGCAGTATTGTTATACCACGGAATTCGAATTCAAAGGTCTACATTTCCAAGTTAGATCAGTTTGCGATCTCCTATATATCGGAATGTCTGACACAGGGTTTACGGAAAGGTACTGTGACCAGTTTATTATTCGCTGAGTAGTACTTTACCATAGCCTTAAACTTCTTGGTTTTAAGTAAATGTGAAATTTTTGTATGTCAAGACTAATTATGCTTATATTAACATACATTAACTTGAAAACGAAATATCTTACCAATGTTTAACTAGTTAAGCTGAGAAGGATTTTCAGGGCTATGAGTATGGTAATGATAATAATCATAACATTGACCAGAGAATGACCATTTGTAACCGAAAACAATGTTTATGGTCCAAATAATTGGGCGTTGTAATAACAATATTGGATTTTGAGGGTGATCGTTTGTCTCTTTAAGATATCGAAAGTAATGATGGGATGCCCAAAATACCCAGATACATAGTGCTAGCTAGAATCTGTGGATCAGTCACACTTGTTTAAAATATCCCTGGCTATGTATGTTACTTCTTCCATAATTTAATTAATAAGATTCAATAAATATGAATTTTGCACGGTTGATTTAAATGGTAGATAGGTTACAATTAAAGGTTATGTATAATGCTCTTGAAATCTCCTTTGACACTTGCAATTTACAAAGTTGTTTTGCTTATTTTGAATTCAGTAAGAATTTACTGCAGGAAGTTTGATGGTCTGTGAAGCAGAGGTTTGTTCATTCATTAAGTCAAGCAGTCTCTTACACACGACCATTATTGCATAACGTTTAAGACAAGTTAGTTTATAATTGTCTAATTTTGGAATTTGTTTTTGCTGATCATTATCAGAGTTGTATCGTTATACGTGGTGTACACTACTTCATATATGCCTTAAATGCCACTCATTAACTGATAACTCCACTTTCAGGGAATAAAATCATCAACTCCTAGTTTTCTTGAGTAAATTTCATGACGCGACTCACGTTTTTTCCTTATCTACAATATTCGTCAATATAACAAACCCAACAGATCCACTCTTATGGAATGATTATTAACCCCATATTTTTGTATACATATGACAGGTTTACGTCTCACCGACTGTAGCGTATGCCACTGTTTCTATTGGAAACAATCCACAATTAAACGTTTCAGCACTAACGACTATTCTACCGGCAAACTATCCATTACCACGTTATGTTGTGGCAGCTGGTGAAATGAGGAATACTGGAAACAATAACAATAATGTGACTTCGGATTTAGATCGATTACCAGATGGGACAATTATTGGCACACCAATATTATTATCAGCTAATTCTTCGAATGGCGTTATCGCAGGTCTTCTTCCAGATTCTAGCAGTGGGAATATAAATCCATCCGTTACCTATGTGAAATTAGCTAAACCATTCGTCGTAAGCTGTGAACAAAAAGTTGCGTTAGATGGATTACATATTAAAGAAGATCATCCGCTTGTTATGGGATCTGTTCAAAATGTGGATACTTCCAGTACACCAAAAACTCTAGGTAAATGAAAGTGCATCTAACTTCACAGTTCACAGTACATGGTTTCTCATTTGTTCGGAAATGTAATGTCGCGTCTAGTTATTACCTATAATTATTTAGAGATTTTGAAACTTGATTTATTCACATAGAAGACCATGAGATTCAATAAGAACGAAAAGCGTTCCTTTTCTGTGATAAAACGTTTTCTATGACATATTCCTTTCATGAAACACCACAATACCAAATTTTAAGGTCATGTCTTGTGCAAATAAAATTAATAGCGCGGAACTATTAATAAATTTCTTGAATCACAAGTCAAATGTTTAACTTATATTAGTTACTTGTCATAGATGAAATACCATTCCATATTCATGAATGCATCACATATTCATATATTTTGTGCATGGATTCTCTAGTGATATGAAAAATGTGAATTTGAATGCCACAAACATCCGTTATTTGAATCCCCTTAATCATATAAGCTTGAGAGTAGAATTAGTGGTTGTTAGAAGTCATTTTTATACAAAGTTGTTTATATTAGATAGAGACAATATCAATTTTCAGATCCTAACGAAAAGTGCAATTGCTTAAATTGTTTCATTCCTCATGTAATTTTCGAGTCCTCTATAATACCTGATTGTTAATGTTTCACTTTTCAAATCATATGACTTTGCTAGGATCAAGTTTATAGCAATTAAGGCATATTCATTGTGTATTTCAGTTTTTTGACGCATCAATGAAAGCGTTTCCTTAAGGTGAATTAGCATGATCAATTCAAAGTAAAGACAAATCTCCACAAATATCGAATTGAAACATTTCTAGTCTATACTTAGGTAAATACTAATTTTGAATATTTTATTTTAATTCTATAGCTACAAGTTCTTTGCGCTTGAGAACACTTCCTTCAAGACGTCATGTTGCTAAGGAATTTCTCGATGAGTCTGTCCTAGCTACAATGTCACGTTCAAGAACTCCTCTGAATAATAAGATTGGTGTAAATCAAATTACCCAAGTTCATAGTGAAGCGGTAATGACTACAGCGCATACTTTACCTAGTGGTGCATTAGTATCTTTAAATCCATCAGTTCTGTTAATTCGAACAAGTCAACCAGTTAAAACTATTAATGAGGAATGTGAAGGCGGTATGAATGAAAGTAACCAATTCAATGTTGTAACAACACTCCCTGAATTATTGTCTGGTAAATCTGTTGGGACAATGTCTACTGGAAGTAAGTTCAGTTTATCACGCTTTTATTATTTAACTAATTCACAAAAGTCTTTCGTTTAAAAATAGATGGCTCCATTAATTAATTAACTTTTGACTCAGTATACATTTGTGGCTAAATATGAAATTCATACCCAAAATAAACTGTTTTTCATTATCGTTTGTTGATAAAAATGTCATGTAAGTATAGGGAATTTCATTGAAAACATGAACCGCCCAATGTTAGACCACCATTGAAAACCTCGAGGAACTGGATAGTCGTTTCGTTCTAGTATGGAGCTTAGAAGTGAGAATCCATGACTCCGCGTTCGGGAATCGAGCCACTGGATGCTAACTGAGTTGTCTACCGGTTAAGAGTTAAGGCACGAGACAGTGGGTCTTGTATTCGATTCCCACGTGTGGGATCGTGGATGTTCTCCATTAAGGAGTCCCTTACTAGAGTAAAACGATCATTCAGTGCATCAAGATTTTCAGTCGTGGTCTTACATTGGTCGGTCTATGATTTTATTAGAAATGCTGTTTTAAATTTTCGTTTTAAGAAAATTATTTAAAAAACTGGTTTTCTGAAATACTTTTGGATGTGGTTCTTTTAGGAAGCCGTCTAGCTATTTAGCTTTTGGTATTCATTGTTAGTTCCTTTTTCTAAATGGTCATCTCCATAACATTTTTATAACTCATATTTCCTCAATGACCTTTGATGTGACCTGATTAGCTATAGTCATGTTTAATCTTAATATCATTGATTGTTACGGTATATATATATCACTCTTAGCTGAATTTTTTGATTGCTGATTACCAGTCAGTACTGTATTCTACTTTATAGTACTGAATAAAATCAATCCACTATAATCCGTTGTATATCAAGCCAATTACACTATTTCATATTATTATAAGTTAGTTATGTTGTACACAAGGTTCATGAAACCTTTATGAAATCTAGGAACCAAAATTCGTTTATTTTAAAGATGCGATATTTTTGTGGAAATGAGAATTTCAACGTTGCAACCAAAAATTTCACACTTGTGTCGCATTTGAACTTCGGCTGAGGTAATGTCTATAGGGATTTAAAGAAAATTTGCCTATTGCTAATCACGTAAATTATTTACTAGAGTTTCATCTTAATTACTCCTGATATTGGCTTATGGTCTTTGTCAATGAATAAACTCCTTGCATAAACATGTAGAGATTGTAGTAATGCTGTAATCACAGCTTATCTAGAAAAGAAATTATTTTACAACACTTTTGAAACTTATGTCAGATTTAACGTTGAAAATGTGATTTATCAATTCATTGATCGAATTATTATCTCTTCATTAGTACTATTGCTTCCGAATTACTGATATTTACTATGAGTTTCGTATTCCACTTATTAAATCATATATTTATTGATCGCTTCCTTTTTCACTTTATAAAGCCCTTATTTTTTGACCTACGTACAATTATGAACTTCTTTGATTTTTAAATTATACTTTCGATTAATATGTGGTTGTTTTAGGATTTTGTGGGGGTATTTTGCTTGTGTTTATTTTTTTCATCATTAAAGTTGCCAGTGGAGTTCCCCTGTATGTCAGTAATTCTATGTCGGGTGCTTCGGGAGAATTAATGACAACTTCAAGTATCGGTTATATGCCATCGTTTTCAATTCCATCAAGTGTAATTCCTGTGTCGTGCGATTCTCATCAAATCCTTAATCATTATATACCTGGTCATGGTTCAGATGAAACAAGCGGTATTCTTTCAGACTCTGAAGGTAGTACAAGCTTTACAGCTGGAGCTCAAACAAACGCATTTTTTCTATCACATCCATTTTATCCGGCTTCTGGTAGTTCTGATGTGCAAGTTATACAACCGGTAATTAGTAGTAGTGGTATCATTCCTAAATCAACAAGCTCCACATTTTTAAAGTCGCTGACCTCACAAGTAAGTGAAAAATACAAACTATCAGTTGTAAGTTACAGTTAATTGTCATTTTGAGTTCTATTTTATACTTCCAGGATTTTGTACATAACCACTTATGGAATGTGATTCATAATGTGTACCCAAAGTTTTGATTTCTTTTCATTTTAAGTACGTGATTCTGAGTGATCGTTTTGCACATATGTTTTGTACTTTAGACAGATTTTAGTGGATTGTATAAGTATTGATGAAACCTCATTATGGAATGGACTGCTTATAATTTTGTGAATCTTTTATAAATCTCCGTTTGGAAACAAGTTCTCTTGAGTAGAAAATCATAGTAATTTCACAGATTTAAAAATGCTCAAACGATATCCTTAGTTATTTAACGTGTAACGGTTGCTTACCCAGTGGTATGAAGATAACATGACTTCCCCTAACATCCCAAGATCCGAATTTTGTTACTTGGAGAAATCAGGGCTATGCTCTACTAATGAGCCCCATATTATTAAACAAGTTATCTATTGCCTTCTGGTTTTCTCTGTTTATCTAGCTGGAGTCCATAAATAATATGGACTACCTTAAAATTGAATTATGTACACAAACGTCCCATGGTAATAATGTGAAGTTGATTGTTGAAGCATATGCTGGTTTTATGTAATTGACCTGTATCATAAAAAAATTACCTAATGACTTGAGAGGCAGCGTCCAGACAAATAAATAAATAAATGGTTTGTAAAAGTATGTCGGTAAGTTGTTTGCTTAATGAAAATTAAGTGCAAAAGATACAAAGTGTTAGAAATAACAACTTATTATCGAGTATCAAAAATTAGAAGGGTTTAGGATTATGATAGGACAAATAATTAGACTGATTGCTGTAGATTGGTTAAAAATTAAAATAATTTATTCCATAAACTCCTAATATAATGATGTCGTCATATGGATGATTATATGTAGCGTAGACCATTTGGAATTTATTAACCTAGATTGTAAAACTAGCAAAAATACCTCGACAAACTGAAGTGATACAACTTTAAAAGACTAAATTTTTAAATAAAATCTAAGTTGCAGGAGGATTTAAACAAATATTTTTGAACTTACCAGCTTCTTGTCAAATAAAATACATCATTAAGAAGCCAACCAATTTAAATTTTTTGTGAAGAGCTGTCATACGATTGTAATAAGGCTAGGATAATTTTATCAAGATTGTTTCCTACGAGATGGGGTCGCTGATCCCATTACCAAACCTTTATCCGGGCTTAGGGCACACAATAACCCTAGATGGGCTGCAGGTGGAGTTACTGTGAGAAGGGTAATCACTTGTATTTCACCAACCACTTTTGCCTGTACTAAGCGGAAATGAGACTTTACTAACAGGCGAGTCTGAGTTTGTATGGCACCATTCGAATAACGTGGAGAGGGCTATGTCAACCAATTCTTTCTTATCTCATTAACTCACTTTCATAAATGGAATTTGTCAGTCGTGGTAACGTCATATTATTTAACCAAACAAACAAAAGTAGAGTTTATGTGATCTCCTCTATTTGCTAACATCTTTCTTCACGTCATGTTTATTGTGGTTTGATGACATTTTGTTCAGTTTGTTGAAAATACCCCGTTTTGATATTAGTTTCATATTTTAGTTGAGAATTTGAATATGATGATAATTAGAACTGTGAGATCGTTAACGTTTCAGCTATACTGTATATCGATCTTTCCACACAAATACTAATATTCTTGATTTGATATGATACCTAAATGCTCATATTGAGTCCTATGTATTTGAAATTGACTGCTTACTGTCAACGAAACCTCGTATGATAAAGTTGTGAAAACGCTAAGGTATGTAAATTATTTTCATATTTCACTCTCCTTTCGAATTAAAACTCAATCACGTTTTCAAATAGTTCTTTATTTTATTTTTGAAAATGTGTTTTCAATTGTTCAAAGATTACAAATCCATCTGTATCAACTATTCTTCCATTAACTGTTCTAACTGAAAGATCCAATTCAAATGGTGCGACTTATATGTCTACTGATTTGATTGCTGAAATGGCATCTTGTCCACAACATAGTTATTTATTTAGGCAGTCCACTTCTTCTGCTCAAGAGACTGCTGTTTCTTTTAACACAGTTTCTGTGGGGACTACATTACCGACATGTGAAGTCACAGCTATTTCAATAGTTACAACATCGACCACAACCAGCCGACCAATTACCAGTAAGAAGTGTTTGAGTATTTAAATACTTAATTGAGATCTTTCGAATATTTTATTGTGTTGTTTTGCTTTCTATTATTTTTCTGCGTCCAATTTAATATAACAGTAGGGTGTGGGATAGTTAGATATCAGTTTTTCTCAATGAAGTTGTTTGTTTTTGTATGAAGAGCTGAACTGATAAACAAGATAGATGAAATATCTTTCATGGGCAGCTAGATTTAAAATGAGTGATGAAGTTCTCTAATTGACAGATGTATTGTACACCTGGATGATTTTGAATATTGGTAATTTTTGTGTTATTTTGACGACTATAAAATTACGATCTGCTGAAGCATGTTGAATACATTTATTACTAAGCTCTTGCAAAGGGATTCATAGCTCAGTAGTAATTTCACTAGATAAATAAATAATAATCTTTTTAAGACTGCTTCTTCAACTCAATAATTAATATCATCAGGTAAAGTACTTAGATCAAAACGAAGTTCGTTTACGTGCCTATCTTCCATGAATCGTCTATTATCTGTTGTTGTGGTTAAAAGATATTTCTGCTTGATAAGTTAATTTTTTATCTAAAGTTATAGCTTTTAAGAGTTCGACATTTTATATTTTGAATGGACTAATAGTTTAGAAGCTTACTAAAAATAATCGGGGAATGCGGTACATTAGTTATGTGGTAAATACCATTCTAACTTTTAGAGAAAGCACCTTAAATATATTGCTATTACATCTGTGTAAGGTAGTTTGAGCAGTTTCTATTTATTCTCAATGTTATGTGTATAAAACATATATCCTATTTAAATAAATTCTCATTTGATTTGTTATTTTTCCAAAATTTATTTTTAACCAACATGGGAAATAAAAGGCTGTACAACTAGTTTAGCTGTTGAAAGCAGCACAACCAGTTCAGTACAAACAATTGTTGGAGCTGATGAATTAATTGCTTCATCTAACGAATCAAGCATTAAATCAAATACAGGAAAAAAATCAGGACATGTTTCAAAAGACAATCTGGAAAAATTGTGTGATGATGGTGATAAACGATATTTAAGCAAAGAGCATCCCTCAACAAGTCAAAAGGTAGGTAAATCGTAAGATGTATTTCATCAGTTGCTCTTATCTCCTTTGCAGATTATTTCGGTGTTTTTTTTAAATCTAATGTTTTGAGTATGTACTTCGCACTAAGTAATTGTTAAATAATTCTACAAGATTGATAGCAGGTTCTATTCAGCTTACATTCTCATTCGCTGATACTCTGTTAAAAATATTCGCCAGTTTTGTGTATATGAATAGTCGTAAGGATGCTGATAAACATTTCTATAAATAAAGATAGAGTGTTTTACGCTGCTCGGTATAACCCCTAACATTGAGACGGTGTTAGACTAGAGAGGAAAAATCAAATGTCAAACATTCTAATGTGTGAGGTTCCTGGTTTGCATCTCCCTTCCAACTGGGGATATGCAACGACTTTTAATGTACAATTGTCCTCATTTCCAAGGAATTACTAGATAATATGTTGTACATGGTGGTCTTAAAATATGTGACTGAGGATACAGAAGATCATTAATACTCAGTTATTAATTTTATTTGGAGACACACTACTATTACTATTTTAAGCTCATTTTACTCGTGATTCTCACTAACTTCCATGTTAAACACTCCTTAACTCTCATACTTAGTGAAAGTTGTATAGGGGTTATCAGCTCGAAATATGATATTCTAGCATGATAGTTATCCTAAGTTTGAATCTAATATCTAATTGTGATTTCGTGAAGTGAGTTTTATGGATTGAGTACCTGATTTCCCTGGGATATCCGTTAGACATGTCGAAATGATCCTGCTGCATTTTACTTTTTACTACAGTTTGTACTTTGGATAAAATCAAATATTATTTGTATTCTCACTTAAACTCTGTTCTGTAATGTTCTTATTTTTGTTAAAGTCTATAATTTGTCCTGTTTTGCCCCGCTATTTCACCTTAAATTTTATAGTTTAAATATATGTTAATAATGGCGATATTTCACTTAGTATATTCAAAACTATCTAGTTCACCAAGTCTTGTTTTTCAGTATACCTATATTTCGTCAGTTGATTGGGAGTAACCATTATTCTTTTTTTTAAATGAATATACTCTTTGTAATTTATTTAAAATACTAGTTTGTCTATTTTCACTATATGATTGTGTGAACTTCGATGTTTGACATCTGGTTTGTAAATAATTTGCTAATGAATTGTTTATTCTAATATCGATATTTGGAAATATTCTCATAATGTCCTTTTTTATATCAGTTTTGCCCTTCTTTTGTTTTCCACATATAAGTTTTGTCCTAATCCACCAAAACGAAGTGTAAGCCTGACAAGTAAACAGTCTCAAAGAAGTGCCAACAAATCTGATGATCTCCCAGACGGAACAGAAACTGACGAAGTAGTCGATATCGAACCAGTATGTTATTAAGCTTATTTAACTATTTCATATATATTTATTCGCTAATTTATTAAACAGAAATGTTAAATCTATTAGGTATCCGGTTGCCTCACACGATTTCATTACAATAGTAGTGCTAAACACCAATAAATTCTATGATACATCAAAATCAACATGAATATAGAATTATTTACACAAGTATGCCAATAGTGATCTATAACATTAGTCTGGTAAATCAATAATCAGAAATACTAATCCATTTCAGTAAATAATATCGATTGTATAACTGGTTGATGATCCCTTAAAGTTTTATACTGGGTTGTAAGACTTGAATCCTAATGACAAATCCACTATGAATGCAGACTGATCCAAACAGTGAATGAAAAACTGGAGTCTTGGAGTTTTGTGCTAATAATCACTAAATATAATTCGCGTATTACAGTTATAAACTAAGCATCGATTTTTATACACTCACAGGTATCCCTGGAAGTAAATCTCCTTGTGAAGATTGACAAATGAATTGTTCAATAAGTTACTAGTTAAAAATGAATTAACTATGTCCTTGGAAGTACAGCAAAAATAAGCAGAATTATAAATTAACAAAAAGATAGAAAAAACCCATAAACGATTACACCTGTGCAGAATTACGGTGTCAAACAATAAAATAAAGAGAAATGAAATGGTTTTCTAAGACTGAGCATCATTAACAAGAATGTAGACAGTAATGTGAATGATACTTAACGAAAACCCAAGGTAATTACAGTAGCTTATCGGTTTGATACGTAAATTTAAGTCCTGTCCGTTAGATGGTAGAATGATAATTTAACTATACTCTAGCTCATCATTCTATGGCTTTTAGGTTTGTGGTATTTTTATATAATCTGTGTAACTGATCTGTAATTTAACGAAAGAAGGTTCATAGACGTTAAAATATGTATTCTGCATTGAGTTGTAGATATGTGCGGTCAATCAATAAATTTGTGTGGAAAGATTTCCCTCAATTTTCTCCAACGACCGGATTGTATTTTCAATCTACTTAACTATTAGTACATTTAGATTTCATATGATGATAATGTTCAAATTCATATCATAGAATGAATGACTATACACTGATATTTATGGCTATTCCGAGATTACTTCATAAAAAGTAATAATCAGAAATTTATATCAAAATGAATAATTTCCATTATTTCTTCCTTGCTAGAATGAATACTTTGACTCAACTTCAGTTAAATCGATCAAATCAAACCAAATGGATTTAATTACAGATATTACTCAAACTATCCAAGAATTGAACAATGAAACCGCTAACACACATAAATCATATGATAAAGTTCATTCTGCAACACTTGGACGTCTTCCTTCATCATCTTCAAAATTAGAGTTAAAATCATTATTACCTGGTTCATCTGTAACACTACCAGCAAATTCATCAACCACATCGAATAATCCACGTTCTGCTTTAAAAAGTTCTGATAAAACTGGTCCGAAAGTTAATAAACAGTAAGTAGTAATTTTATTTAAACGATTAATATTAATAGGAGTCCCACAATAGGACGAAACGGTCGTCCAGCTCTTCTAGGTTTTCCATGGTGGTCTAGCTTCAACTGACTCATGATCTCAACTATTGAAATTAATATTTATTTATTACACAATTTATATTAAATTATTTATTTTTTTATTACTGAATGATAAGACTTATATGCAAAAAAAGTCTTTGATTTTTACTACGTTATCTATATCGATAGAATACTATTTACAAAGAATATAGGTAAAGTAACTTTGTTCATTTCTTAGCTTTAATTCAAAAGTTTATTAATGAGAGGAGAAGATGACTTGAAATTTAGACACTTTATTGAGTAACAATTTTTATTTGAAGTTATACATCCTTTGAAAAAATCAGTATATCTTATGGATTCGGAACAAACGTGTTATGGATATTTAGTCGTCAGCATGAAACTCAATCATGGATTGATTGAAATTAAACATTAATACTGTAGAATGATGGCTGTGTTATAGAACTTGGTAGTTCGTGCATGAGGCTGAAGGTTTTGATTTCAGTTCCCGTGGATGCTCACTTCTGAGGATTCTCATACTAGGACGGAAGGGCCATCCAGTGCCTTAAGGGTTCCAGTGGTAACCTAACATAGATCGATTCATGGTTTCAAAGAAATTAAATGCAAGATTACATATTTAACTAGATATGATTTTCATTCAGTGCACATGCTATTGTATTAATTTTGGTTTATTTGACTTTAAAAATAATCCAGAATAAGTTTCGTTCAGCCTAGCCTTCATTTGTATTAGTTTTGGGTAAAATTGGCTCAATGTGAAAATCTTTTTAACTAATAATCACTGCAATTAAATCTGAACATAAATGAATGCATTCAAACGATTAATAATCTTCATGGGTCTGTATGAATGAATCTTTTTCTCTGGTTAGTGGACAGGGAAGGAGACGATGGTTAAAGTTTTAATGTCTCTGAAGTTGGGGTTGAGAGTAATTAACTTTTTGCAAATATGTATCAATCGACAAGAAGGTTGGTGAAATGTGGATTTTTCTAAATTCGAATTACTACTTGAACAGCAGTTTAAATAAGTTCAATTGTCTACAAACACGGAAATCATATCAACTGCTTTATTTAGTGCATCTACTCTCAACGTCGATGCCACTATTAATAATCGAGCAGATTTTAACTACAATCCACTCTCTAAGATTGCATCCTATGCTTGATTTGGACGATATGATGATGTTTAAAAAATTGACTTTACGGGTCAGAATGATGCATAGAACATTTGACCGCTGTTTCTTTCATAAGATCCAACTGAGTTAGATAGGTTACTACGCTTCTAGTGAGAACAAATTCATGAACTACTTCTTAATAAATGTGCTAATGTTATGTAAAGTGACAGTGTTAAGCCATGCAACTTATAAAAAGTAATTTTTAGTTTAATCTCCTTAATTTGTGAACTATTTTCACAATTTCTAAAATGAACATTAGTTCCTTATCATCTAGATTGATTATATCATCAAATTACTACATTTTTTCACATAAATTTTACAAATGTTTTAGTGATTGTCTTACTTCATGTGTAAAACTTTATGCTTACTTATTCTCACTTACAAACTGATTCATTAATTCTCAATAATTGAAAAAATCATAAACGTTTTGTTTGCTGTTAAAATGTTTTTTTTTGCTCATATTTAGCTGATGTCATTTTTTGTTCACTTCGATCGTAACCTCATTGCTACTTCTACAATCAATATCACTAGTAATAATGCTGATAATAAGTTTCATATGCGAACAGCAGTAATTATAATAATAACTATAATAATAACCGTTTTAACAATATAAGGGATAGAGTGAAGTCGATGACCTGGATAAATTATGTTCTTGTGTCTAACATACAAAGACTTCAATTCAAATACACACACACACATACGGTGTACTGATTATTTCTATTCTCACTTATTTATACACTAAATAATTTCTTTTTGAACCATAGTAAAAATTTCAAAATGACTTACTTGCTTTATTATTCTGTATTCGATTTTTTGTCAATATGCTGCATTTATAATGACCTGGTTTATTCGGGAAATAAACCAGATAGAGGGGGGTGGTAATATACGGATTATTTATTGATCGGAGCGTTTTAGTATCTTTCATTGATTAATATAAGTAGATGGCTAATGAACATTTCGTATGTCTTTCAATTAGTTCCATTTATTATTATTATTATTACTTATTGTGTTTATATGTGTATTTGGCCTTAATTCAATTTTTGAAATAATAAGAATTATCAAATTATATAAGAAGACCATACTTTCGAATTTTGGTTGTAGAAAATAACTACCTCAATAACAGCAATTTATATGATTCCAATATTTCGTCAATCAAGCTGGTTTGAGATTCTTCAAGGGAAATAATCCGAAATCGTCGAAATTATTCAACAAGGATTTTTACATTTTATGTCTTTTATAAACTCGACAACTAACATTTTTTAAACTATTCATTACAATTTCGATGAATGTTGATATCAACAACTAGATTATTGAAAATATTAATTTAAATCAATGTACTCCAATGGATTGTTTGTAGTGAGAAATGATCAAATTAACTTGTATTTTCTTTTTAAAATTCTGAACTGACATTAAATTAAAGAAGGTATATAAAAATAATCCTAGAGATTATTAGACACTTGAGTTATACTTAGTTATCCCTCTTTGTTAATGAATTCCATAACTTGACCAACAATAACAAAGTTTAGTTGTTCAATGTTTATGTTAAAGTAAAGTGCAATCCAGGACGTGCGTTTCGTCCTAACCACTATCTATCTTAGCTTATAAATCTTGCGATTTAAGGCAATATCGAGGCAATCCGCACAGATTGTACATATGCCAATAAGAGACTGATCAATTACAGTCCTAAATAACAATGAGAAGATACAAGTAATACAACACCAAGTGAGTTTAAACTTCACCCCATTGCACAAAAAGGAGGCTATCAGGACCCAGTAGCTAAGTGGATGACGTGATGGCGTTTGAAGCGAACGCTACTGGGTTTGAATCCCGAAGTGGATATTAACTAGGGTGAAGGTACATCAAACTGACGTGTCCCAAATTGGGTGAAACGTGCGTCCTGGGTCTTTTTGCTAGCCACTACCCATCTTTGCTCATAAAGTTCAAAATTTTTTTCAGCTTACAAATGGGTATAATTTATTTGTGTCATTTACTTATATGTGGCCTTACTATACAGCACAAAATTATTTTAAAGCTTTGCGAAAAGTTTAATTTTATCAACTTGTTCATAAACGATTATAACTATTCACATCTATTATTCTGAACCCGTTTTTAGTTTGCGCTTCACTACTCTGACAATTATTGCATTACTATTGATGTTAGCCATTGTTATCGCGAGTCCAGATGGTATTGGATCACTGAATGATGCTAAATCTATGACTGAAACGTCTATTGTCTTCCAATCAAATGATCAACCAGTCAAAATGGTCAGATACAATGTGATTAAGGCAAATATCTATCGATCTACTGCTAATACTGCTTCTACCAGTACTGGCTCTTCAAGCATGGTGCTTGAAAGTTCTAACAAGGAGTCTAAAACCCAATTAAAGAATAGTCCACTAAAAACAAATGAAAATAATTTAGAATCTACTTCAACAACTCAGTTTGTACACGTAACAATTTGGTTACCGAAAAAGATGATACCGACTGGTGAACCGAATCAAGATGAATCTTCTAATTGGAACAAAAATAACAAACAACCTAATTTGACTCCTCAAACTATACAATTATGGTTGAATCAATCTAGTGGGACGGAAGTTCGTATAGCTGAACCCATTAAACGCAGTTCAATTCATATATATGGTAATTTTTGTATATATAAACTAATTTTAATTAAATGTCTGATTTAAAGATTTTGAGTGTAATCGTTTATTAAACCTATAGACTGTTTGTAAAATCTTGTCGAAGCTTCTGATTACGTGGTTAAATTACGCGTAAGGTCTGGAGATCGAAAATGCAAGATTTCTCTGAAATGTGCAACTTTTAATGCAAAAATGTATAGAATATTTATACAAACTTTAATTGATAAATTGTCTACACTGTTTAGCTTGTCAGCATACAATCAACGAAGAATGTTTCCTGAAATGAATGTTTGTGTTACTTTTATTGTTCTTCTCACACTACTTACTTATACACATAGTCTGTTATCTTAACACTTTTCCTTCCACACCACATATCTCTTACACAGTAAAGCAAATACTCACTTTAAACATTGTTAACGTTGATTGGATGACCTAATTATTATACACTTAAACAGAGAACCATGTATCTATTTATATTCGATAATTTTGATGTTTGATTATAATTCCTTGAAAAAGCTTGAACCAGATTGCCAGGCAAAACGTTGGATCTGCTTCAAATTCATTCGCTGTTATTTTACAAATACATTCTTCCTCTTTAATGTCTCACATCAACTCGCCGCCCAAGTACTGTGAAACTATTTAATCAAATTTAGATTAAAGTTCTTATATATTGATTGCTGAATATTAGTAAGTAGGATAATTAAATAAACAAAAGAGAATCGGATAGGTAAGGAATAAAGATGAAAAAGTCAAAAGCATTGAACACCATGATGCATAATAACTTTCACCTTTTCTATTTGAGATATCATAGTTATCAAATTTCCGGAAATATCACACGTCTTTTGATGCAACTAGTTGAATACTACTACTTTAAACATTTAGTATGATCGATGGTAAAGAAGAGCACCTCTTAACAAAATATCGTGACAAATATATAACTAATTGATTACTGAATAAAATAACATATTTTTTCTGTAACCTATATACTCCGTCTGAATAAATTCCATTGCGTAACTTAAAATGTAGATGTGGTTGATACTCGGCATATACTTGGTACACGAGTCTGTCGTCAACGGTATGCTTGTGAACATTCTTGTGATCCAGGTGCTGGACATTCATGCATTTGTCAACGTGGTTATCGTTTGGCCGGACCAAAAGATCGAGCACGTTTAGCATCGATTGGGGATCGTAAGTAAATGTTTTTTCCCCGAATAATATTTCACAGTTTATCTCTAGATTTTAACATTTTGTTACTTGTTTAGATAACACTATCCTGAACTGTATACAAGTTTTGAAGTTCGTAAACTGAGCGGAAATCTTAAAAATTAGACAATTCAGATAAAGCAACAAGTTAAGGATTGAATATAGAATCGTAAACCTAATGAGTTTTGATATATTTTTCCATTATTTCTCTCACTATATCTAACATTACTAATAATTAAAATATATAATATATAAATATATCTACCTACTTACTTACTCCTGTTACTCCCGATGGAGGATAATTGTTGGTTAGCTACGCTTGAATGAATTGGTAGTATTTACAATAAATTCAGCTATTCTATGAATAACCGGTACAACAGGTTGATGTATGTGGTGTTTGGTAACAAACTTGATTGAGTAGTATGTACTGTTCAGTTTTCATATTAATGTCAGTTAGATTAAATGTTAGTGCCTGAACATGTTGGTTTCCAGTGAAAGCTACGGTTGGATTTTTCAGTTAAGTTTCACTGAAACATGTTAGTATCATGTTATTCTGTGAATTTTACAAGCAGTTGCTTTAACACTATCGAAGGCTGAAGTCTCACTAATAGTAATGACTATCCCATTCAGATCCCATTTGTTGAGTGAACATCAGATCCAATTAAGATGAATTTTAATTTTTACGAACATTAGGTGTAGACAGTATTACCTGTGCATTCAACCTATTTAATCAATTTACTCCTCTCCATGTATACAGGGATTCCTTTAGAAATAAAAGTTGTCTAAATTATTAGGGTTAAAAAACCAGTAAACAGGACGGTAGCAATATATATGTAATAGAATTATTTGACTGACTATTGGAATCATTGAAGCATCGAATAGCTTTTCCATTTAACTTTGGGATTTGTCCATAGTCTATCTGTTTGAATTACATTGCAACAGAATGACCGGTAATCATTTTTATTGAACATATTTGTTTGTTTATTCCTTGCTTGACTATTATTGATTATTTACTTACTTATTCCTGTTACTCCCAGTGGAGCATAGGCCACCAACCAGCATTCTCCAACCCACTATGTCTTGGGCCTTGCTTTCTAGTTCTATCCACTTCTTGTTTATTCTTCTCATGTCTGTCTCCATTTCTCGGCGCAATATTTTCTTTGATCTTCCTCTTCTTTTTTCAAGGTATCGGTAATATGGCATTGGAGAATGTGCAAGGTCGAATATGTTTAGATATTGATGAATGTGATAAACCTTCTTTACGTCGAGAATGTGCACGTTTAGGAGGGGTATGTACAAATCGTCCTGGAGATTATGCTTGCTTGTGTCCATCTGGTCAACCATGTATTGGTAAGTGTATCAATGTAATTTTCGGTTTATTAACTTTCTGTCCTATTCCTATTTTAAATTTGGTTTTGTCGCTGTTACTAATACAATAATTTGTAAATCTAAGTAACTATTTATAGTATAAATAAAACTGAGATGTCCTCTAACTCTTTTTCTATAAACTTATTTCAGAAGGGTGAAAACTAACTCATATAACTATTATCTCACTGCAGAATAAATGCATTTGTTTACAATTGCAGATTTGTGTAAATGATTATTTATATAATGATATAACCTACTTATTGAATTATAACTCATAACAACTTAACTGACTTTCGTCGTCTTGTCTACTTCCATTTTAAGCTTGTGATACTAATTGTCCTAAAGGTTATTGGATGTCTGGTATTTGTGGAAGGAATCAATCAGTTGAATGTAAACGTGAGTTATCCTGAGCTTTTTTCTTTTTCAAAACAAAGATAATGTTTCCATAATAGACAGTCACTAAGACTACTCACTTGTCAACTCCATTGATCATAAATGTATTAGACTAGCGGTGAAATTTGAATATCATGTTGTTCACCCTAATTGTTGTGTAGGATCATATGAAATCGAATGGAAAAAACTGGATAGAGAGAAATTATAATTTATATAAATGGATCGAAAGTTATTATTAGGATATAACTAAAATTTTAACAACAGTTAATCGCAGTCCCGTTCAAGATTGATGTATCTCGAATTAAACCAAATGTCTACAAATTTATATTTTTCAACATTTAATCTTAATTAAACTACTTCCAGGTTTACATCCAAAAGCCATATGACACTGGAAAACAAGGGAAAGCATAGTAATGCCAGAGACGTTATTGGAAACAAATTGTTTAGAATCACGGTATATATTTAAATGGGATTCGACTACGGAAGTGAAGTTTCAATGGAAACTGAAAAAACAGTATAAAATTTAATTTGTAGAAACATTAACAAAAGTTATTTACAAATTAAGTGTTTCTGACAATTTCTGTAGCATAGTTGTGAGTCCTCATTGTAGATGATAAAAACAGCTCTCTTACTTTTTATGACTCACGAACCGATACCAGTTTGTGACTGAAGATACTTTGAAATTAAATCAGTCTTTACAACCAAATTAATTAAAATAGAAATTGTTTCTCTAAATCGGTCATTCATTATAATTGAATGAATTACGTTTAGTCTTTACCATTATTCATTTGCTTCTTCAGGAGCGAAAATCTTCAGACTTGGGGGGTTGTAACTTAACCCTGAGAGATTCAGATCCACGTTGTTTAATTTTATGGTTAAAGATCATATCATTGAGCTACTTAGAGCACAACTGATCTGTAAAACTTATACAATTACATAGAATGATCATTTAATATCAGATAGTCAAAATATTCGTGTTTCATGTTCATCCGGTAATTACCGGTCTTATCTATCCATTACATTTTTTAATAAAATGTTTGAAACGGCACCAAATTCCAATGTTTTTTCTTTGTTTTTACTCATTTTTTTAAATTTACAGGCTGTTCAACTTCCTGCCCACCTGGGATGTATGAGTATAAACCGTGTACGCAACATTCTGACAGGGTATGCCGAGGTAATACAATGATATATTTTAAAAACTGTCAGGTTTTTTGTAATTAGTTTCTTTTTACTGAATTATTATTCCTGAATTATCTATTCATTACTCAGCCCCTAAGAAAAATCGATAAAAAGTACTGTTAATATAGGGTGAGGGCTCTTTTTATAGGATACACTGAAAGATTTATCGAACTTTTCAATTATCGAACTCTATTCATTCTGCCTTATTCAGTGTGTTGGTTACGAAATCCATTTATACAAAAAAAGGTTTTATGTACAGAAATCTGTTTAAATAGTGTAACTCAGCAAAAATTATCGCGTAACTTTACAATCTTGATTTCTTTTTACAGTAAATTATTTTAGTTCTAGAGAGTAGTAAGGATTTTTCAAAAGCCTATACTCTTTTCAATAATCTAGTAAAATTCAAACAATTGCATAGTATACAATTCAGAAATATTTCCGTAGATTTTGTTAGCAAACGAGTTTTAGCTAATTGAATTTACTTAGTGGAATAGCGTCATCTCTCTGTTAATGTATGTCACTGAAAATTTAATCTAAAAAGTGATAATACATTTTATTTATTACTATGTCTATTCAAGAGTTATTAAACAGTAGTAACTTTCATCTAATTAGAAATACTTTAATTTTCCAAAACGATTCAGTGTCTCAACGTAACGGTTTACAGAAGCCCGATAAAATTATTTCATTTCATAAATAAAGTGATTTAACTCGATGCGAATGATTGGTAATCCTTTCGAATCGTTTGATTACACAAAAGAGAACTGCATGGAAAATCAAAGTTAAAAATAGAAATTTTATTTAGAGAGCGGTACTACTATTACGAAAATATGTGGACAATAGTGAGGTATTTTCTGCCTTTAACACATCAATATGTATAGAAGCGAAAAGTTATTTATGAACTAATCACATAAAGATTATTTACAATATCCGATACTATAAAAAGCACTTGGAATCTTTGTCTGAAAATATCTGTCAAAATTCTAAACAAAAACTAAGAACATAAAATGTGGTAACTATTACATTTAAACAATGATTCAATGAGCTTTTACAATTGTAACTGTTAAAATATAAAGACGTTGCGATCACGATAATAAATAAAGTGAATTTCTCAGCTTTATGTTAATCCTTAAGAAAGCTACATAAGGACGATCAAGCATGCAATATTTGTTACTGAGTATTAGTAAGTAGTATAATTATTACACAAAAATAACTAAGTAGGGAGGTATTGGGTAGGGATACAAACAGACATAACAACGATATTAATTCATAAGTGACAATTTTTAACTGATGTTTTACCGTTTGACAGTGACATTTCATAACTTTCAGATCCGAAGTATGTTTTATAAAACGGTCTCTGTTAAATGACCACTGTAGTGAAAATGTCGAGCATGTATTGTGTTCTAAATTGCGAACTCTTACTTGATACTCATTACTTCTAAATGTTAAGTTTCTTTTGAGGCATTGGAACACGATCTGTTGATCACTATCTCCAGATTTCTGCTATTATATAAGGTCGTGGAAGTTTCACTACTGTTTACAATCAATATCACCTATTATCTCTTTGTTCAGTCTATCTTAAAGAAATTTTGCTTTTACTTGGAACTCGTGAAGATTCACCTCTCCATAATCCGTCCCTATTTACTTTATGATTTGATCACATTGCACTCAAACATTCTTCCAAAATTGTAATATAAAACTACTGACTATATTTTTGAAATGTATAGTGTATGAAAAATCTTTTTCTAAGAGGCGTTTATAATCACTTTTAGTCGGCTTTTTTTTTATTAAAAATAGCCTGTCGTCCACTTTGCATTTCTGAAGAATTTGAATTGTCTCCTTGTAAAGGATCAAGTAATCGTATATGTAAACGTAAGTAATTTATGATGATTTTGTTTGTTTCTGTGTTCATAATTAGTTTATTATCAATTGTTTGTTTTCGTTAATTCAGTGTTCGATCAAGCAATATATGAATTTTACTTATAAATGAAAATGAAATTCTTGAATTTGTTCACTTGTTTCAGAAAAGCATTTGCTTTGATAGATGGTGAATTACTAGGTAAACACTGTATAATTCTTCTGTTTTGAATAAGACCTTGAGTTTGGCCTTTTTCTTTGCTAGTCAAAACATTTTAATCCACAGTAGTTATTAATATTTTATTCCTACATGCGTTGTTTCGTTAAAGAATAACAAATACCTACTGACCAATTACTTGTCTACATTTCATTACATACTATGAACAAATAATTTTACTAGCTCTTGTTTCCGAATTACAGCTGTTTTCAATAAATACTTGGATATGAATATATTGTACGATACATGTGTCTTACATCCGACAATGTAAGATTTCTTTGTTTGAGATTTCACGATAAGAACCATTAAGACTGATCAGATAAAAAAAGTTGTATCAAATTAATATATTTCTGTCTCATAAGTACAAGAACACGTCACTGATTTATTACAAGCTGTTTAATTGATAAATTAAGTCGCAATTTTAAAAACACGTTAGCGCTGTGTTTTCAACTTGTATATTTCATTTTGTAGGTAAAGATCTCATACCTGAATTAGTTGTTCCGTATAAGAAAAATGTTTGGTTTGAAAATCGTAAAAAAGTGCAAGAGGCTACAGTCACATTACATCCAGATGATGTTGGACGTTTACCATTGAATAAATCTATAATCATAGATCGTGGATCTGGTTATCAGGTATATCTATACTCTTTTAAACACTGACTCTTTTCCTTTTAAATGTTGACAGTTTTTGTGTATTCAAAGAGGTCACTATTTTTTGTTACCTTATATAATTGCATAAGATGACGATAACAAACTGTGAAAAATACATCGTTCGTATATCCTTATGATTTATCACTTGATTTCAATGTAAAAATGAAATGCTGAACTCCAGTAGTTTTGCTGATGTGTATATTTCATTCACATGATTTCTCAAATAGGCGGTAAAATAAATAGATGAATGTTGTGTGTCCTTTGGCTATTGGTCGCCGAAGATTAGATATGACAATGGACACAATGTAATATGTTTAAATTAAGTTAAACAAGCATGAATATGATACAACCAGTGATATTAAAATTATACATGTAAAGATTGGATAAGTTCACACAAAGATTTGTATCGGTCTGTCATATTGGTTCACTATACGAGTGTAAATGTAAATAAGAGTTCCTGTTTCAAGTGTATACTGGATCGGTAGACAGTTAACTAGTGTATATTCATTTTTAGATTTGCAGATCACTTAAAAATTGGTGCAAAATATGTAAGGAAGATTGTTTTCCTATAGAGTAACTAGACGGTCAATTCCCAAAGAATATAATGCTTCTTGAAATAGAAGACATAATCTAGGAGTTTTGTACTAATTTCTACTTAGATCGTAGTGGAACATCTCGTAACAAGAAAAAGAACAGTTGATTTTTCTGACACAGATTAAATAAATTCTGTTTTGATTTCCTTACAAATAACTAATCCGTTAATGGTAATACCTATCAGTTGGTTCAATCTGTTCATTGAAAATAGAAAACAGAAATAAAGTAACAACTACACTCCAATCAGTTGTTTTTTTCTAAAACAACACATATTAAACAACTAATTGCATTGTATTAATTATCGAAAACAAACTGAAGCATTTTAAAGTCTTTTTATCTCTATCTCAAATGCTTAATCCTATTTTGGTAACAATCTAAACATATTGTTACCATTAGAATTCGATTGATAATTTATTTTAATAAATATATTTTTGATTGAGATCATGAATCGATGAATGTTAGACCACCATTGAAAACAAGGAAGCACTGGAGGTTATCCTCGGAGTTCTGGTGTGAAACCGTGACCAGTGGAGCTAATCATTGTTGGGTGTGATGCAGTTGCTCACCGAAGACAACGGAAGATGGTTGTGCAATTTCGTGGATTGATCAAACTTAGATACTAACGCCGTTGGATGTAGGCTCAGTGGTCTAGAGGTTAAGTGTTCGCGCGCGGGACTGAAGGTCCTGGGTTCGAGCCCCGTGTGCGGGACCGTGAGTGCCCACTGATGAGTTCATACTAGGGCGGAACGGCGAGCCTGTGCTTCCAGGTTTTCAATGGTGGTCTAACATTGATCGATTCATGGTCTCAATCGAAACTTATCAATCTCTACAATCCCATACTGAAAACATATTTTCACTTTTCATTCATATGAAAACATTACCTTTTGCTTAATAGGTTCGTTTAGATTTTGATATACTCAATTTAATGCCAGTTCTGGGTCCAGTCGATCATTCATCAAGTAATGATAACCATCTGTTTTTATCAGCTGCATCATTAATGGATCAATCATTGTTGGAACCAGATTCTTATAGATGGTCTTCTGCTACTGGTCAATATCATACAGTTCATGCTTATTCATTGAAAGCAAATAATACCTTATCTAAATTATGTCCATATCCAGTTCCACCGTTATATCGTTTAGGAATGCGTGTTTATCGGGTAAAGTTAATTATTTTTATGAACAGATTTATACTTTTAAATAGAATTTTATCACATAAACAACAATAATAACAATAAAACAAATTAGCTACTCTGTTGTTTACAGATAAGGGATGTGTTAGTGAGCTATTTAAATGATTAAAATTTAAATGCAGTAGTTTTGTTTTTGTGATAGCAGTGAATTTAGTTGTTAGTGGATAGTTGTTAAATATTCGTTCACTACTCAATGAATATTCTTGCAAAGTTTATCGTTCAAAGTTTTCATTTGACAATCGAGTAAAAAGAGGTAACATCTACTAACTAACGTTTACGGAGGTTAAAGTAATTCCAGGATAAATTATGCGTACGAGATATTCAAACTATGTACTTAACAAAGAAGCTCTATTCCATATACAAATGTTAAGTCATTTTAATGACTAGTCTAGAAATTATTTCTGCCACAAAATAAACTCTAGAGAAGAAAGACGTTTGATTTATTTTATTTAGATGTATAAATTTCCTCAAGCTTTTACCACAAGGTTACTTATGTGTTTTACTGAGTAAATATTAGATTTTTCGATAGTTGGTCTTTCAACGTTTATCGCATTTACGTTTGACAAGTATTTTTTTTATATATAGAATGTTACCACTGCAACAGTACCCGATGCAAGTCTACCTGGACATCGGCCGGTATTAGCCAGTTGTAGAACATATAAGCAACATGGATATTTTCCACCATTAGAGTTAGATGGATTTCAGTCGGAATCAGAACATTATACTCAGTCATTTAGTTCAGAGTCTAAAAGTATTTATGATCAGCCTAAAACTGGTACGAATGGAAATCCGACCCCGGCTGTTGTTGCTTGTTTAGAACCTGGTCGATTACCATCAATATTTGGATCACATTGGAATGCTGAACTTGCATCACCACGTTCTATTTATTATGAAGAGAAGCAACTGTAAGTATCACTTTGTTAAATGAAAATTAAATGGAAGTTTATTCATTTAAATATTATTCAGTGTTGCTATCTTGTAATTCTACGTGTGGTTAAAGAAGTACAACTTATTTGCTTGTACAGGCTAAAAGTATTTTGATGTTACTGAAACTTATCATTCAATGGAAATAAGGATTGATTACAACGTTATCTACATACGAAAAATATATACTGTAGTTAGTTAAAATACTTTTATATCAACCATCAGCTTCTGCCTGAGGTTAAACATTTACAGGATTACCTCAAAATATCAACAATTTTTGTTAAGGATTAAAGGTATTGCTATCCGATGGTGTTAATGTTTAAATTCAATCGATCCATGATCTTGCACAACCCTTCATCCATTGTCTGAGGTGGATACCTTTCTCTATCCAACTCATGAATCCAACTATTAAAATATCTACAACCTCCACAAATCCCCATTCTGATAATATTCATGTGCTCACTAGTGACTAACTCTATGATGGATTTCCTGGAGTTCTAGTGAGACCAATGGAATTTAATCAGTGCCGGGTAGAGACAAATATCTACCTCAGACAATGAATGAAGGGTTGCTCAAGATCATGGATTGACTGAAGTTAGACAGTAACACCGTTGGACGCCGGTTCAGTGGTCTAGAGGTGAAACCTTTGCACTCGAGGCCGAAGCTCCTGTATTCGAGTCCCTCATGCGGGGTCTTGGATGCTCAATAATAAGGAGTCCCATACTAAGGCGAAAAGACCATCCAATGCTTCCAAGTTTTTGAGTGGCGGCCTTGCTTAGATTAACTCGTGAATTCAACTATCAAAATATAATAATGTTTTACGTTCAGTTTTATGCTTTCTTTTTGTCATCCAAAGAAAACATTCCAAGAAAATTCACTAGTGTATCATTAAGCTATTTTATTTAATACGATCAATAATTACTTAACAAGGAGAAATTTTCAAACTTAAGATTAGTTTATACTGATGGTGTATTGTTTAGAAACTAATTGTCAAATCCTTATATTGTTTCATTTACAATAGAATCTTCCAAATGATTATTGTAATAACAAACAAAAATTTATATTTGAATATTTGAAAAAGCATATTCTATTTTTCTACTGACATTTTTAATTCTTTTTATACATTATATTTTTCAAGTTGTGGACAACTTAAACTAGACTGTCAACATTGTTTGGCATCGTGTGCTGAAGAACTGAAAGCTAGTTCGTTAACTTGTAAACCAACATCAGGAGCTGCAGATAATGGACGTTCACCGCGTTTAGAAACATGCTTTGATTGTTGTGCACGAGATAATTGCACTGATGTATGTGATAAATATCCTGCACACCGTTGTCACGTTCAACTTTGTAGTCATGGTTAGTACATGTAAAAAAATCTTATAACTTAGTAATTTAGTCATTGTTAATTATGAATAGCACTTTTTTTCTTGAATAATATAAACCGTACTGAAAAACATATGCTAATGCACCTTAAGTAAGATCATGAGGCATTGGATAAGTAAGATTTATTTATGTCATTTAAATTTACTCCGACCATTCACGAATTCATCAGTGATGTAACATATTTGAATTTATATATAATCCTTGCTTAGTTTTCCTTCATGCAACGAAACTATGAATTTGTGTCATGAATAATATGCATCAAACACTAATTATGATTTATAAGCCACCTTATCACGTGGATAATCCCTTCACCATCCGAGCATGGACAAAGTACACATACATATAGTCCATAGCCTTGCCTGAAGTATTTTAAAGAACGCACCTTCGCGATCAAGAAGATGTCGATGAGGATGTTGTTAGTTGTTGTAGATTCTATTTGATTACATAAATGTATTTCACTCTGAAAGATTTCGCTTTGCGATGAGTGTCACAGATAATGAAATAATAAGAAACTTCACTTCCATGAGTTGTTAACTCTCTGCCAAACTCTTTTGACTTTAAAACTCCATGCCGCACAATCATTACTTTAAAAAGATTTTCACTCTTTGTTTTTTAAATAGACATATGAGATGACGTGACTGGAGTTATAAGATTTGCGAATCCGTACTCAAAACGAAATATTGCTGCGTTTTTTGGTTTAAAAGTTGTCTCTGCATTAGACTTCAGGAACTGAGTTCGTGATCGTTTGGAGGGGGGACTGATGAAGAGTAAGAGAAGGGGTAAATAGACCCTTAAAAGCTGTATTCCAGTAGGGATATACACAGTTCTATGGACATTGTTTACTCTTTCGAGTTATTCAATACATGTATTCTTCCATGTATTAGCATTACTAATAAGTGTTTGTCATTAAAGATCATTCGAATTCTGGTCATTTGATTCACGTTTGAAGCGCTTGAAGCCTATTTGTTTTCGAGGGTGCAGAATTCTCAGTATTTTATTGTATAAAATTTTCACTTAGAAAAAACTGAATTAGCTTAATTTGCTCTTTCATATTTCACAATCGACCTTTTTAATGAAATTCACGTTTCCTTGTTTTTGTTATGTCATTGGCGTAGGCTAAAATATCTCACTCAATATTCCTATCGTTTAATGAAGAAGCAGATATATTTAAAACATTATGGAAGAACTATGTACTCCAATATAAATATGTGATATACCAGATACTTCTGTTTGAACTCCTTGACCAATCACCGGTCATTTGTAATTAGCACATCAATTTTCGCTAGATGTTTCAGCTGACAATCTTTTTCTAGGCTGACACTGGTTTTTACATAAATTGATTGTTGAAATTTCCCCAATTCATGCTATAACCAAATAACTAGCTAAAAATCATTTTTATACACTTTGATTGTTTGGTTTCATTAATTTTCTAGTGTCATAATTCCTTGTGTTTTGTTTCTAGGTTTACGACTGGATTTCTCACTTATTCCAGAATGGCCTAAACAAGGTGAATTTTTATGTCATGTTCAGCCAGCTCCAAGTAGACCGATTTATCGTCTTCAGTGGACTTTATTATATCAAGGTAGACCACTTACACCAGATCGATTTCCGGCATCACTTGTACTACCATTAAGTTCAATAACAAATGAGAATTCTGATAAAAATGGAGTTAATTCAAGTAAGCTTTCATTACAACCTACATTGTAAAATGAATTGAAAGAATTACTTCAAAGTTATTTTAAACATTTCATTTAAAAATCTGTTGCATCTCTAAACCACCTGTCAGCTATTTCCTTCCGAATTCTTGGTTATCCCATACCAAATAAAACATTATTCGAGGGATATTTTCTAAAACCAGAATCAATGAGGCCAGTGATGAACAAAAATACAGGCTCTTCAACTGAAAATGTCTTGAAGTTTAACTTATCATATTTGACTGATTAAATCGAGTTGACCAGTTGAAAAAATTTAGTTTCGTATCGCAGATGATTTTCCGAAATATAAGCACGAAATACTTTGTACAGTATAAATTGATTGTTCGGAGAAAAAACCAAATAAATAAAGCTTTGTCATTCAGATATTGAAAATTTTGTATCTTTGAATGAATTGCTGATAGTTTCATGGTTGTCTAAAGTTAGCCAAATATCACGTAAATCAAGTGTACTGAGTTAGACCCTGTATAATGCTGTGAAATGAAATAACTACTTAGTGGTTCATAGTTTTTAGTGGTTCTCCAGATGTTTTCAGTTAGAGATGAAAGTTAGTAGAGACATCAAACTTTTCCTACATCAAATATTAGCCATCGATATAGATCGCACGACAATTTCAATTTATTCCACCTTCGTCAGTACAGTAAATATTTATAGTCAGTATCATACCCATGAAGTTCTATTCACTAAATTTTGAAACACATATTTAAACCAATATTATAGCAAAATATATGAGAAAGTTTGAACAATTTAGTGATCACAGCGTGGAGTTAGAAACCTTTGTCCAAATTTCCTTTTGATAATTTCATTAAAAACAACATCTGACTGATTTAAGTGTTCACCTGTTTATCTACTTCGTAATTTTTGTAGACATAAATGGATGGAATTTAGCAGATGGATTAATTGGTACTAGTGGTAGTACTATAACACAAACCTACAGAAGTTTGTTGAATATTCAGTATACATCAGGACTGGAGCATTTACCTGATGTAATTGGTGGTACTGATACAATGCAGAGCGCGTATTTTTGGAGTAAACAGGTATAATGAGAAAATGAAGTATCACATATGTACAAAGCTAATAAATGCTCGTTTTATATGGCATCTTCTTATTGTTGCTTTTTTATCAAAAAAATTTTCATGAACAAACATGAATTTACGGTACCATTATAAACTAAGATTAATTGAGTAGTTACTCCATTGCGATTTCCATAACTTTGTTGACTCTAACATGAAAATTGGGCTTCTCAAATGCCGTTTTATAACTCAATCCGAACCTTTTGAAAGCCGTACTACAAACTACATTGTTAAACTAGGATTTGTTATGTTATTCATGAGAAGGGAGCTTTTTTTGAAAAACACGTATTTCCGTATTGATAAGCTTGTGAATGAGTGTGAGAGATGTATAAGATTGTTTGTAGAAACCGCCTAGATTTTTCGAATTGTTAGGCCTCCTTTTTTCTTGAACACTGAAGAATTCTGCAATATATCTAGTGTCTCCAAAAATCTACTCTTCTTGTAAGTTAGAGGAACCCATTTTGGATTATCTGGATATTTTTAATATCTCTTAGATGGTCTTTGAATGTAGCATCGTTTGATACATTGTCACATTTTAGATAAAAGATCATAGTCAACCTATTAAATTGCAAGTTGCTTTGATGTCAAGTGATCGCCAGGAAACCCTGACCCTAAATTTGCTTTATCTATGTTTTGGTGTATCTACGTTCTATGTTCTCAAATCAAATATTCTAACATGATGGATTACAATCCCTCGCTATTCAACCTTACAATCTCAGATGTTTCCACTGAGTTGTTCGGGCGACAACCGCTCTCCTGTAGAAACGAGATATTTACTACCGATTAATCAACAAGTAATAACTAATATTGTGTTTGTCTAGTCCTTCAGTGCTGATCGAATTTGATTTATCAGCATACTAATTATATTAATATGTTACTTTTGTCTCTTTGTTACTCTAACACAATTAGTAGCTCTTCTGAAGCAATTTAGAGCAGAACAAAGTCAAACATTGAGAGGATGTATGCCTATTTAAATGTGTCAGAATAAGAAAGGGAAATGGACTATTTTCATTAAAGTTTATTTTAAGTAGCCAGTTTAATGGTGTTAGTTCGAAAGTGAATTTAATATGAACGGAAAGTTTATTTCTGAGTTTGAAAAAGATTATCGAACCTGTATTTTTTCTAGTGATTAGAAATGGATTGTTTACATATGGAGATCATATACGTGGTTTTAAAACTTAAAACTGTATTTGTAGCACATGTATTACTTAACAACAGTTATGAGCAAACAAGACTTCGTTGTCATTCCACTTTTCTGTTTATACAATGTCCCTTTAAATGCAAATAAAGTTGCATGTAAACCTACTCTTTAAGATCTAATGGTTAGATTTTTGAATATCTGTTTGATTGAGTATAATCAATCTTTAGCAAACCATTTTTACAATCTATAAATATTTCCATAGGAACACTACTGTTTTATTATACTCCATTGCTTACCAAATCAGCACGAAATGATGAAAGTAACAAGGTGAATTGAAAAAAGATCAAAATAATGGCGAATAATGGTAATGTTTAACGAAAAGACAAACTAAGAAGGTATATATGAAGGAATATTGAAATTCTTTATCAAGAAGAAGGTGGAGAACGAAAGTATCTGCGCCTTTATGACCAACTCTGAGCCATGTTACCAAAAAACCTCTAGCCATTGATCATAATCATCGGGCTTATATAAATCATAGCTCAAAGCGACTGACAAAGATACTTAAACGTTTTTAATTAAATTTTTAAGTGTTTGATCAATACTTAATCTTTTTACAATATAACATTTTGCTAGTGAAATTTACGTTTATCTTCTTTTCAACTAAATAAATTTTGTGTTGTAGACTATACCGTTAGTTAGTGGGAGCGGAACAGGTATTACGTATGACTCAATAACATCACATTCCTCACCAAGTCCATCACCATCAGATCGATTTTATTCAAATGCAATGTTATACACACCATCAGGAGTATCAAATGAAATTGCCGGTATACAAGTATGGCCTTCACAGCCATTAAAAGTGAGTACATCCGCTTGGACGCGTTTAAGTGGTGCACCTTGTGCAACAGCTGAACCGTTAATTGAACAACTGAATATTTATACTCCGGCATTGCCACCGTATATAGCGATGGGTGAAGTAAAGGTGGGTAGCGGAAGATATAATATTTATGTATTGTAAATTTTGTTTTAGATTCCGAATTTGTTGTTGTGATTAATTAATTAAAACAAATTACCCTATTCAAACAATGCACTAAAAGTGTCGATGGTTAACTTTTTCATTTTAATTATATTTGTAAACAGGTTGAATATCTGGGCAATTACATGTATGCTGTTTCCCACTCAAGAATTAAACCAAAAGTAAGTTTTCTTTCCTATTATACAGAATACTGAATATGATATTGTATTCATTCTCTTCAGCATTGTTATCCTTGCTGTTACTATCGGATTTCCGATATGTAATCGAACAAGGAAGAATTGGACAATGACTATATGAAGTGATTGTTGAGCCTGATTCTTTGTAACGATTCAAAATGAATTCAATTATATTATCATTTGTATAATATCATTGGTTAGGTATTTAAATGGATGACATATTAAGTAAGGATGTAATAATGGGATATATAGAAGTTTGGATTTGAAAGCCTTTAACTAAGAGATCACTGCACTGCTATGTTTTCTTTTCAATTCTTTGTGTTAGATGAGTGAATATTGATCACTCAATATTCTGGTTTTCAGCACAGACAGTAAAGTATTATTTCTCCAATTCACATTTAATTTAAATTCTTGTAAATATCCGAACGATTTATATGGCATGAGAAATTTTTACAACAACTTTTATCTTTTATTTATTTGTAGTTGTAAATATTTCTGTTCCGTTCCATTCTAACAGTTCTTTTCATCGCATAGTAGATATGTTTTATATATGTGAAATATTTGTAAAATCTATAACATTCGTGAAAAGTAATGGAGCTGTCCATATTTTCGTCAAAACGTGGCGAATGATGTAAATATACCAACATCAACTGCATACAGTCATTTGAGAAAATGGAAATAATTAATGGAACATTTCAGCAGTCGGAAAATAAGTAGTTCAGAAATTCAAGCAGACTGTGAAACAACCTGCTTGTTTCTTGTAAAACAACTAATTCAAGTACACACCACTTTACAGCTTTTAACCGCCATCTTTTCTCTGCTAACGCATTTTGGCAAAGTGAAAACTTACCTTTGGGTGAAATCGTAGATTTTAACTGACTCTTAGTCAAACAAAATGTTTTAAAATGAGACAATCATATAGAAAAAGTCCAGGAGAGTGATTAATTTAATAAAAGTATCAAGTTGAAGGACAGACTTGTCAGGCTGATAGGCATGTACATTGATACATCACAACTCCATATGTTGTGCAGAAGTTAACAATAGACATTAAATTAATAATCATCAGAAGATATGTTGCTTAAATGAAATTTGCAAGTTAAAAGTTTATGCTGACATTCCTTTTTTCTTACTCCTAATAATTTAGCTGAGCTTCAGTTTACCTAAATCAACATCGTTACTTGGTGCAGTATTTTATCCAGCCTCTGTAGAACGTGGTCATTATCTTCGAGCTAGTCTGGCTTTGGCATGGTTAACCGATTCTGAAATAAGACATAATGATATTCTCACAGACAGTCAAAAGTCTGCTACGAAAGTGAAAGATTCTGAGTCATCATCAACATCCACAGCATCATTAAAGAAACAGAGATTTTGGGTCATTGATCTAACCGGACAAGTTGATCAGTTCCCTGGTTTATTTCGTCTTCTCGTTTATCCAGATAATGTAGACGATGATAATGATGATGGACGAAATGATAATATAAATGCTAGTAATTCCAATTATTTAACACGAAATCGTCAAAATACCCAATCACAAGCCTCGTCCCCTGACGCTATCGTTGAGATCGAAGATAATGCCAGTGACGATATTGATGTTGACAACTTAAATACTGGACTTGATTTAAACGGCAAGATATCTGAGGAGGAACCATTATTGGACTACGATGTTGGAGTTTTCGAAGAACGTAAATTCCAGGTGAATAATATTTTTTATGAATTAATTTGTGTTATTTGTGAATAGATCAAGTCTTCATTAATTTTGCATATAATTCATTTTGACATACATCACTTTTATTATACGATTATTCGAACATATTACAAAATAAACAAATAAAACGGATCGAACTGGGTAGAAATCTCAGACTTTAGTTCATAACTCTCTGATTGCTACTATCCACTCATCACTTTTAGTGACAATCATATTTTCGAGAAATTTTTTTCCTATAATTTGTGGGGTTGAATTTTTAATCGTTACTTCTCATCTTCAGATTTTATTCTTTCTGATTGTGGTAAGAAACGCACGATTCTTCAAGCCATATTCCTCCCGTTCTAAAAAAGCTAGTGAGATAATAGTTATATCGAGTCAGTTCTCATAGGATTCATGCATACTTACTAAGACTGGTGGAAATCCAGTTAAGAATATCAACAATGGGATAACTCAAACCATTACAAATTAAGTCGATAAATATATTTCAGTACGTTTGTTAAGTACATTTGATGACTTTGCATAAAGTTCTGAAATATATATCTTGCTTCTATGGTAACTCTGAAGTCTAAGGCATAATACAGTGTACTATGATGTTAGGGCATTCAGAGGCATGCATGCTCAATGTGCTTCACATTTAGATATTAATCTTAAAGGAATGGAGTATTGAAAACGTTTATGACTTTTCATTAGTATTTATGCGTTTTTTATTTACTAACATACTTAATTGTGACTGGAATAAAACAGTTCTTCCATCTATATCTAAAAGTGAAAGCACTTGAATACCCAGTCTAGAAACGCATATTGTACGATTTTTTGACTAGGAGTTTCGTAATACTGTTAAACTATAGAGTTTAAGTGTAACATCTATAATCAGTCAAATAAATCTTGGTCTTCAATACTTCATCTGTTTCTGAAATATAAATTACCATAATTTGTGCGAAATTATGAGTAAATATTAGTTAGCCAGAAAAAAAGAGTCGAGCACACATTAGAGACAATAATTGGAAGTGTTAAACAAATGAATAGAACAAGAAGTAGTCATAATCACAAAGATGATATATCTTTTCTTAATTGAGTTACATAAAGAAGGGTCAAATCAATGTCAGAGTGAATTGGAGTGAGTGGACTTTTTTATAAACACAATCATATCAACCTAAGCTTAGAAACTTATAAGCTATACTTTTGTTTTTATTTCTATAGGTTCGAATATTAATACCTGGTCCAACTATTGAACCAGATTATGAGAAATCTTTCCGTTTGGTTATTCTGGATGCTAGCAATCGTTTAGATATTCGAGTTAAACGAGCTATTCAACCGCCAGATGAAATGGCTTTACGAAAGACTTACGGGCAATTATCTGATGGTAAATTAGTAGTATATAATAAATATTATTATTTTCCTTTTGAATAATTTTTTCTGGTTAGCGTTTTTTAGCGAGTTATTTCTCTACGGGGTGGGGTCACTAACCCCATGCTCAACCATCCTCCTTTATCCGGGCATGGGACCGGCAGTAGCCCCCAGAGGGGCTCAAGGCGGACTTATTATTACTTAATACATCTAATAATCTGAAATACATAGGGAAGACGTATAAAAGATATTTCTTTTAGAATATATGGAGAATTTATACTGGGTTTGAGAATAAATAACACGGGATTATTGTTTTTGCATCAAAGTTGAAACCTTGAGCTATTATGCAGTCAAAACGTTAGAATGTTAAGTTACTAAACTAGAAAATTCATCACCAGTCAAACGACTAAAAAATGTCTTTTTTATATTTTGTATTTGCCCTAACTCATCTTGTGCAATGAAACTCAGCACTCTCAAGTGTTACATTGGAAATTTTAGGTCAATAATAAAACCTAGTTTATTTCGAGTTTTACTGAAATTCACCAAGTAGTCTATAGAATCTTATCTGTCAGGAGATGTGCCGGTCATAACTATATAGTTAATCGATAAACATCAATGTCTATTGTTTGTTAGATATAAGAGTAGAGGCTGAGAAACAACTAATCTCACTATTTGATCGATTGTAAACAATCAACAGTATAGTTAGTATTTCGGCAATATTTTACGTATATATAATTACACAGTTACAACAAATCGACTGATCACCTAAACACATCCTGTTGGAATTGCATGAACTTTGTACTATTGGAGATGTTGATGTAAGTCAAAAGCATTCATCATTGTACACATCAGTACATATATCAATTCGTCCTAATCATACGTATTTTTGAATTCATTGTAATATCGAATAAACCAAAGAAATTTGACTTGATACAATAAACACTAGTTACACAATATTGACCTACTTCTTTTCAAGCTTTATAAACCATAGGATTCATTGTAATAATAGGTTAACTCTATCTTTATTCATAGGCACTTAACGATAAACAACGAAAACTGGCCTAATTTCTTTTACATACATTATATAGGGATACTTAAATCAATGAATCCAGTTGTTGTCTGTTTTATTATTTATCTGTTAATAAAAACTGGTCTATTCGCTTTTTAAAAAATGCGTCTAAAACTTTCAGGTGACTTAAACTAAGTTGTATACTCACCATTTATACATCTTCAGTGTGTTATTTATTTATAACAAATAAATATAAAACTAATGAAAGTGAGTTAGAAAATTCTAAGATACTTCACAACGTGGTTGCTTGGATTATTAAATGTTGCCAGTTATTTCCTGTCAAGTATTCAAGAAATTAAATGAAAAATGGTTTTTTTACTAACCATTTAAAGTCTATAGATTTATAATAGAAAAATATATTTTTTTAATTAATTATTTATTCAATTATTTTTTTTCATACTATAACTCATTACAACTAGTCTCGTCTAGATATTCATGATATATTGTTTTGAGAATTATCATTGAAACTATTATACTTTATTTTAGGTGATGGTCGACCAACTTTAGTTGATCTATTACCAAGTTTAGCTGCACGTCAACAGGCAATACAGGATAGTCTATCAAAAAGAACTTCATTAAAAGATGATTACAAAAATGAAAATTCAGATGAATACAGATTAGCTAAGCGAAATATTAATTCAGAACCAAAAGATCAGTCATCATCATCATATCTAACCAAGAATACGTTTGGACCATCATCCGCACTTGTCTATTCAGTAATTGGTATACTTCTATTACTTTCAATCATATTATTTATTGGATTTGTCACCGAACCTGGTATGTTCATTGTTTTAGCAATCATAATCTTATATGACTAAATTATAATATTTTCAGTATTTTAAATCAATAAATCTAATTAGTAAAGATTTAAAGAGAAATGTTTATGAAACTACTAGAGTTTTCTTTATATCTTTGTTTAACCATTTCTTTTTCGATTAAATTCAGTACTGAAAGTTATTTTCTATTGTGTTAGATGGTGAATTTAAATAATTATCCAGTTATATTGATTAGGGTACCTGTCATTAATTCTACCCCAAATGAATATAAGAGTTACAGCTTTCCATTGTTATATCCATTGTAAAACATAACTAATAAGTATTAAACTAATATCAGTTAACTATGTTTTGGGGAATATAACAAAACGTAGCCTCTAAAAGTGATATTTTACGAGTTAATCTTCTGATTATGACCAGTATTTCAAAAATGTTTTCTGTACTGATGAAGTGTAGTTTTTGATATATGGTGTAAAGTATTCAATGTCGAAATCTTAAGCCTCTTTAATGTTGACCGAAATGTTTTATCGGCAATAAAACCTCAGTTTACTCTTCGGATTTATTTTAGTTTCTTAGTTGTTTCAGATACAAAGAAATGGCGAATAATAGTTAATTACAACGTTTGCCGTTTCATTGTTTATATGAATGATAATTTTTTCACATCAACTCGATTTATTATAAACTTACACTAGTGAAGTTCTATCATATTTATGAGAGATTTTTCATCCATATATTATGATATACCTTGCCAACTTATACCTCACATGGATGGTAGTTTGTATAATTATTTCTGTCGACAACTGTTTATGTAGTTTCATAGTAGTTACTGGAATGAAATTACTAAGAAAGAGTTAGTATTCTATATTTTAACCTCCTTTATTGTTCACGTACTACGTTGTTTAGATAATATTTATAAAATAACTAATTTACCAAATTCCACAGATTATGTTATTTGATTTTTAAGAGGAACTTCATGATCAGTTCAAAATAGATTTGTTCTTCTAGAAGGATTGCAGTAATTTGCCATTTCTTTAAACTTAACAACCAATATGTTAGATTGTTTTTTAACACAATTTGAAATTTTCATTTTCTTTCTTAAATTTCTTAAAGATCCTACTATGGCTTGGGTTAGATTGGGTCCAATTGATAGTCAATCAAATTTAGACGGCGATCGTGTAGCTCTAGTCTCTAATCCAATTCGTCATCATTATAACAGTTGTATATCACGTTGGTTTCGTGTATTCCTGCTTATGGGTTACTTGTGTTTGAAATCGGCTTATACATTTGGAGTGACGCTAACAGCCTTAGCAATTATTATTCGTTATATGACATGGTAAGTGTAATGTTCGATTTGATAATTTGGTTAGTTTTTTGGACTTTGTCGTTAGATTTCATTACTGACTAGCTTCAACTTGAGAATTATTAAAAGCAAGATCTGGGATCTCTCAGGAGTGTATACTTGTAAACCCATTCAGAATTGAACTCAAAACAATAATATTTCAGGCAGTCACGATACCTTTATATGAATAAGTCGAAAACACTATTCAATTACACAATCAGTAGAGTGTTTAGATACCATTCAAGATTTACTAATAAAATTTGGTTCTGTCTACGCTGATATCGATAGTATGGAGTAAGGTTATCTAGAGTTATCACCTTTAGCCACCGATCTAATCGACTACAGTCATTGAGCTTCTTACCACGCTCATGATTCACATTTTTGAGATAGTTTGATTTTATTGCTACTTCACCCATCACATACAAGGATGTGAAGTCACTTATCGAGTTCAGTACATGTACAAATAGTCCAAATTTGTCTGAGTTTGCTTCATGACTGAAAATTCACGTGTAAGCATTGCTCGATTGTATATTACATCGTAGACTATGTAAGATATATAGATATGTCGTCTGGATCATTTATAAAATAATTTTGCAGTTGCCTATCAGTCATTCTATATTTTTTTCATAGACAATGCTAGCTATCAACTTCTCTTGCTTCACATAAAGTGTCAGGAAACCTATATAATCAGCTTAATCATTTAATTAAATCCATTATTGAATTAAGTGTATGGAGAACAATCTTAGTAATATCATACATTTATAAGAATGGATCATTGGAATTAAGAATTAGATTTTGATTACTCTATGTATTATATTATGTTTATCTTGTTGTAAATTGAAGGACTTTTAAACAGTTTTTCAGTTAATACAAAACTATATTACAGATAGATAGGATTAGCCAAAGATTGATAGATTTACCCTTATTTATGTTATTTTCAATATGAACTAAGCATCTTTGTATTCTTCACTATCTAATTATTTACACACATCTTATTACGTAATGATTTAAATGTTTTGTGATTACTATTCCTAGTCTATTTACCCATGTTTGTTTGACCTTCTATTTCCAACGATTAACTATTGATAAGAGTTTTGTTATTGTATTTTTTTATTATTCTCACTATTATCAGTTCACCTGTCTTCCTACTACTATCAACTTGTACTTTTACCTATTATGTGTAGAGACTAATTCTATTTCATTGTGATGATTGACCCATATTGCCTTGATTGGTTTAAAATTTTCGTATAAATATTCATGTATATTAGAGTAAAGCCTGATGACGATCTAATTGAAAACAATTGTTCGCTTATATGTGTTGTTCTCATCTTGAAATTGTTTAGCTGTGTTAACTGTGTTAGTGGTTAGTAGTGTAATCTTGAATGTACGTTTTTTCCTATATGGGACTTGTCACCTGGATGTATCTTTGCTTCAATGTTATGATTCACAGTGAACTAATAACTGGGTTTGATTTTTCGTTTTTTAACGCTTATTTTATTTGAAATATACTTAGTCATTCACAAAATTTCTTTTCTCTTTTTTAACATTAAAATTATTTTTAAGTGAATATGCTAATAAATTAGGTAATTTGCCTGAATGGAATAGTTTAAATGATCAATCTGGTCAAATAATGGGTACAAGTTTGACAAGACAAAAATTATTACAAGATGCTATGGATGTTCATTTGAAAAACGAATTAATTAGACAGCAAACAGAAGTCAAACGGTTGCGCACTATCTGTGATCGTAGTGTTGAAGCTATGTTTGAACAAATGAATAAAGTATGCACATTATTATCACAGCTATTAATATTATTATTATTATGAATCGTATCAATATTTTACATTTATCTCCACAGATAAATCAGACAGTCAATAGTTTATTACACATTTAATACACAGATTCCATCCATTCAGTACTGATGTGATGAGGGCGTCTATATATCAAAAATGTAAATGTGAATTGAACCAGTCGTTTATACACTAAATCTCACAGTCAATCATCTTCATGCCCATGCATACATAAACAGACTATAATTATAAATTCATTTTGTATTGTTTGTTTAGGACTGCAATTAATCAGTCTCTTATTGGCATATGTGCATCTTGCGCGGATTGCATCGATATTGCTTTAAGTCTCAAGCATTATAAGCAAAGATGGATGGTGGCTAGCAGTAGAATCCAGGGCGCGCGTTTCGTTCTATCAAGGACACGTCAGCTGGATGTCCCTGCATCTCAAAGTTGGTGTTCACTCTGGGACTCGAACCCAGTACATTTGAAGCGAACGGTACTGGACAATCCGCACAGGATGCATATATACCAATAAGAGACCGATTAATTGCAGTCATAAACAAACAAACAATACAAAATGAATCTACACTTCACTCCATCGCACAAGCTAGTGGCGATCATGACTCAAAACTAAGTGGGTAACGTGATGAAATTTGACGTGACCGGTACTGGATTCGAATCCCAGAGTGAACGTCAACTCGGATGCAGGTACATCTAGCTGACGATTCCTAACTGGGACGAAACGCTCACCTTGTGTTCCACTACTTGTCGCCATCTATCTTTGCATATAGAACTAGAATTATATTGTGTACAAACATCCTTGACCCTAAATAATAAGGATATTGAAGTATTTAGTTTCGGTTAGATATTTTTATTGATTCTATGACCCGATTCATTTTCTAATATTTAAACGTCAACTAACTTATAGAATTTCTTTATTATCTTAAACAGTTTTTATGAAATTTGTGATGAAATAACCCATTTAATTTTTGTACACTTATACTAAATTTACAAATTTCTATTATAAATAAATTACTCAAGAGAGACATAGTGTAATATTTAATTAATGAATTCAATGCCTTCTGATTTTATCGAACTTCAGTAACTTATTGATAATTCAAAACATCAATGAAAAGGTATTGAAATAGTTTACTAATTCTCTTCAAGATCTAATACGAAAAAGCATTGTTTCATTTGTGTCATATGATTCACTGAAACTACTAATTTTATTTAAATTCAGCGGACTGATAGTTATAAATAATGATTTGTCGTATTATATCAATATTCTAACATATTCATAGTGTTAGTTTGAAGTTTCCTTTATTAATATTGGATATTTATGAGCATTTTCTTTCTATACAGCGTTTAGATTCTATATCAAGTTTATCAGCATCGAGACGTAGTCGAGTACTTCTATCTCAAGCAGTAGCTGAATTAGCACGAGCTACTGCTACAGCATCTGCTTTACAATTAGCTGAAGGTTTAATTGCATTTAATGAAACTGCTGAATGGGCTATGAATCGTCTTCAAGCAGATTTAGTCGAAACTGAAAGAGCATTAGGAAATTCAGATTGGCTTACAGGTAAGTGTTTAGTATTTTTTGTTTTTGATTATTTTCAAGTTATATATGTATAAATGAATAGATAAATTATTAACCAAACAAGAAATGATAATGATACATTAAGTTTCTTATTAGTTCCTTACATCCAATCAAGAATCAGTAATATATTATATTGTCTGAGTTGCATAATAAGATTTAAATGTTTTATGAATAGTAGTGAGAAAGTAGTGAAGAAAAAACTATCGAGAGCACAGTTACAAAGTGAATATTTCAGAGATTTGGTAAAAAGACATATATCTAAACCTTAAAATAGTAGAGAAGAAGTTAAAGTAGGTAAGGAAATTATATACTAAAAATGAAATATCTAATTGTACTTTAAACAGTCGATTTAATAGATCTGCACCGCTTTATATCTACATCTACTCCTCCATTAGTGTAATATGTATTTCATTAACATTATGTGTAATATCTATAAGTACTTGGAGGAGAGAAAAGTTCTTTAAAAAGAAATATTTATAACTTAAATGCTTAACCATTCTTACATTATATTCGTATGATATCAAGAATGTCTTTTTTATATTTTGGAAATGTCACAAAAAAGTTTAATATATTTAGTTTACTCATAGTAATTATCTCGATATTTAATTTCTCTTTGATGAACTTTCCACTTTAAAAAAGTCTGTTATAACTTGAATACCTGGAAATCAGAAGAAATAATATCTTTATAATGATAGATGTGTTCTCGATCTGCAAAATCTACAATATATCTATCTAATGTTTGAAAATCGTTTTTAAGTAAATTCGTTACAAAAACATCAAATAGTTTTGAAAGTGACAGGGGACAGATAGCCTTTGTTTTCTCCGTTAATAAACTCTTTAGTCACAAGCTGCAAGTATCACCTTATGATTCTAATCCATTGACAACCAAATCATGACATAGAATTGTCAATTAGCTTGATAGTAATCAATAACTGAACTCTACTACCTAAACACAGAGTACCTTGGTAAGCGAAAGTTCGTGTTCTTTACAAAGTACTGTGCCTATTTCGAGTACTTTTTATTCTTAAAACGTATTTCGTAAAGCAACCATTTATGCTTCAATCGGTTCAGCTTATGTTTTGTTTTGGTAGGTTTTCAAGAGGTTAATAAATCCAATTGACTTCAGTTTTACAGTGCTTAATTTTAATGCTGCTCATCCACACATTACTGACCTTTTATAATAAAACAGTAACTTTCGTTTCATTGGGTAGTATAATACACAGCTGGAGAGATGGGGTGTGAAAAATCATTTAAAAAGTGGTGGATTTTCCTACCACCTTAAAAATCTATCACACTTGGACCAATGATTATCGATAAGTTTCTCGTCCATCGACATTATCATACAATAAAACCGCTATATGTTAAATTGTATATCCCCCACTAATATTGTGAGGTAATGATTATTAATATATTTAAGAAATAGAGGTTCGATTTAGTGTTAATTAGTTGCCTGGTACATCCTTTTGCTCCCAAAAAGTTATTTCATTGGTTGAATCCAATGGGCGAGATTGCATGATAACTACCCCATACCCGAATCGGTCACTAGTGGACATTCATAATCTTGAGTATTGGGTTGTGGAGATTGTAGTAATTTTAATGGTTATATTCATGAGTCGAATAGAGACATTAAGCCACTTCAGACAATGGATGAAGGGTTGTACAAGATCATGGATTGATTGTATGCCGACTCAGTGGTCTAGTGGGTTAAGCGCTCGCGCGCGAGACTGGATGCCCTGGGTTCGGATTTCGCGGGCAGGATCGTGGATACACACTGCTGAGGAGTCTCACGACAGGACGAAACGGCCGTTCAGTGCTTCTAGGTTTTCAATGGTGGTCTAACACCAGTAGGTTCAAGATCTCGATCAATAAAGTAATTTTAATAGTTGAATTCATGGATCTATCTAAGCTAGACCACCATTGCGAATCCCAAAGCACTGGGTGACCATTCCGTCCAAGTATGGGACTCCTCAGTAGTGCGCACCCACTATCCTGAACTCGGGACTCGAACCCAGCACCCTCGGTCTCGCGCACGAACTCTTAACCTCTAGACCGCTGAGTCGACATCCGATGGTGTTAATATCTAACCTCAACCAATTACTACAATTTCCACAAACCCTCGTTTTGATGATTTCCATGACCCCAAACGAAATCCAATGGAGCCCATTCAGTTGTGATTGTGATTTTTGCATTTGGAAATCATTTGATCAATAAAATCGTCGAAGTTCCAACAACAGTGTAGAATGATAGCTTTTTTCAAGTTACTTTAGAACGACCACTAATGAATAAAAGTAATTAGAGGAGTTTAAGTTAGCCAATGTTACACAAAGTTTATATGAATACTCCAATCCCTGATTATGATATGTATAACACATAACAACTAAACATGAAAATGTAATTGGATACTTGTTAAGCAACGTTTAAGCAAATTTAAAGATTCACCTTTTAATCTAATTAAAGTGAATAAAATTACAACAATGGCTTTATCTTGTCCATGGATAATCAGTTGATAGATGCAGGAATGCAGAATCCTGTCTTCGACAGGGATAGAACTGTTTATTCTTTTGTTATGATTATTCTTCTGAAGATATTCAAAGCAATTTGTGTTGGATTAAACCTTGAAATTATTTAAATTGCAACTTATGAGATTATTTCAAACATAATTCCAACACAATGTTTACCATAACTTTAATAACATGTATTGGTATTAGTTAACTAGATGTTTACATAACACTATTCTATTTTTATCTTATACCTTATATTTTCTTTAAATTATAGGTGCTCGTATTATCTACTCCGAAGTAGTTCGTCTACGAGCACTTACACCAGATCCAAATGATCCAACACGTTCATTTTTAGCATGGACTAAATTAATTTCAGCAGAAACTAATTTCAATAACATTAAAGGACCCCAACTTTCATTACCTGTTAATTTACCATCATTAGAACCGGAACAATTTGTTATACCAACACCTACAATAAAACGCAGTCAAGCGACTCATGGAAAATTATCTAGTTCCGACGAACCGGAATATGGACCAGTTTATGTTCCATTTGTATCTCAATTGTTAGATGTTGTAAGCGTTTATGTTATGAATATGTTATTGTATTCAAAGATTTCGTGATCAAATATTATCTTCTTTTTTGATATTAGAGGCTGTCTCTTTTTAGAATTTGGGACAAATTTCTCTAAAACTAATCATTTGTCAACTGGACGATTACGGATTTTTATTTTTTACTTTATACTTTAACAAATTAGCCGTAGAAACGTTTTGCTTTTTGCATAATGTGCTGAATTAATCCGAATTTAGAGACCGTTATGTATTTACTGTATATATTGGTATAGAGGCTTGGTGAAGATTGTTGGATGTTATTGGGATGACGAACGGACTTAAGTTGGACAACTACTGGAAGCCAGAAAGCAATATATAGCTATTTCACCCTAGTATGGCACTTTTCAGTACTGAACATTAGTGACCTCACTGAGGATCGAACCCGGGACACTCCGGTTAGAACTTAATATTTAGGCAACTGCTCCGGCCTAAATTTTTTGGGTTCGATCTTGAGTTGAGTAGTTGGTGTGCACCACTAGGAAGTCCCACATTAGCACGAAATAACTATCCATTACTTGCTGGTTTTCAACGACTGTCTATCTCGTCCTGGCTCGAACTCTGAAGCCTTTGTTTTTAGTACCCTGTTCTTAATGAAAATCATTCCTAAGTTTTTCACTAGTAAAGTTTTCAAGTTATAACAGTTTTCATATATTTTGATGAACTGATACCTCTAAGTAAACAATAGATGAACAAAGATAATTAAGTGCATGGATAATATCAGCTATTCTCATTATATATTTCATTGAAATCTCACTATTTGTCCTTGAACTGAGTGGATAGGTTTGTTAATTTTTACCTGATAAATAGACAAATAATTCAACAGGAATAGTGAGGAAGTGGTACGAAAAATAAGGATTTGAAGCATTAAAATAACTAGTGGTTTGTGACTTATCTCCTAATGTGTTTACTCTGTTCATGTCTATGTTCATTCATTTGTATATATCCGTACAATGATTATACAGTCAACTAAGAAATTAAAGGAAGAAGTTCGCATAATCGTTGATCGTTTGTGTTCTTCTAGTGATTTTTGAAAATTTTATTTCTCTAGATTGGAACGAACTAAAAATGGTGAATAACTGCAATCAGTCTACATATTTTTTAGTGCTTTCAGAAGATAAGACGGGGTTTATATGTATAACATTCCATTGGTATGCTAAGTTGATCAGTTATAATATTATTTCTAGTCAATATGAAATTTAATATCAGTACTTAAGTGCTTGTAAATCGTATAGAAATGAATACACAGTTATGACAATTATTGACAGTTAAGCTATTACGCGTAATAGACCGAAACTATGTATGTTAACCAATAATAATAAGTCCTGAGATATTTTTGAAGGCTGTGTATTCTATGCTGTTTTGAAATTGACGAAATAGCTCTTCAGTAACTCCTGATTTTTAGTAGTGAAGGAAGGTGTTTACAGATTGTTTTGTTTACATCGATCTAATCAGTTTATCGCTAATCTATACTTTCTGGATTATTTAGGAGACAAGTGGGGAATTCTGGTCACCTTATCATGTTGAAAATTCCTTATCAGATGTAGGTGGAGTCAATAATTTATCAGATAAATCAAGAAATAACGACATGAACTCACTGAAAACAAAAGATTCAAATGAAACTACCTATACCGCCACTGCTATCACTGCCAGTAATGATGATGATAGGGATAGTGGTGATTCATCAAAATCGACCAATGAAGGGAATTGGATATTTTCAGATTTTGATTTAAATTGGGTGCATATTCTAGGCGTGGCTTTATTTTTGGATGCATTATGGCTTATTCACAGAGTACTACACACTGTAGATACTGCTGAACGTATATTATACGGTGATGTTGTATTCATTGACCTTACTGAAGAAGGTATCTGAATTTATTTTTGGTTGTTTTCATTCAAATTTCATGCATATATGAATTTTATAAGTGTCTTTATTATCATTGGAACTCCAATTGTAATTGTAAGTCGTTATCTATGGAATCGACCAAGTTAGGAGTGTACAAGTAACTTGATAATATGCAAGGTGAGGATGCTGTCATAATGACTGACTGAAATTGAATATGTGGATCACCAGATTGTGATTCCATGACAGATATGCTCTTTATGATATATAAACACCTTGAGTTTTATCATATATGGTGTTGCAGAAGCGGACATTGATAAACTGGGACAAAGTAGCTGTCAATTGTTATCTGTATAAAATATTGATAACTGTTAGTTTGAGGTTATGGAGGCTGTTGAACTTCATAAAAATAATAAACTCATCTACGTTAGAACACAATTGAAAACCTGAAAATACTTAACAGGGTTTCGTTCTAGTATGGATTCCTATTCAGTTGGCACCCACGACTCTGCATATGGCACTTGGACTTGGAGTTTTCAGTCGGCTGAGGCAATTACTCACCAAAGGGAATGGAAGGTGGTTGAGAAATGTCGTGGATTGATTGAAGTTTATGAGTTTTTCTTGACGAGAGCTACGAGTTAAATAAGAGAGCATGACTACTCCATAATGTGAATCAATTACCTATATTAGAATTAATGTTTATTCTGATTGATTGTTTTTGAGAAAAGTATCAAACATCTCAAAATAACTTGAAAATAATCAAGCATCACTAATTGAATCAAGTTTATTTGTGTACTATCTTATGCTATGATCATGATAAAACGTATACTTCCCTTAAAGTATTATTCCATTTCATTGAATTTTTAGGTCTTAGACGTCGAATGAAAGAAACAAACAAACTACAAAAAGGGTTTAAACATGCGTTTCAAACAGTAAGTATTAAATTTGTTGATCTTCTGTTATATGCTTGAAATATTTACTATTAACAAAGTGATGTTTGATATAAAATTAGCTAGCCCTATTCGGGCAAATCCCATAACTCATAATTTTTCATTTAGCTGACTGTGTATTTTATAACTACAATAAAAGAATTATTCAATACACCATTGGACTTAGTATCTTAGGGTTGATAACTATCATCATTATTTGTAGTAATAGTATCACAGGCATGTTATTAATTGATGTATGGAGTCCATTTTTAATGACTAAACAACTGAGTACCTACTACAAAACTTAAAAATTCTGAATTCCCTTTAAGTAGGAAGTTACCGTACGTTGTTGTTCAGTTTGACAGTATATATATATAACTGAAACTTGGTTACGGACACACCGTAGAGATGAATTTCAAAGAATGACGTTTTTTAACAGTTATTTATCATTTTTTTCATAGAAGCTTTAAAAACAATCACATTTGTTTTCAGTTGATCATACATAACTTTTACAGTATTATTCCCAATTATTTCAGGATAATGATTACCACAATTTTCATTGTTGTATGAATTACTTGATGAGTTATTCTGAAAGTAATTAAAATATCTCAGTTATGATATATTTTGGAAAGCAGGTAATAGTACAGTCTATAATCCATGTTTACTCCCACGTGGGTTATCTGTAGCCTAATAAAGTCTTAAGTAATATAATAAAATTCATCTCATTATGTGATTACATGTGATATTTAGATGTTTTACAGAATAGTCAATAAATAATAGACTGTTTTTTGAGTACCGTTTTGCACAACACTTTTTTCTCATTCCTCAAACACTTTACTCAGAAAAATATTAATTTGAAATTACCGATAAATTAATTTACAATCTAGAATATTATAAGAATTTGATATACTGGTATTTTACTTAGATGGACACCTTAAAAAAAGAGTAATACAATACAACTTAGTTGTAGCGATTAACACATATACTACTCATAATTTGCACTAACGAAGATAATCGCATATGTTTGAGCCATTTATAAATACTTCCCTATTCATAATGGACATTCTAAGCAATAACTAATGATAATAATGCGTAATAATCTCAATTGTAAAACTTTCTATTTGTTGAATATAGTACACTAAGTATGTGTGTTTCCTTGATTATATATGTACATTTATTATTTTATCGAGATCACTTTTCTATTTTATTAATACATTTAATTTTTGTTTTCATATTTTCCTTTAACTTCCTGATTGTTCGGAAACTTTGTTGTGATAAGTACAATTCTGTACATTTTTTTCTGTCTTTCAATAGACTACTTTATTTGTTGAATTACTTTAAATATAATTGAACAGCTTTGATCCCTAGGAGTACGAAACATTTTTTCGCTGAACATTTAAATCTTCTTCAGTGACACTTTTTCTTTTCTTTTTTAATTCTACCTATTAAAAGCTATCAGCGTTTTTCAAAAATTCACTGAATATATCCAGTTCATATTTTCTAACATTAGCATTATATATATATATATATATATATATATATATATATATATATATATATAATGTTTCATTCCCATTTAAAAAACTACATCATATTTGTAATGGAATGGAATTTAACCACATACTTCTTATTATATTCAACTTGTCAATTTTTCATCACATTTGTTGAGTGAGGAATATGATAATGTGAGTGTAAATATTATCTTCGACCTGATTATAAGGGAAATTTTAGATTAATTTTCATATACTTATGAAAAACGAATGATTTTTATTATTTGATGAATATAATGTTAATCCTCAATATATAATGTAATTTTATCCTCAACAAACAATAAATTTCCAATAAACTTGTTGTTGACATTCGGACAAAATATTATGGAGTATCAAATGAATCCAGATTATATGATTAGTATAAAGAGTTTAGTAATATAAGATGCATAGATCATCAACAATTCACAACCACTAAATGTGTTATGAAATTTCGGACATAGCAGTAATGAAGAAACCAGCACAAAAAAAGACAAAAGTTAGAATAAAATCAATAAAAATTGAGAAATTCGGTTCGTAAAAGGTGGAAGAGTGAATTTACGAAAAAAAGCCAAGTGTTAATGGCATAGGTGGCTATGATTTGTACAGTTTCATGTTTTATTTGGTAGCAGAAACTCATCCCATAAAAGTCTATATTAAATTTTATACTACTTTCAAGTAGAATTAGATGTTCAATAAAATTTCACATCAGTCATATTTGAAGCTAAGAGAAAATTTAATTTATATAATCTCGACGGCTTTTGAAAGGACATTCATAATGCTTTGTTTTGACATACGAGAATTTACTAGATAGATCGCTATTAAATATCTTGGGTTATAATGAAGCGTTAAATGTTAAGTCAAGATTTTCATTTTACTTTTAAAAATATTCTATTATGTTACAGATTATGCAGCCTAGTACAATCCGAAAATTATGTGCAAGTGTCATTGCACTTTTGATTGTAACTCAAGCTTCTGCACATTTAGACAGACTATTATCACAAGAGATGTTAGACTATATTGGATACTATGATAATTTGGTAAGTTCATCCATTTTGTTTTTCTAAAACAGTATATTTTTAATGAGCAGATTTTTGTAAGTACATGTAAAGTCATCACGTCCATATTTATTATCAGAGTAATTGGGTTTGAGAAATTGTTTAATCTGATGTCATTTTATACCCTTAAACTAACGTAGTTGGAGATCAATGGAAAACTGGAATTAATTATATAAGATTTAATTATCACTTAAAATTTATCTTCAAAAGGAATTGAACATCTGCTCAAACGAAAGCAGAATGCCAAGTTTCGCCGTCTATAAAGAACAATGGAGACAAAACATTTTAGCTGAGTTAAATCATGATAAAGACCAGTTGTCTCAATTTTTCAAAGGGTATTTCTTTACAAGGTTGGTCTATGTGCCATAGTTTCTTATTCGAAACTTCTAGAGTGTTATCTTTTATAAGATAGTCAGTCATGATAGTAGGATTTGTGCTTTCTCATGATCTCATCATTTCCAGCTATTTTTAATTTCAACATATTCACTAAGCAAACGAAATTTGGTTCCTTATATTGTAAAAAGTTGTTTGAAGTTGGGATGTAATAGTTCTGCAACACATTGTAATATGTTATAGTTCTTTGAGCTTATTTTATTGATTTCTATCTAACACTGAAAGTCATAACACCTATTTGGTCGTATTTTTGACTGGCCAATAAAATAGGCGTGCATTTAGATGCTGCTGTTCACACTAGAACTTGTAACTACTTGTTTTATGAGCTTTACCACTTCTTCAAAATTTGCTACCATCAAACAATTTTTCAGGTAATATCAAACTTCGCAAATGGGAAATAATCACCAAGCTTCAAGAAAAACAACAAGCAAATTGCACCCTTAACTATCAACTAAGAATTTATTATTTTATTAGTTAGAGTATAAGAGTATCTGAGTTTAGTTGTTTTCAAATCTTGTGATAATGAGCAGATGTAATATGATTTTAGTCAGCATCCAAACGATTTCTTTCAGGCTTTATTTTAAACTAAACCATTAGTTTGTTTATTTATCATTTCACTAAATGGTTAATCAAGATGAAGTATTTGAACAAACTGACGTGTTGGGAATCTATTCCTTTGCAGGTTATCTGGAGCTTTCACATGAGAAATGTAATCAAAGTTAAGTAATCATACAATATTTTAACAAATTATACTCTTTTTATATAATTTCATTATTGGATTCTTTAAGTACTTATTTTTTCGGTTTTATTTAGGTTCTTCCTGTTCATTTACATGCTCGTCTTGTAAATGTCCATGTGACACGTTCAGCTCAACGTTTGAATCAATATGAATTAACAAGTTTAGAATCAGAAGTTAGTCGTCGATCAAGAGAAACACAATTTTTACTGCATCAATGGACTCTTTGGTTAAATGATGTTGAGCAAGAACAATGTCGTTTACTACTGGCATATAAAGTATGTGAATGTACTAACCGGTGGATTTGCTTAAATATCTAGACTCATTATTTGATAGATATTTGAAAAAATTTACAGATTTTAAATTTCTTCTGAAATGACTGGCTCAGTGGTCTAAAGGTAAAGAGTTCTTGCGGGACCGAAGGTTCTGAGTTAGGGTCTCGCATTTGGAGTCATGGATGCCAACTGCTAAGGAGACTCATGATAGGACGAAACGGCCATCCAGTGCTTCCAGGTTTTCAATGATAATCAAATATTGATTAATTCATGATCTCAATAAAAAAAGAAATATCAGTTAATCTCTGGTGTTTCAAATTCTGTTGATAAAAATACACTGTAGGAATTTATCGAAATTGTTCACATTTTGTGGTGATGATTTCTTATTGCTAGCAAACATTGTAGTGAATAATGTCATTACCACCGGTAAAATTACTTTGCATTTTTCTGCCTTGAAGTTTTGAAGTAACGTTTGCACAAATTGTTAACTGTTTTATTCCACTCAAAAGATTTCACTAATAATTATTTGCACAACACTTTTATAGGATTTGTAGAGAACGATTAAAATACCGTTACAAACTCTCTTATGTCTTCACAGGTGATCTATGAATTTATTTAAGCATATGTAAAGTAATCTCGTAATCAGTGTTATTAGTTCTTTTCATATATCAAAGATATTCTACGTGATAGGGTTTCTACTTTTGACTTCTTAAGCTCTCAATATTTCTATGGTATCATTATGACAGAACATCGATTCTTCCTCAGCCATTTGACTTTACTTTGTAAATAGTTTTAATTTCTAGTATACTTAAAATGGATTTCTGTTTTTGCCACATTAAACAGTGTAGACAATAACAAGTCTATAGTTTAAGATTAAATTTTCCATGGTTTTATTCTTCATTTTCATTCAGCTTATTTCGGCTTTTGATCATTCACCTATATCACATTATAATTAATGAACATTTAATTCTCATAGTTTTATTGTATAACTAAAAGAATTCTGACTGTAAAGTGACCTCCTGAAAAACATTTAAAATAAAACTGATCAATCATGATTTGTAGCCTTAATTTAAAAGAAAATAAAACGATTTAATAGTTGAATTCATGAGTCGATTGAAGCTAGACCACCATGGAAAACCTAGAAGCACTGAACGGCCGTTTCGTCCTAGTATGGGAATCCTCAGCAGTGTGCATCCACGATCCCGCCCCGCGAGGTTCGAACCCATGACATATCGGTCTCGCGCGCGAGCGCTTAACCACTAGACCACCAAACCGACCGACATCTAGCAGTGTTAATGTCTAACTTCAACTAATCCAGTGCTTCCAGGTTTTCCATGGTGGTCTAGCTTCAATTAACTCATGAATTCAACTATCAAATTACTATAATATCCACAAGACCCCTCTCTGATTAAAAATAAAATGGTTAAAAATCATTAAACGATCCCACGTTGATATATTCGGGATTAAACGTAAAAATCCAAAGATTCGATATCAAAAATCCCATGAGAATTGGTTTAAACATTCAACCTAATGGTTATAATATAAATAATTCTAGTTAATAATGAAGTAATATTAAACAAAAAATGAACTCATATAAAAATTAAAATGATTAACGAAATTCGATAAACGTTTGTAGGTATTAATATCAAGATTTGACTTGATAATTTGATCATCGAGTAGATAGTTAATGATATATTCGTGATGTTGAATTCCTACCCATTGGGATATCATGAATATAAAATAAGAAAGATTGGTTCAGTGAAGAGTTCTCTTTTTGCTAAATTCATTTTCAAAACTGTACAGTCGTAAATATATACTTATTTTTCAAAATGATAATAGCAACAATCATAGTAATTATAAAATCCTATTAAACATGGTAATAGTGAGGTAGAATAAACAAAGGCATTAAAACGTTATTTTTTGTCAGGAAAAATAATAATAGCTTTGTTGTTGTAGGCTTGAATATTTATCATGAAGATGGATAGGGGAATTATAATTTGAAAATGAAGACTCAGCATGATAAAATCAAATGTTGAAATTGAGATGAACTGTAATCAGGAGGATCATGGAAACAGAAAGGAAACCAGTTAGGGGTAAAAGATAGATGGGAAACAGATAGCTATGAAGGAAGGAAAGTATGAAGAAGAAAGTAAAGTACGAGAGATTAAAACCATGACAGATGAAGAGGTTGTACCAGTTTCTTTTGGAAACAAATCTGGTTTTTCCAGATGTATAGGTAGTGCTTCGGTAATGTTAAGTGGATGAAGTATAACTGCCTTTGGTAGCGTTCTAATTACCTTGTAGATGACTTTGAACGTAGAGTCTGCTTTGACTGAGTGACCTGTGTTCACGAGGTGTTCGATTATTGAGCCGCTTCCATCTCTTTTTAGCCAAGCCGAATAATCTTTTTGAATTCTTTTGGATAAAGTATGCATCGAACAGGTAAATTAATATATGCACATACCGTTAGTCGAATAAGATCATTTGTGAACGTTGATTAGTGTAGTAAGGTTGCTGCGAAGAACGTTCTTTTGAAAGAATCACTTCTTTAGTACGTCTGCAACTAAATCACCTTTGAAATCGATGATCATGTAAAGTGTTTTCTTTCCCACTGAGACTATTTGTCCCTGAAGTAGTTTGAGCCAGATATTCTAGTCCATAAATATCGAAGGATACCCGTTTTCGATAAATCTTTTATTAAAGAGGCTCCGGTCGTTATCTATCACCTTTGCGGCTACAAATTCTTCGTATTTGCATAGTGTAGGATATGATTAAGTTTCCCTTTAGACTAATGAGAACCCAGCTGTGGATACTCAACAGTTGACCATTCCACAAGGTTTTCCTGCAGATAAATCTATCTCAAAATTCCACCATGTTTTCTTGTCAATTCATCATCAAGAAAATGAATACTTTGTTTGTAATTATTATCACTTACAAAAATAAATATATATTTTCGCAATTGTACAGACTTGAAAATGAATTCACCAAAAACAGAACTCTTCGTTGAATCAATCTCTCTTAGATTATGTCTCAATGGGTATATCACCAATATATATATGGATGATTGTTTATTAATTTCGGCATACATATGACTATGTGGAATTGTGAAAAATTCAAAATACCTAAATGAGTTTATAACTGAATACTTTTCCAACAAAAAACAAACAAGGTTTTCTAGTATATAATTTATTACTTTTTAAAACTAACGTTATTTATATTCGGAAAAAAATATTTATTATTGTTATTAGCCTATTAGTTGACAATAATAATAATAAGGATATTTGCAACTTATTTCAGTTGACAGAGTACATTATCTGAAAGCTAAGGATATTTAATGATTTTTCATTTTACTTAATTCATTCTTGAAACAAATTGTTGTACTAAATTTACTTGGTGTTGTTTTAAATGTATCTTCCCATTGTTATTTAGGAATGCAGTTGATCAGTCTCATGTTGGCATATGTGCATCCTGTTCAGATTGCTTCGATATAGCCTTAATTCACAATTACAGTCCTAAATAACAATGGGAAGATACAAGTCAAACAATACCAAGTGAATTTAAAATTCACCCCATTGCACAATTAGGTGGCTATCAGGACTCAGTAGCTAAGTGGATAACGCTATGGCGTTGGAAGCGAATGGTACTGGGTTTGAGTCTCAGAGTGAACATCAACTCTGAGATGCAGGTACATCCAGCAGACGAGTCCCAAATAAGACGAAACGCGCGTCCTAGATTCCAGATTGTTGCACTGTTATTTGATATATCATGTATTAGTTCCAAGAAATGTAAAGATATAAACGTGAAGTGAATCGTAATTCGTTGACAGTACTCAATAATAGAAATGTGTAGCATACACAGTTGAGATCATCCATACATTGATATAGAAATGCTTAAAAATCGAATGAAGTAGTAATCCTTCTATCTTTTTATTTAATATCCCATTTGATGTTGTAAAGAATTATTTATGAAGGATTCGAGTGTTATGAATATTCAATCTCTTTATTTCTTCCTCTCATTATTATATTTATAGAAAATATCTTAGTGTCCATTTTGTTCCAAGTTTGTTTTCAAGCGAAGCGTTTTATTAGATTTTCTATTAGAAAGAAGCTTATTTCAAGGTTAAAGAGTGATATTCGTATTTGGAAGTTATCTTTTGACACATTTATTGTTATGCTGACATCAATCACTTTTGCTGGTGATATATAACTGTTTTAAAATAACATACGTTATGACTTAGAATCTCTAAGACCTTATGATCACTTATCTCCTGTAAGTTGTAAAGTAAACTTATCAGGTCCACTTAAAAAAAGAGAGTATTTTCCATTAATAACATTGATTATATAAAAACATTCCATTTTTCTTTCTTATAGGCTGCTGCTCAAAATTTACGAACTAAAATGTTAGCACAATTAAATCGTAACTCAGCATTAGCTAAATTAAATCTTCCTATTCATATGATAAATAAAGAAAAACAACCATCAACTTCTGATTGGAATCATCATTCTTCATATACACTCGATGATATTAAAAGACATAATGAATATTCAGTTGCAGATGCTATAGTACCAAAACACTGTCGTATGACACAATCTGAACGTGATATAGAATTAGCGGAAGCTCGTCGACTCGATATACCTTACTGTCCATTGAAACCGATTGTTCCAAAATTGTTTAAAGAGTAAGTTTAGTAAAATTTGTTTTATATCTGGTTTGCGTAGATATATCAATATTCCCCTTCTGATCTAATTAGATGTTTTTATAACACCATGTATAAATAGGCTTAGTGTTGTCCTTACATTGAAACGTATAATTTTCATTTGCTGTCTCAAAACTATAAGAAAGTCCAGAAATACAGAAAATCACCTTCATGTAGATTGTCAGAGATGAGTAAGTGACGTACATATGAATGACTTGTAACTCATTCATCAGAAGATATATAATAGATTGAGTTTTCATTCATCAAAAGCAATGTACCTAATTTTGGAACGCTTCAATGCTTTTATACATTGCCTTCCTTTTAATTTATTACAATCTCATCAATCTCATTGAACATATTTATTTTAAGCGAATTTCAAATGACATTATAATACGAATATTTTCGCATGCACAATATGATATTTGGGATTATTAGAAATCATTTTTTGTGATGTTACTGTTATATCCTAATAAAGATTAGATTATAGGTAACTTCTGAGAACTATTAACAGACTTTATATATATATTCTTATTGTATAACTATTCAGTAACTGGATTATGTATATCTATATTCCTCTTATTATAAGTTTTATTTTGACCTATAAACTATTATGATACAATTTACTATTCTTAAATTATACTCTGTTTATTAATTACAGTCTCCCACGTTTATAGCTAAATTTCGGCTTGACATTGAGCAAATGTTATTTCCTATTTTATGGTGTGATGTATATAAACCAGGTATATTTGAAGTATATGATTCGCATAGTGTAATCTGGTTTTAGTGTTCTGGACTCAACTGTAAAGGCTGGGAGAACAAAGGACCACTAAGGACACTAGACTGTTCATACCGGTCGAACGTCATTGGTTTGGCACAGTACTAAGATTGTATAAGTTGTATTTCGATTGGCCTAATAAAACGTGATATTTAACCGGGTTAAAAGTCACAACAGTTACACATAAGTAATTAATCATAAATCAGATTTAATGTCATAATAAAATGAAAACGAGTTAAATTTAAATTGACTTTATTCATTTTGTATGTTTTATTAATGATTCAAGCTCCAAACAAATAATACCATGTAATTAAGTTACCGTAATTTGATGTACAATAATTCAGAATGGATTGTTTAAAAGAAAATAATTCAATAAATAAATGAACTGGATACATTGAATTTTGCGAAAATAGATCTGATCGTAAATCGCAGGATTTATATTATTTCACATTTGGTTAATATTATGCGATCAATATTCAAACAACATTTTATCATATATATTTTAAAGATAGCCTTATTGTAAGTCACAGATTGAAATCATGAGTCACTTGAAGCTAGACCACCATTGAAAACCTGGAAGCACTGGACGGCCGTTTCGTCCTAGTATGGGACTCCTCAGTGGTGCGCATCCACGAACCCACCCCCCACGGGGCTCGAAGTCAGGACCTACTGGCTTCGCGCGCGAGCACTTAACCATTAGACCACTGAGCCGGCATCCAACGGTGTTAATGTCTAACTTCAACCAATCCACGAAGTTGCGCCACCATATACCATTGTCTTCAGTGAGCTGATATCTCACAACAGACCTGGTTGTACTTCACTGATAACGGCTTCCCACTAGAACTCCAGGAGTATCTCTTGAAGTCAGTCACTAGTGAGCAGATGATGGTGGTCTAGCTTTAACTGACTCATGATTCCAATCTGTGAAAATTTCTAGAAATCTCCACAAACCTCTTCTGATATTATTTTAAGTCAATCATTTTCGTAAACCATAGACGGATATTAGCTAGATGATTGTCGGGTAATGTTACAAATTGACTAAAATTGAAAATGTTAATCTCTGAGCACCAACTCACTGGTTGAAAAATAATTCACTTACTTGGAGGCTTGAATGTCTTAGATTTGATTTATGGAAGGAGTCTAGGTGAGTATTTCAAAAGAGTCTCATACTGGAACAAAGCAACTGTTCAGATTCCCTTGCCTAGGTGAAGTTTGTCCGTGATTTAAACTACCTTCAAATTCAAACAAAAAATATTCTTATTTAACTTCTCTATATTGTTGAACATTATGTCAACAGGCATAAGTAGCATATACTACACATATATATGACTGTATTTATTTAATAGTCTATACAATATTATCAAAGCTATAATTAACTGATAAGATAAAATATCACTTCGTAGGTAATAAGAGTTAACCTGCCATTTTTTTTCCATTCAAGTTTATAAAGTTTTCAAGAGAATTTACCATTAAATCATTCAATGAACTGAAAAAAGCCAGTTAATAAAGTTTCAATTGGCATTGTTTACAGTTGAAACTTGTAAATACACAATATGATTACCGTTAATATGAACTTTGATTTATTAAAGTAAAATAATTTATTATTTTACAATCGATAGTAAAATTACTTGTTTATTATTATTATTATTAGGGCGGCCTGCTTGAGCATCTGGGCTACCTGTTCCTGCCATCTAGATATTTCAACAAGTTATCTATTGTTGTTTGTTTTAATATATCATTATGTTTATTAATCGCATAAACTATTCTGCTGCGTTTCTGAAAAGTGTACAACCTTTCGTTGTCAAAGTTACAGAAAACTCAATAAAAGACAATATGGTTGCTGGCAATGTACAACGAAAAGAATGTACATTATTCAGTTGTTCATTCACTGAAGTGCTAACATCTAACTGGCGATTCCTCAATATTTATCGCCAGGACCGACCTAGAAGAAAGAAACGGAAACTTGTTGAAATACTTTGCGCTGAGAATTCTATATTGTACCAAAATTATAATATTGAATAAAGCTAATAATAATAATAATAATAATAATAATAATAATAATAATAATAATAATAATATATAAGTTTTTGATAATAGTTTGATTAAAACTTCATAGTAAAAACTATTCAATGATCGGTATGTTATTTTAGATACAAATAACTTGATGCCACTTTTTATAGTTGACCATAATTTGATAAATTATTAAAGAATATTATAGACTATGATAAATCTTTATCTCTTTTCAAAGTATATTTCATTATTATTTTAGAATTAATAAACTTCACTATGAAAAAGAATATTTTAATATATAGTTTATGTATTTAAGTAATATTACTAAGCTTGATGAATAAACACTCTTGGTGAACAAAAAATAAATGGAATTAAAAATGTATTTACCTAATTATTATTATTATTATTATTATTATTATTATGGAACGTGGTGCCGTAAAGTTGATGTTGGATACACAGACTCTTTCGTTATATGAAAACAAAGATGGAGAATGAAGAAGGTGGTTCATTTAATTAAACTAAATCCATTTTATATGGATCTATATATTTATATGTTCAATTGATACTAGTGAAATGTTTAACAATATTATTTATTTTACTTAAATATTATGATAAATAATTATTTACTTTTTATTTTCTCTTTTTTTATTCTTTATGATATATCTATATCCATATATATAGTTATAATGCTTCATTATATTTTACTGAAGTTGTATTACAATCAGAGAATTGGTTATCTACAGCACGCGACTATTTAGGTCGTTTCTTATTTTGTGTATTTATTTATGTTAGTGCTATTGTTTTATGGAATACAATGGGTTCAGTCATATGGCTTATTTTAAATAGGTAAGTTTAATCAGTTATGTATATATATATTTTGTCTTAACCAGTATTTATTACTAGTAATTTAATTGATTTTACTGGAATTTCTTCGATAATATTAATGAAATAGACGTTAATGAGTTGTCAGATGATACATAAAGAAATGATAAGGTCATATTTACTTTACAGGAATATATACATATATATTATTTGCTTATTAGATGAAACTCCTACGTTCTTCGATTTTGTTTATCGGTAGTAATGATGTTCTTCTTTTTAATAATAATAATAAAAGAAATGAATCATGGTTTATTGATGTAGCCTGAAAATTTCTGACAAATTATGTCGTTAAATTTAGATACAGAAAAAAACTGTGGTCGATATGATTGTCTGATCCACATGAAATTAAATAAAACAATGACTTGATACTTTTTGTAAGCAATGATGGATAGTGACTAGCAATGGAATCCAGGACGCGCATTTCGTCCTATTCGGGACTCGTCAGTATGTACATATACCGATAACAGACTGATCAATTGCAGTCTTAAAACTCAATGGGAAGATACAAGCCAAACAATACCAAGTGAATTCAAATTCACTCCATTGCACAAGCAAGTGGCTATCAGGACTCAGTAGCTGAGTGAATAACGCGATGGTGTTTGAAGCGAATGGTACTGGGTTGGAGTCCCAGAGTGGACATGAACTCTGAGATGCAGGTACATCCACCTGACGTGTCCCAAACAGGACGAAACGCGCGTCCTGGATTCCACTGCTAGCCACTATCCATCATTCCCTACAAAAAGCTTGTGAATTGAGGCAATATCGAGGCATACGCACAGTATGTACATATACCGATAACAGACTGATCAATTGCAGTCTTAAACCTCAATCGGAAGATACAAGCCAAATAATACCAAGTGAGTGAGTTGATACATTCAGTTCATTTCAAATTTTCTATGAAAGTGAGCAATTTTAGGCTATTAAAGAAGTAATTATCTTTATTATGAAAGATTTGTTTACTTCTAAAAGACATAACGTTTTTATACAGCATGAAATATATTTTGGGGAATCAGACATCGGGTTACGTGTTCTCGGATTTAGATAGTTTAATTGGAAACTTACATAGTAGTTATATTAAACATCGAAGCTTACTTCATTTAGAAATGAGCTGCTTAATTATTCTACAATAACTAAATAAGTCTGTTTTGATGACCTTGTAAATCAATGGTTGTCTCGATAGACTTTGTCAATTTGATTCTTTTTCATTCTTGTTTATTTTGATCACATGATTATTTGATATTTTCTCCATAGATTGATGGATGCCATTCATTATTTTAAAATTAGATATCTGAACTTTATAGCTGCACAGACGATCACAAATCTTAAATCTACCCAGCTGACAAATACGACCTTTTGATAAAGCTTACTTTTCAGATCATTTTATTTTTGTTGAAAAAAACCCTCAAAATTTGTTTTGGCTCTAAGATTTTGAGCCGTCATTTTTATGCATTATATTTCCCAAGATAACTTACTAACTGTGTATAAAAATGCTTTCACTTGAAACGGTGATAAATCTTCTATAGTGAATGCATTTCACGGGTTTTTAAGCCTTGGAATAAGCTATGGATTTTATATGTGGTAATCCAACCCCTTAAGTTCTTATCTCAATTTAGCTCTTACCACAGTGGCCATATTAGTTTCTATACAACAACCTCTTTTGGTTTAAGTTTACTTCAGAATGATTTAAGGTTAAATATATGCAAAGAATAATTCATTATCCGTAGTTACTTGTGAAGTAATCTTTTAGAAATATATCTTGTTTGGTTTCCACATTAAAATAAGAATACATTTCAATTAAGTTTCCTTATATACGAATATTCGTCAAGATTAAAACAAATAGTTTGACAGAAATTTTGGGCATTGTATAGAGAAGTCATTATATGTGAAAATTATATTTGAAATAATCTCAGTGATTCAAATTTAAATAATGCCAACGTTTCGTCCACCTAACTTGTCTAGACTTCCTCAGGGTAATAATCAAAATCAACCTTGAAGAAGTCCAGACAAGTCAGTTGGACGAAACGTTGGAATTATTTAAATTTGAATCACTGAGATTATTTCAAATATAATTTTCACATATAATAAGTTTATTTTATTTCATTATTATTATTAAGTAACAATAAAAGTTTAGTGCTTCATTCAGTTATTATACTTTAGTATTGAGATGCAAGCTTTTTTTAAGAAAACAATTCACTTGATTTTATTGTCATATGGTTTCAATTGAATCATCAATCAAAAGTCATATTGATTTCATGTGTAAAATTGTTTAACACTAATGATGGTAGACAGAAAATATCCAATCAAATCTTATGTTTCCATTTCATTGTACATAAAATTATACGAATAATATAGCCTACGGATTCTAACTTTAATTCATTATTTATGAGCACAATATTAAGAAAAAACGTGCAGTGTTGTGGGAGTGGTCGAACAAATACTTTGTACAATAAAATACGTGACTCGTTGTTATATAAGTTTCGAATTATGCAACCCATAAGACGTTGTGACTTAGAGATCTGTTTCAATACCTGTTCTTTAAACGATAAATCGTAGGAGTATCTAAGTTCTAAGCCCACTATTGTATGTAACTTAGATAACACCTCACCATTTATGGTAAAATCTAAGTCGATTGATGTATTACCGGAACCTATCCATCCACATTTAGCCGTGTTAAGCTCCAACTGCAACTTCGAGCACCCGATTGGGTACCATTGAAAACTAAGGAGTAGTATACAGTTGTTTTGTCTTATTATGGGATTCAATAGAAATGAGCACCCATGGCCAAAACTTTTTGTTGTACGACTCAATCCGAAATTTTACCATTGTTTTCCGATTCAATGGTATTAATGGTCAGACGTTCACCGTGATACCCGAAGGGCTCGAACCCTCGTGTGGTTTTGAGTGCACCAATGATGGATCCCACACTCGGACCAAAAGACTGTTACTCTCTTTACTTCAATGTTTCTGTTTTTCTTTACTATGATGAACTCTCAACGTGTCACTTCCATCTAAAAATACAAGTGGAAATTAAAACGTATTGAAAAGAGAATTCAATTAGCTTGATATTTTATCTAATGATTCTGGTTTAATTCAATGATCATTAATAAAGAGTTTTTAACCAATTAAAAATATGTATACTATAGTTATTCATTTTGAATGATGTAAATATTTAGTAAAAAATCCTCAACATTTCGAATGAATAGTTGATAAGATAAAAAAAATAGTAACCATGTGCAATCAAGAAATAATATCCTTCACGTTTATAACTTATTACATGATACAATATTTTTGGAATCCTTACAATTTAATGCTTATTAAGAAATTTTGATTTCAAGAATACTGCTTCTCTTTTGAATAGTATGAAATATGTTATATGAAAATAAAGTATAAAGTATACTTTCCGGATTTACTAATCTACTTTATTAGTTGAATGACATTTGATTATTATATATTCATTGTAGTTAATGAACATGGATATAATGTCTACATTTAATTTTTTTTTCTTTTCAATAGACTTAATCTTTTACCACAAAAAGTATTATTCAAATCCGATGTTACTAGTTGGCAACCAATTGATGTACCACAACAATTATGAATGTTGAAAAGAAAAAGGAAAACATAGACTAAAACAGAAAAAAACAACAACGATGAAATCATTTTATTGTGATTATATTTCCATTTTCTTTGGTCATATTCACTTTTATCATAACATGACTCTATCCATTCTTTTTTCATATAATCAATGATTGAAACTTGTTATCAATCTAGGTGATCATTATTTAAATACCAAAAAAAAAAATTCAATATAATAAATGAACCGGTTAGTCGATACTAATTGTTTTGTTCTATGAATTGTAACCAAAATTAAACCTTTTGCTTTTTTTTGTTGTAATCAAAGTTTCCATGGATTTATTTGAAACGTGATTTCCTCTTTATTTCCATTTGTATACAAAAAATGTCACTGATTTGTGTTGAATTTTCTAGTTACCCAGTGCTCTCTTTCTGTTATACTAATCTGTTAATTTGTATTGAGTTAACTTAATCATAATCAATTTATTTTTAGCAGTTGGCTTTCCGCCAATGATAAATATTTTTCAAGAAATAGAATAAACAAATGGGGCATTTATATGTTCTCATTTTTTTTCTACCATATTTAAAAATTACTGTGTATGACAATCAATGTTAAAAATTAGTCTGGTATGTTTTCTTCAAAATCTAAATGATTTGTGTGTATGCCAATCGTTTTTTTATTTAAACAAAGAAATGTTAATCGACTTTGGCTTTTGCACAAAAAATATGCTGTTTTGTTAAAAATTTTGTTTTATATGCAAGAGGAATTCAGTGGTTAAAGTGTTCGATTTTTATCCTCAAAGTAACAGATCTGTACTTCGAGCGTAAAGAACCGGGTAAGTATCACAAGCTTGTACATTCAAAGCCAAGTATACAAACCTGTACTTGGTTGATTAGATAATAAAAGTCTAAATAAAATAATATGATCTATTTTCGTGGATTCATCAAGTGACTAACGAATAGAATCATCATCAGTGGCAATATTAGAGATACACCGGCCTTGAGTGATGATTAAGATGACTGTTCGCAGAGCAATTCGCTTGACCAATATGATTAGAAAAATACTAATGGAGGATTTGTTGTTGATTATCTAAAGTATTATGAGAAATATTGTTTGCTGCACTTACAGTGACTTATTTGAAAGGAAGATCATTTGAAGTAGATGTAACAAAAAACAATTTCTTTCAACGAAATCTTTATTGACGCCAAGTCAAATGAAACTATTGGTATTCAACTGGATTACAGGGAAATGCGTCACTAATGAGGCTATATATAGTTAACTGGTTATGATTAACAAAAATTATCTAGTTGATCTTCAGTCTGTAGTCTACAAAATCTTGGGTAATGTAAAGCAGACTAAGGTAGTATTACCAATGAGATAGAAGCATTCAGCATTTAATAATATATATAGAGGAGTATTTGTATTATATGTGTACCGAATGTAAACTGGAAATAATTGCAATCTAAATAGATCCATCGATTTAATGAAACAGAAGTAGACCCAACAATATATGTATATATAAGAAACTGGAAAATTCAAAGCGGATGTTATAACCTAGACTTTTTAGCACAGACTATTTTCAGTCTCTTTCATTGCTAGACTAGAAAATATTACTACTATAAAACTGTACTTTAAAAGTCATATCTATTTCAGGTTCTACACTGCTTACAACTGACTGATAATTTAAGGGTATATATAGTAGCTTTAAGATCTGAGTCTTCAGTTCGATCATTTTATCGATTGTAAGTTCTCAATGAGTCCCACACTATTGTCCTGTGCAACAATACATGATATCAATTCAAAACTTATAAAATCATTGATACAAAGTGATATTTAATTCAAACTGATTGCTTATCATTTACTCTTTTAAAAGAATATATATTCACTTGTATACATAACCCTAATAGTAATAGAAGTTTCATTTAAATGAATATTATAAACACAGTCCTGCAAAATGAGAATAAATAAGTTAATGAAAACTAATAAAAACAAAAACAAACGAACAGAAAAATAAATCAGAAAATTTATTAAGTGAACAAAGCAAGGCAAAAGAGAGAGAGAGAGAAAATTAGTATTTATGACAATTAGATCGATATGATAATTGTTAATTGTACAATTAACAGTTATTTATAAGAATATACATTTATTATTCTGTATAGATTGATATCATTACTCTGTTCCTTCATTGACACACACAACATGAATATCGAGGCAAAAACAAGATAAGGATTTAAGGATAAAGAACACAATATATATATATATATATATATATATATATATATATATATATATGACCAATAATATCAACAAGTAAAACAACTCGACACATAAACCATACAAAAAGGAACAAAAACAAGAACAAAAAAATGATTAGTCAAAGCAAATATCATTTTTTTTATCATACTGTAATATGTAATTGAGAAAACAAGAGGGATATGAAAGAATGAACAGAAATACAGGAAGAAAGCAGAAAAATATCACGAAAAAAAAAAGAGAATTATCATCATATTCAGTGTTTTATTCAATACATTATGATAAAGTAATAATAATCGCTAATTAAGCCAGAAATTACATAAACTGCTTAGTTTTATTATGTTTGCAGAATGTTTCCATAACAGAAAAAAAACAATTTAATACAATCAGAGAGAATGATATTGCAAAAAGATTGATCTTATTTGGCTATTATATATATATATATATATATATATATATATATATATATATAATCATAATTATTTAGTTGATATATACAAAGAAAGAAAAAAGAAGGATAAGAATGACCAGCTAATATTCTTAATTATTCGAAGAAGAAAAAAACCCCGATTATAATTATTATCACTATTAGAAATTTCTGATTAATGTACACAAAAGAACAATTCAATGAGAATAGTAATGGACTAGTTAAGATAAAGTATGTATGTATGTATATATATATATAAAGCTGTTTATTAGTTATTAACAAATACATAAAATTACAATAAATCCATTTTTAAATGACGAAATTACTATGCTCTTTGAAATTGGAGTACAATGATCAAAACCGGAAAGAAAACAAAAAATAATAAAACAATCATTTAACATTTATATGAATAAATATATAAACACATAAATACATCCAAGGAGAGAAAGAGAGAGAGATACCATGATGAATATTCTTTCAAGTGAATGAAGTTCATAATAAATGAGAATAGATGAATTACACATTCTTCATAATTCCACTCTTACACCACCACCACCACCCCGCCGCAAGCTCGAACACTTGGGCAATACTCCAACAACAATAAAAGTTGTGTAAATATTTACAGATGCAAAATGTTAATTTAATACAAATCCCATAACAACATGTATGGATATATATATATATGTAAAAATAAACAAACAGAGAAGATTATTTTATAAAAAGAAAAAAGAGGCCAATAAGATAATAAAATTGAATTAATAATAAATAAAAAAAAGAAAATTGATGAAAAATTAATTGAATAAGAACTGAAAGATAAAGATACTTAAATTGACGCATAGATATACGTGTAAACATGCACAAATATAATTAATTAACTTTGTTAATTAGGATTGTATACAAGAGTAACAAAAAATCTATTGACTAGGGTTAGATATCAAATAACAGACATCATTTTTTTTTAAAAATTTACTACTCATTTATAATAATAATAGTAATATATCAGATTATAACGGTAATAAAGACAAACAATCACAGTAATGTACATTATGAATTTTCTTTTTTGTGGCAAATACAATAGAGATTAATAGTAAATAAAATAATCATAAATGAATAGAGAATAGAGAGAGAGATAATGTTTAAGATTGATCCATATGTAATTTAGCCATATAATCCGATAAATGTGAATTACTAAATCGATAAGCTGCTGTTGTAACTGTTGTTGAAGAAGAAGATGTTGTTGATATAATTTGCGCTTCAATTGATGATGGAATACTACTATCACTTAATTTTCTACTTTTCATTGTACTGAATTCAGTTGATTTATTCATTTCAACTAATTGATGCTCCATGTGAATAGCTTCAGAAAATGACCTATCAAGTTAATTACAGTAGGAAAATAATATTTAAAAAAATTAACTTTATAAAAAGGTGATTTGACAGAAAAAAACGTTTATAAATACAGAATTGATTGTTGATCATTGGAAAGAAAATCCAGTATTGAATTAATAAATTAAGGTGTTAAAATAGCAGTCTATCCATAGTTTCTCAAAAATAAATATATATTTTTAACTTGTAAGTGCTTATATCTTTTTGGTTAACATTACTAAGGACTGAAAATAACCCGTCTGTTTTAGTTTATGTGCACCTTAAGTAAATCGCTTCAATAACGTTGAATATTGACAAAATTAAGATAATGACTAACAATGGAAAAAACTGGGCCTGGAGCCCCCCCTCCAAGACTACTATCGGTCCCAAGCCCGGAAAAAGGAAGAAAGTTGTGCATGGAGTTAGCAACCCCTTACTAAAAAAACGACAACCAGAAAAATAATTCAAACTATTAACATTGGAATAGGTTATACACAATCCATTATCTATTAATGGATTGAACAGGAGAATAACAGAATAATAACTAACTAAACTGTATAGTTTTTAGAATTCTCGACGAAATTAACTTTCATTAATACTAGTATATTAAATCATAATTGAAACGTATTGCATTCGATCTGCACTAATAAGGACTAGACACGCAGGACATTAGTCACCACCCAGTGATCAATCAATTGTGATTACATCTCAGTCCTACAGGAGTTCAGTCGTGGCCCGGATAGCTCAGTGGTAACGTCTCTGACTGTGAAGCTGGATGACATGGGAGCACCAGTTCTCTCAAGATTACAGGTATACCTTGCTGACGAGTGTCAATTAGCACGAAACCCGGGTCCAGGGTTTCCTGTCGACTACCTCCTACCACCATCTAGTAATGTCTCACTTTTTTATTTCTATTCTTGAATATATAAATATTATCTAGAAATCTAATCTATCCGAATGCCCTAGATTTATATTGGCAAAAATATTAAGTCATAATTTCTAATTTTAATTGACATAAACAAACAAACAAAACTTTACTACATACAAATTAACAATAACTAATACATAGAATTTAATTGTATATTGTTGCCAGAAAAAAACAACTTTAATTGTATAATTAAATTCATTAGTCAGTAATTTTGTTGTTGTGTTTTACAGTTGATAGTTCTATTCAACAGTATCATCATGAAAGTTAATCAAATCACCATAAATTCAGTAGAGAAATAGAGTATTTTGAAGCGATACTAATATTACTTATACTTTAAAAGCCAAGAATGTTCTTTTTAAAAAATTAGAAATAATCTGCCGTTACAAAACCAACCTTAGACAATCGATTATTCATATATATATATATATATATATATATATATATATATATATATATGTTTGGATCTTACCACTGAGATGCTTTGTATTGAAAGTGATCAGTCTCTTTTGCTTGTTTTTTTTCTGGTCACATTGTAATGTTTACTAATTGATGTGTTAAAAAGTATTTGATAATTTTTCCACAATCATTTCTTGGAGAGAATATACGACTTTTTATGGACACTAAATTCACCATTAAGTTCACTGATCATTAGAAAACTTGATATTACTTACTACTCAGTAAAGTAGTATATGATGCTTCAGCACTGTGCACGCACTAGCAGATTAAGAAGTAGAATTAGGACCTTTAAGCGACTAGCTTTGAGAGGAAATTACTGGAGTTCAAGTGACAAGTCTTAGCCAGAGAAATTCTATTACATAAGGTGTGAGACAGTTATCCAGTGAAGACAATACCGTGGATTTGTTGAAGTCAGAAAAATAAACCGTTAGGAGTTAGTTCAGTGATCTAAATGTTCAGAGCTTTCCATGAGAGCTCAAAGGTCTAGGTGGATGCTCACTGCTGAGGAATCCCTTACTAGGATGAAATAGCTATCAAGTACTTCTTGTTTTTAGGTAGTTGTGTAAATAAACCCTACTGATCGAGCTATTAGTCAATAAATCTATAGATGCTTCTGCATTCATATATAAGTATTCTGATGCTTTATTTACTCCAAACATAAGAGCACCTAACGTACTATGTCTGTTTCATTAGTACAAAATTGTGAACAAAATATACCTTAATCATTTTAGCTAACACTAACTGACTACGTCCTAAAGTTACGTACCAAAATGCCTATGAATGACAATAGCATTGTGTATCCGATGTTTCTAACACATAAAACCAATGACATAACAGAACAAGAAGTCATGAAATACTTGTAAACTAATATAATGTGTTTTTTAGTACCAAAGATCCAAAACAATCGATTTCGACATACCGTAGTGACATATCAGACAATCAACACCGTTGAACGCCGGCTCAGTGGTCTAGAGGTTAAGCGTTTACGCGTGAGGACGAAGGTCCTGGGTTCGAGTCCTGCGTGCGGGATCGTGAATGCGCACTACTCAAGAGTCCCATACTAGGATGAGATGGCCGTCCAGCGATTCTACGTTTTCAATAGTGATCTAGCTTAAACTGACTCACGAATTCAATAATCTCCACAAACCCCAATTCTGATAATAATCAACAATTGTTTAATAATAGGCGATAAGATAATTCATAAATATCCATCAAGGTTTTTATATTCACTTACGATATTGTCGGCAGCCAATGCTCCATTGGGAGTAACAGGCGTAAGTAAGTAAGTAAGTAAGTAAGTAAGTAAGTAAGTAAGTAAGTAAGTAAGTAAGTAAGTAAGTAAGTAAGTAAGTAAGTAAGTAAGTAAGTAAGTAAGTAAGTAAGTAAGTAAGTAAGTAAGTAAGTAAGTAAGTAAGTAAGTAAGTAAGTAAGTAAGTAAGTAAGTAAGTAAGTAAGTAAGTAAGTAAGTAAGTAAGTAAGTAAGTAAGTAAGTAAGTAAGTAAGTAAGTAAGTAAGTAAGTAAGTAAGTAAGTAAGTAAGTAAGTAAGTAAGTAAGTAAGTAAGTAAGTAAGTAAGTAAGTAAGTAAGTAAGTAAGTAAGTAAGTAAGTAAGTAAGTAAGTAAGTAAGTAAGTAAGTAAGTAAGTAAGTAAGTAAGTAAGTAAGTAAGTAAGTAAGTAAGTAAGTAAGTAAGTAAGTAAGTAAGTAAGTAAGTAAGTAAGTAAGTAAGTAAGTAAGTAAGTAAGTAAGTAAGTAAGTAAGTAAGTAAGTAAGTAAGTAAGTAAGTAAGTAAGTAAGTAAGTAAGTAAGTAAGTAAGTAAGTAAGTAAGTAAGTAAGTAAGTAAGTAAGTAAGTAAGTAAGTAAGTAAGTAAGTAAGTAAGTAAGTAAGTAAGTAAGTAAGTAAGTAAGTAAGTAAGTAAGTAAGTAAGTAAGTAAGTAAGTAAGTAAGTAAGTAAGTAAGTAAGTAAGTAAGTAAGTAAGTAAGTAAGTAAGTAAGTAAGTAAGTAAGTAAGTAAGTAAGTAAGTAAGTAAGTAAGTAAGTAAGTAAGTAAGTAAGTAAGTAAGTAAGTAAGTAAGTAAGTAAGTAAGTAAGTAAGTAAGTAAGTAAGTAAGTAAGTAAGTAAGTAAGTAAGTAAGTAAGTAAGTAAGTAAGAAAGTACGATATTGACCGGGTATCAGTTATTACAAACTGATGAAATTATTCTGGTGAGTAAAATACTGGTTGCTTTTACTCCAATGCAGTCCAACTCAATATAAATGAATATGAATCATTAGGCATGACTTTAAGTTAAAGTGGAGAACAGTTAAAATAAAGCATAGAAAAGCATTTTTGTATCGAGTACTCTGACTTAATCTAACAATACAACCCTAACAAGACTGTAAAATTTATCAGTTTTAAAATCTGATATTTCGAAAATGCCACCTAGTTAGTTTCTTGATCGTTCACCTAACCTCTGATTTAATTCTAAAAATTCTTATCATTTAAAGTTGAACAATACATATAAGGGAATAATCAGTTCTTTGCCAGGCTTTACCATAATATACAGTAATATGGAAGTATAAACATAAGTATACCTAGAAAATATTAAGCCAATCGAATTAATATATGAGTCAATGATAAGAATGAAAAAAGATAACATGACTGGATATAGTAAATAACATGTATAAATTATTTGTAGGATCATGAATGTATGTACTAGTAGTGCGAAGAATATGAACAGTTTAAAAAAAGCAGTTCAATGTAGGAAGTCAACGAATTCTAAATATAGGCATATAAATATGAAAGCCCTGAACACTCGCTTTTCATCCTCTAAATTTCGCAAATAACACCCCTTACAGCGAGAAAGCAGTGAGTAGGACTTCCCCTGGAAGTGGTTGTATATACGTGGCCATGTGAGAGGATTTCGCGACGGAGAGCTGATTTCCCACACCCCCAACCGTACAGAGGCCTTTGGTGGTTTTGTGACCTTAGACTACTAACTTTTAGCTACAATGATCAGAGTCTCTTAATATTACGCTTCGGTTATTGCTTATTGTTGACGTTTTTTACCGTCATTCAATGTAAGGGGATCGTATGTACTTGATGGGTCACTAGCTAACTTTTTCTCTTCCAAATTCTCTCACATGCGACTATTTAACCTTTACCAGAAAAAAAGGAACATCCAGTTCGATATAATATTACCAAAAGTTGAGTGTTTCTATATATATTACTTCAATGTATTGCTCATTTCATCATGGGGTCTTTTACATTTGATTTTACCAATACTTTTAAAACTGTGGAAAGAAATGTTACATTGTCAATCCTAAGAATATTTTCATTGATTCCCTGTTTTAATTCTCTTGTATGCATTAAATTATAGAGAGGGAAAACCTAGAAATGAGTTTACACCAATTATGACTTATTGATTTTCCTCACTGCATTGGCGCGTAATCAATGAATGCACTATACACAATGAAAAGGTACTAATTAAATGCACCGCAAGTGAAAGAATAACAATAGATTAATGGTCAAGTATTAATGTTTTTATTGTTATACTTCTTGCACGTAGCTCAAATAGTTGTACTTACAACATGTTTCCTTTAAACAAAAAAAGTAAAACACCTAAACAAGTGTGCAGACGTAAGTATTCAGTTGTAAGCCAAACATTTTATGTAAGGGCTGATCGAAATGAATTAGGTATGGTTGGGTTAGGACCACTTATGATATGTCAGTTGAAAGTCGAGTACTTGAATAAGTAAATTAATATCCAATTTCTTAGTGTATAACTATTTACTACATACAATATATTGATTTGTTGAATTGTCTATGATTGTGCAGAACTGTATTTCTGAGTGATTAGATTAGTTTTCTTTAAATCTATCTTAATTATAATAATTCTGTTTTCAAGACCCTGTAGTAAAAACATACGTAGCTTGGATACATATATTAACAAAAAATATTTATATCTTCTTATGAATGGTGCAGATTGATTGTGGTAGGATGTACAAGTTACATAATCTTAAAAACGTTCCGGTAACAAATATGCATCAATATTTAAAATTCTTTATCCTCACCACGAAATGGAATAGAATGATAAGTTAAAACAGATTGGTCAAATAGACAGCAAAAGAACTGTCTCATTGAAGAAAAAGTTGCATTCTCTTTAACTTCTTCATATCAGTGGATACACAAATCAAACCGGGCTTATCAAGTTTCTATAGTGTATCAATATGTTATGGCAACTCAGAAGTACATGTAAGAGAGGTGTAATGAGTGACTACGACAGTCAACTTCGCGAATGACATCAACTACATGTATGCTATGCTCAGTCAGAAGGCATATTACTGTAGTGAAGAATTGTTTTCATTAAAGACGATAATTTAGTGCATCATAAGAGTTGATAGTTGACAGTAGAGATATCAGTATTACACAAGTTTGTTCTATATGTACACAAAACTTTGGTAGTGAAACGTTCAGGATCAGGAATTATGAATTACAGGATATTTAATAGGTGTGAAAATCAACATGTAAATAATCGGTACTGATAGCTATCTTCTTCTTTAGAGAAGAGAAAATAGCAATAAAAGCACAACCTATTACTTACATTGCAACATTTTCTTCTGATACATTTGTAAAACATTTCCATCCAGTTTTAGCATGATGTCGAATTGTAGTCATTAAATTAACAACAGCTTCAGGTCTAGGTGGACGAATTAATTCAGAATTCGGTATCCAGTATACAGCATTCATCCATGCTTCCTGAGCGCCATCAATATTTACACATTTATTTGGTTGTTCATTATTCAGTACGGGAATCCAGTGTGATTGTGAAGCTGGGAGTAATAATGCATTTACACAAGATGTAATACAATCAGCTACAGTTGAGGGAGAATAACCACCTTCCAGTGCTAAAACTATACGACTGTTTGATATAGACATACACTAGAAAATGAATTGAAAAAGTCATAAAATGAAAAAAACCAAAAAAATACTAATGTAAGGGTTGAATTCATGAGTCAATTGAAGCTAGACCACCATGGAAAACCTAGAAGTATTGGACGGCCGTTTCATCCTATTGTGTGACTCCTCAGTAGTGCGAATCCACGATCCCGCCTCGCGAGACTCGAACCCAGGACCTATCAGTCTCGCGCGCGGGTGCTTAACCATTAGACCACTGAGCCGGCCGGTATCCAACAGTGTTAATGTCTAACTTCAACGAAGAAAATCAAAATTGTTATTTCACTGTTGAATTTTTCTGTTATTAATACAGATGACATTATTTAGTAGCTTTATAGAGTGGAATGTATAAGGGCAGGAGTTTATCAAGTTGATTATAAACCGCTTAGGACCCAATCACATAATTTTGTAACAAGAATATTGTCTTTAAGTAGAAGTGGTTTAAAATATTGTTGCATTTAACTGATGAATAAAAAAAGCACTTCTACAAATAAAAAAATACATACATGAACTGAGTACTAAGAGATGATTGATACAATGTCGTGGAACTTTCAATAAAAAATGTGATCATCTGATTGTAATTAATAAGGTGGTTCATAGTTCCACACTTGTCAAGTTTTGTTGGTCAGTAGAAGGCAGTAGGCAGGAGGAAAGTATATTTGTTGGGAGAATTTACAAGGTACTTATTTAGATAATACCTACACGTAGTCTTCAATTGTCCATTTGCATCTTTTGGTGTTTTGCCAACGTCGTGCTCTCGATGTACTGAAACTCTTCACTCAGTTTGACAATTGTTGCAACTTTGAAACCACGTTCACAAGCGCGTCCTGAATTCCACTGCTAGTCACTATCCATCATTGCTTACAAAAAAGCTTGTGAATTAAGGCAATATCGAGGCATATGCACAGTATGCACATATGCCAATAACAGACTGATCAATTGCAGTCCTTAACCTCAATGGGAAGATACAAGTCAAACAATACCAAGTGAATTTAAATTCACCCCATAGCACAAACGAGTGGCTATCAGGACTCAGTAACTAAGTGGATAACGCAATGGAGTTTGAAGCGAGTGGTACTGGGTTCGAGTCCCAGAGTGAACATCAACTCTCTGAGATGCAGGTACATCCAGCAGACGAGTCTCAAATAGGACGAAACGCGCGTCCTGGATCCCACTGCTAGCCACTATCCATCATTGCTTACTATTGTGAATCGCGAGTTGGCTACTCTAAATTCTACCGATTGACTAGCTTCAGATATCCCAGTTCGACCCCAATACTGTTCCCAATCTCCAATATATCAGAACACGAACCGTAGATGGAAATCGTTTATGGGGTCAGGAGCAGCAGAATAATGACTTACAAACAAATGCATATTTATACAGTTAGGATTACTATAAATATTGACCAACAGAAAGATGACACGTTAAATAATATTGACCAATAGGAAAATGACACGCGAAATAAATATTGATCAGTAGGGAAACGACCAATAGGGAAATGACACCATTTAACGTTCAAGGGTAGCATTAGACTTAACCGGATAATTGTTTCTGGGATATTCTTCTGAGTATCCCAACACCTCCCCTTTGGAGAAGTTAATAGCGACGTAACCGAGGGTTTACTTGAAGTTTCTTTGGGTGTCTTCTTTTGCGATCCGACCTCCGAGGCAACCACACAGAACCAGAAGGATGTTCTACTTGAGTAGATGACTTAGTCGTCTCTGTTGGAGGTATTGGCGGAAGTTGAAACGTGTCCAACAGCAAGTCGAGTGGGACGTGTTTTGTAATTGCTTCTTTCTCCTTCGCTTCCCTTGACCTGAGTTGATTGTGGTGCCTGGTCCAGATTTCTTGGTTCACCTTGACATCATACATGACGTTCCCATGTTTTTGTGTGATTTCACCCTCTACCCATTTATCACATCCATGTCTATAATCTCGCGCATACACTTTTGTACCAACTTCGTAGGGAATTCGAGTATTCTTCATCTGGGGGCTTTGCTGGGCCACTTGTTTGGGTTTCATCGCACCATGAACTGTCCGTAGCTTTCGCCCCATAAGCATCTCAGCAGGGGATTTGGAGTTTGGCAGTAAGTCATGCGGGGTCGTCCGGTACGCAACTAGAAATCGTTCTATGATATCTTCTGTGGTCCCCTCCCCTCGTGCTTTAAGCATGGCTCGTTTAAATGTATCAACGAACCTTTCAGCTTGTCCATTAGATTGCGGGTGGTATGGCGGAGAACGAACATGGTTGATCGAATTTTGCAGGCAAAATTCTCGGAATTGGCTAGATGTGAATTGTGAACCATTGTCTGTTACTATTGTTTCTGGAAGACCATGCTGAGCGAAGATCCGATTAAGGAGTTTGATAGTTCGAGTTGTAGAGGGTGGCGCAATCGGCAATATCTCCGGCCATTTGGAGTGTGAGTCAACCAGTATCAGATATGTGGTACCATCTAGGGGTCCGGTGAAGTCAATATGCACTCGCGACCAGGGTTTTTCTGACTTCGGCCAGGGTACAGGAGGCAACTTAGGAGGATTTTTCGCAGCTTTTTGGCAATGTGAACACCTTTTGACGAAGTCGACAATCTGCTTGTCCATATTTGGCCAATATGCATAGCTTCGAGTGATGGATTTCATACGGTTTATCCCTGGGTGCCCAGAGTGGAATTGGCGTAGGACTTTGGAACGTAGGGTTGTTGGAATTACTACGCGATCACCGAACATCAGACAATCGTTAACAATACAGAGAGCGCTGCGACGATTCGCTAATTGTTGCATATCACCACTCAGCTGCTTAACTGGCCATCTGCTCTGAACATAGGTGATCGCTTCTTGGATAATCGGGTCTTCTCTGGTAGCTTCCCGAACATCTTCAGCGGTAACAGGCATTGCTCGAACGGCATTCGCCAATAGTGTAGCACCGGAATCCTCTTCGGTTGATACTGTGGCTATGAGTGTGTCCTCATCAGTGGTAGAATGGTTACTGATAAGTCTGGACAGTGCATCCGCTTGACCAAAATCTTCGGAACGTCGATACTGGATGTCAAAGTCGTACCCCAATAACGCCAACCCCCAACGTTGAAGACGATTAGCAGAATGGGCAGGAATGCCTTTCTTTGATCCAAAGATTGATAACAAAGGTTTGTGGTCTGTGAGCAAGGTGAAACAGCGCCCATAAATGAATTTGTGGAATCGCCGGACAGCAAAAATTAGGGCTAACGCTTCCTTCTCTATCTGGCCGTAGCGTTTCTCAGCAGGTGTTAGTGTTCTCGAAGCGTGCATCACCGCTTTCTCTGACCCGTCGGGAAAGACATGTGAGATTACGGCACCCAGTCCATGTGTTGAAGCGTCAGCAGCAACCACAATGGGTAGTTTCGGATTGTAGTGGGTTAGCAGAAGATTGGAACTTAGCATGGCTTTAAGTTTTGAAAAAGCTGATTCACATTGCGTTGACCAATTCCAAGTAGCATTCTTTTCTAGCAGACGATTTAATGGATATCGTACGTCATGCAGTGATGGAAGAAATGCTGAATAGTAGCTAATCATCCCCAAAAATGATCGCAGTGAGGAGACATCAGTGGGAGCAGGCATTTGTTGGATTGCGTAAGTATTCTGAGGATCAGGGTGTCGTCCGGAAGCATCAAAGATAAACCCCAGGTACTTAACGAAACGTAAGAAGAATTGGCATTTTTCTGTGCGAAGGCGAAAACCATTATCCTGGAGGCGTTGCAGAACTAAGTGGGTTCTGGTATGCAATTCATCAACAGTTGAGCCGACAATGAGTACATCGTCAAGGTATGTAGCAACACCAGGAACATCTGCCAGAATAGTGTCCATGATCTGCTGGAAGATCGCTGGAGCAGTTTTGATACCGAAGGGTAACCGGGTATACTGAAAAAGTCCTCGGTGAGTGTTGATTGTCAACAACTCTCTGGATTCTAGAGCGACTGGAATTTGAAGGTAAGCGTCTGCCAGATCCAGCTTAGCAAAATAGGTACCACCATTTAAAATAGTAAATAAGTCATCTGGGATCGGCAGCGGATAGTGATGCTGTTGTAGAGCCGCGTTGAGTCCTGTAGAAAAGTCTGCACAGATGCGAATGGAGCCATTGGATTTTTTTACAACCACAATTGGTGCAGCCCATGCTGAATAAGAAACAGGTACTAGGACACCTTCAGTTTCCAAACGTTGAAGTTCAGCGTCAACCAGAGGTAAAGATGCGTATGGGACTGGACGCTTTGGGCGAAAAACTGGCGTAGCTTCTGGCTGCAGTTTTAAAACAGCTTCAGTTGTGGAACAAAGTCCGAGACCAGGCTTAAATAATTCAATAAATCGTTTTCGAAGGTCTTCAGTATGCTGTTGTGTAGAAGCAGTAGTTTGGACTTGATTGCAGACAGCGCTAATAGGAAGATCAGCGAGACCAAGTTCTTCGAACCAATCTAAACCTAAAAGGTTGAGCGAAGAATTGGTGATGTAACATGTCCCATTGAAGGTTGTACCTCTGAATGAAATACAGCAACAGAGTTCACCATGAAGGCGGAGATGACCCCCACAAGCACTGACGGCTGTCTGAGAGGATGGTTTGATGGGAGGTTGACCCAAGGTTCGCCAAGTCTTTTTCGACAAAATGGTGATGTCTGATGCAGTGTCCAACTGCAAACGAACAGGCTGACCATTGATTGAGAGGGTCAGGAATTTGCGTCGAGTCACGGCATGAGTATGGAAGACTGCTGCTAAACTCCTTGATGAGGTAATCGGCTTTTTGTGAAAACGACGCTGCGTCTGTGCATTTCGACGGTTATTGAATCGGTTGGATTTGCAAAAGCCGCTTTTGTGACCAACTTTCTGACAGCGATCGCACACATGCTGTTTGAATGGACAGAACTTCACATAATGCCAGGCTCCACAGTGCCAACATGGCGAGGGGGGTTTCTTCTGAACCGGTTTAGAGTGATTAGAGATAGAAACAGCGCTGGCGTTCGAAGGACTCGAGTTTGTCGATCTCGAAGATTTTTTCTGGTGCTGAACAGCATGAACTTCGGAACCACCCTGGCCCCCAGATTGAACCAAAGTGGTGTCACGCTGCAGATTGATGATACGCTGGTATTCGTCTATGATCGCATTAAGTGTCAGTGTTGGATCTTGTTCAAGGCGGTTGAGCAACCGAGTTCTGATGTCAGAGAATTTGGGTGACTGAAGACTGCATATGAGTACTAGGGACTTGAATTGGTCTTCAGTGAGGGATCTGAGCTTGAACCGTTCGCACTCACGGTTAACAACGCCGACGTGGGTCAGGAAGTCATCAGATTCATTCATGACCAGTTTTAAGCAGCGATATCGGGTACTGAAGAGTGAGTGATGATCACCAAAAAGTTGGCTAAGGGACTGAATAGTGGCGTCGAATGAACGGTCGCGTGGGTTCTGCGGTAGAATGAAATTGCAATACTTATCCAGCTCGGATGGACCAAGTTTACGGAGAAGAAGACGCACCTTCCACGAATCATCTCTGTCAACAAAGTCGACTTTGAAAAGGTCTTCATAACGTCTGAACCAGGTATCAAATGTAATGTTGGCATCAGGATCATAAAGAAATTCTGAAATACCACTGGTAATACCATCAACTGATTCAGGAATTGTCGGTGCAGTTGGAACTCGAGAAGATATATGCGTCTGAGTAATCATCTCCATCAGCTTCAGCTGCTGTTCGAACAATTTTTCTAATTTGGCTGGATCCATGGTTAATCACCAACTTGTTCCTCAATCTCCGTCGCCAAATTTATTGTGAATCGCGAGTTGGCTACTCTAAATTCTACCGATTGACTAGCTTCAGATATCCCAGTTCGACCCCAATACTGTTCCCAATCTCCAATATATCAGAACACGAACCGTAGATGGAAAATCGTTTATGGGGTCAGGAGCAGCAGAATAATGACTTACAAACAAATGCATATTTATACAGTTAGGATTACTATAAATATTGACCAACAGAAAGATGACACGTTAAATAATATTGACCAATAGGAAAATGACACGCGAAATAAATATTGATCAGTAGGGAAACGACCAATAGGGAAATGACACCATTTAACGTTCAAGGGTAGCATTAGACTTAACCGGATAATTGTTTCTGGGATATTCTTCTGAGTATCCCAACACCTCCCCTTTGGAGAAGTTAATAGCGACGTAACCGAGGGTTTACTTGAAGTTTCTTTGGGTGTCTTCTTTTGCGATCCGACCTCCGAGGCAACCACACAGAACCAGAAGGATGTTCTACTTGAGTAGATGACTTAGTCGTCTCTGTTGGAGGTATTGGCGGAAGTTGAAACGTGTCCAACAGCAAGTCGAGTGGGACGTGTTTTGTAATTGCTTCTTTCTCCTTCGCTTCCCTTGACCTGAGTTGATTGTGGTGCCTGGTCCAGATTTCTTGGTTCACCTTGACATCATACATGACGTTCCCATGTTTTTGTGTGATTTCACCCTCTACCCATTTATCACATCCATGTCTATAATCTCGCGCATACACTTTTGTACCAACTTCGTAGGGAATTCGAGTATTCTTCATCTGGGGGCTTTGCTGGGCCACTTGTTTGGGTTTCATCGCACCATGAACTGTCCGTAGCTTTCGCCCCATAAGCATCTCAGCAGGGGATTTGGAGTTTGGCAGTAAGTCATGCGGGGTCGTCCGGTACGCAACTAGAAATCGTTCTATGATATCTTCTGTGGTCCCCTCCCCTCGTGCTTTAAGCATGGCTCGTTTAAATGTATCAACGAACCTTTCAGCTTGTCCATTAGATTGCGGGTGGTATGGCGGAGAACGAACATGGTTGATCGAATTTTGCAGGCAAAATTCTCGGAATTGGCTAGATGTGAATTGTGAACCATTGTCTGTTACTATTGTTTCTGGAAGACCATGCTGAGCGAAGATCCGATTAAGGAGTTTGATAGTTCGAGTTGTAGAGGGTGGCGCAATCGGCAATATCTCCGGCCATTTGGAGTGTGAGTCAACCAGTATCAGATATGTGGTACCATCTAGGGGTCCGGTGAAGTCAATATGCACTCGCGACCAGGGTTTTTCTGACTTCGGCCAGGGTACAGGAGGCAACTTAGGAGGATTTTTCGCAGCTTTTTGGCAATGTGAACACCTTTTGACGAAGTCGACAATCTGCTTGTCCATATTTGGCCAATATGCATAGCTTCGAGTGATGGATTTCATACGGTTTATCCCTGGGTGCCCAGAGTGGAATTGGCGTAGGACTTTGGAACGTAGGGTTGTTGGAATTACTACGCGATCACCGAACATCAGACAATCGTTAACAATACAGAGAGCGCTGCGACGATTCGCTAATTGTTGCATATCACCACTCAGCTGCTTAACTGGCCATCTGCTCTGAACATAGGTGATCGCTTCTTGGATAATCGGGTCTTCTCTGGTAGCTTCCCGAACATCTTCAGCGGTAACAGGCATTGCTCGAACGGCATTCGCCAATAGTGTAGCACCGGAATCCTCTTCGGTTGATACTGTGGCTATGAGTGTGTCCTCATCAGTGGTAGAATGGTTACTGATAAGTCTGGACAGTGCATCCGCTTGACCAAAATCTTCGGAACGTCGATACTGGATGTCAAAGTCGTACCCCAATAACGCCAACCCCCAACGTTGAAGACGATTAGCAGAATGGGCAGGAATGCCTTTCTTTGATCCAAAGATTGATAACAAAGGTTTGTGGTCTGTGAGCAAGGTGAAACAGCGCCCATAAATGAATTTGTGGAATCGCCGGACAGCAAAAATTAGGGCTAACGCTTCCTTCTCTATCTGGCCGTAGCGTTTCTCAGCAGGTGTTAGTGTTCTCGAAGCGTGCATCACCGCTTTCTCTGACCCGTCGGGAAAGACATGTGAGATTACGGCACCCAGTCCATGTGTTGAAGCGTCAGCAGCAACCACAATGGGTAGTTTCGGATTGTAGTGGGTTAGCAGAAGATTGGAACTTAGCATGGCTTTAAGTTTTGAAAAAGCTGATTCACATTGCGTTGACCAATTCCAAGTAGCATTCTTTTCTAGCAGACGATTTAATGGATATCGTACGTCATGCAGTGATGGAAGAAATGCTGAATAGTAGCTAATCATCCCCAAAAATGATCGCAGTGAGGAGACATCAGTGGGAGCAGGCATTTGTTGGATTGCGTAAGTATTCTGAGGATCAGGGTGTCGTCCGGAAGCATCAAAGATAAACCCCAGGTACTTAACGAAACGTAAGAAGAATTGGCATTTTTCTGTGCGAAGGCGAAAACCATTATCCTGGAGGCGTTGCAGAACTAAGTGGGTTCTGGTATGCAATTCATCAACAGTTGAGCCGACAATGAGTACATCGTCAAGGTATGTAGCAACACCAGGAACATCTGCCAGAATAGTGTCCATGATCTGCTGGAAGATCGCTGGAGCAGTTTTGATACCGAAGGGTAACCGGGTATACTGAAAAAGTCCTCGGTGAGTGTTGATTGTCAACAACTCTCTGGATTCTAGAGCGACTGGAATTTGAAGGTAAGCGTCTGCCAGATCCAGCTTAGCAAAATAGGTACCACCATTTAAAATAGTAAATAAGTCATCTGGGATCGGCAGCGGATAGTGATGCTGTTGTAGAGCCGCGTTGAGTCCTGTAGAAAAGTCTGCACAGATGCGAATGGAGCCATTGGATTTTTTTACAACCACAATTGGTGCAGCCCATGCTGAATAAGAAACAGGTACTAGGACACCTTCAGTTTCCAAACGTTGAAGTTCAGCGTCAACCAGAGGTAAAGATGCGTATGGGACTGGACGCTTTGGGCGAAAAACTGGCGTAGCTTCTGGCTGCAGTTTTAAAACAGCTTCAGTTGTGGAACAAAGTCCGAGACCAGGCTTAAATAATTCAATAAATCGTTTTCGAAGGTCTTCAGTATGCTGTTGTGTAGAAGCAGTAGTTTGGACTTGATTGCAGACAGCGCTAATAGGAAGATCAGCGAGACCAAGTTCTTCGAACCAATCTAAACCTAAAAGGTTGAGCGAAGAATTGGTGATGTAACATGTCCCATTGAAGGTTGTACCTCTGAATGAAATACAGCAACAGAGTTCACCATGAAGGCGGAGATGACCCCCACAAGCACTGACGGCTGTCTGAGAGGATGGTTTGATGGGAGGTTGACCCAAGGTTCGCCAAGTCTTTTTCGACAAAATGGTGATGTCTGATGCAGTGTCCAACTGCAAACGAACAGGCTGACCATTGATTGAGAGGGTCAGGAATTTGCGTCGAGTCACGGCATGAGTATGGAAGACTGCTGCTAAACTCCTTGATGAGGTAATCGGCTTTTTGTGAAAACGACGCTGCGTCTGTGCATTTCGACGGTTATTGAATCGGTTGGATTTGCAAAAGCCGCTTTTGTGACCAACTTTCTGACAGCGATCGCACACATGCTGTTTGAATGGACAGAACTTCACATAATGCCAGGCTCCACAGTGCCAACATGGCGAGGGGGGTTTCTTCTGAACCGGTTTAGAGTGATTAGAGATAGAAACAGCGCTGGCGTTCGAAGGACTCGAGTTTGTCGATCTCGAAGATTTTTTCTGGTGCTGAACAGCATGAACTTCGGAACCACCCTGGCCCCCAGATTGAACCAAAGTGGTGTCACGCTGCAGATTGATGATACGCTGGTATTCGTCTATGATCGCATTAAGTGTCAGTGTTGGATCTTGTTCAAGGCGGTTGAGCAACCGAGTTCTGATGTCAGAGAATTTGGGTGACTGAAGACTGCATATGAGTACTAGGGACTTGAATTGGTCTTCAGTGAGGGATCTGAGCTTGAACCGTTCGCACTCACGGTTAACAACGCCGACGTGGGTCAGGAAGTCATCAGATTCATTCATGACCAGTTTTAAGCAGCGATATCGGGTACTGAAGAGTGAGTGATGATCACCAAAAAGTTGGCTAAGGGACTGAATAGTGGCGTCGAATGAACGGTCGCGTGGGTTCTGCGGTAGAATGAAATTGCAATACTTATCCAGCTCGGATGGACCAAGTTTACGGAGAAGAAGACGCACCTTCCACGAATCATCTCTGTCAACAAAGTCGACTTTGAAAAGGTCTTCATAACGTCTGAACCAGGTATCAAATGTAATGTTGGCATCAGGATCATAAAGAAATTCTGAAATACCACTGGTAATACCATCAACTGATTCAGGAATTGTCGGTGCAGTTGGAACTCGAGAAGATATATGCGTCTGAGTAATCATCTCCATCAGCTTCAGCTGCTGTTCGAACAATTTTTCTAATTTGGCTGGATCCATGGTTAATCACCAACTTGTTCCTCAATCTCCGTCGCCAAATTTATTGTGAATCGCGAGTTGGCTACTCTAAATTCTACCGATTGACTAGCTTCAGATATCCCAGTTCGACCCCAATACTGTTCCCAATCTCCAATATATCAGAACACGAACCGTAGATGGAAATCGTTTATGGGGTCAGGAGCAGCAGAATAATGACTTACAAACAAATGCATATTTATACAGTTAGGATTACTATAAATATTGACCAACAGAAAGATGACACGTTAAATAATATTGACCAATAGGAAAATGACACGCGAAATAAATATTGATCAGTAGGGAAACGACCAATAGGGAAATGACACCATTTAACGTTCAAGGGTAGCATTAGACTTAACCGGATAATTGTTTCTGGGATATTCTTCTGAGTATCCCAACACTTACAAAAAAAATTACGAAGGTTAGTTTCAGGATTCTGGTACTTACAGTCAGTCAACAACAGTAACTTCACTATTGTAACAAACACCTACTCTTCCAGTAAACAACAAAATACATGACACCAATGGATTTATGGTGTCGACTTTAAAGAAAAAACAAAATTACCTGATGCGTAATCCATGCAAATAAACCAGATGATACAGAATAACCGCCTAATGCTTCACCGTGTCCATAAGCAGCGTCATAACCAGCTGAAATCAATATAATATCTGGTTGAAATTCATGTCCGACTGGTATAACAACAGAACGCATTGCAGCTAAATACTCTGCATCACTTAAACCTAATAAAGGTTCTTTCCAAGTACTAGATGACAGAGGTTGATTATGATGTTGATGATGATGATTATATGCATTCGATATTAATGGTTGGTGATGTATAGGATATTGTTGAAAATGTGAATATGGATGATAAGGTTGACAATTAACTGGATTAGTTTCAGATAATAATAGATCTGATTTATCTGAGCATGATTCAATTGATTGTGATAAACAGAATGAACAAACTTGGCTACTTTCAGTGCTTGTTGCTTTATTAGATAGACAGGTACAAAATGGTGTAAGATCAGAATTTTGCCTATTTCTTATCGATATAGAACGTTGAAATGGTAAAGATGTTGAAGAGGATGATAAAGAATTGTGTTGTTCAGAATTACATTGATTTGAGTAACTCGGATACTGGTGATGATGATCAGATGAACCAATAGTTTTGCACAACTTTTGCTTTGAAAAAATACAATTAGAAGAGACGAAATATTGTATTTTAATAATTCAAAAAAGCATGCATTATCAATAACTTTTTTTGTCAATCACAATAGTACACTGTAATTGTGTAATTCAGAAGAAAGTTGAATGTGAGGCGGAAAGTAGTGAGTTCCAGGTCCCGTCTGACCATTATCACCGGGGTGAGGACACATTCAACTAACAAGTCCTATAGAGAACGAAACTCACGTCCTGGGTTCCACTGCTAGACACTTTCGCTTGTATGTATAAAATTACTGTCACTTAATGGCAATATCAAGGTGATTAGCGCAGGACGAACGTATACTAAAAAAGACTGATCAATCACGGTTCACGAGATCAATGGGGAAATCCAAACTCTGTAGTGTAAACTAATAGGTTAGTGGTTGAATAATTCAACTTTTAGTTAGTAGATCACAGGTTCGAGGCTCATTCCATCTACTTTAATTTAGACAGCCGGGTAACATTTATAACCCCTACATAGAAAATTGTGACACACATGTGTATAAATAAATGCTTACTTGGGAGATGAGTTGTGATGATTTTGTTTTGGCACCCTAGTGTACCAAAACTCTCAAACAATTCCGAAATTTGAGAGATTGCAATATTACCATTATGTTCAATGAAGAACTTCATTATCTTAGAATTTCATGTTTTATACTATTTTGTATATTGTAATTACATATGTAAAATGATACGAACAACTTACTTTATCCTGTTCCGATCGATTAGCAACATTCTAAAGTGGAAAATAATAAGAAAATATCATTGAAATAAAGTTATATGGTATTTATGAAGTATTATGTTTCAGTGGATAAGAAATACAGTAAGTTAAAATGAAATACTGAAGATTTCTGATTTTAAAGGTAGGATTTTTAGTTGTTTAATATAAACGTAAAGTTGTCATTGGTTTTCCACATATCCCAATCAATAAAACCATACTAATTATAAAAACAATATTTCATTTTCCTCCCAAGAGATTCGTTTTTAAATAAAAAGGATATTGTTTACTTTATAAATTAAATCTTGTTACAATGAGTAAAAATGATGGAAGAACTTATCGACTGTTCTGTGACTATCAATTTTTTTAGCAGTGAAATCCAGGACATGCGTTTCATCCTATTTAGAACTTGCCAGCTGGATGTACTTACATCCTAGAGTTGATATTCAACGGGAAGATTCAGGCAAACAATATAAAAATGAATTTTCAATTTTATATTTGATTGTTCACTTTTCGTCTGGTAACAAACTTATGTTATCTTTAATGATCATGCTGTCCGCATAAATGACAGATTTCATTCCCTAATAAATACAGTTATTTGGTAAGAGATTCTGTCATCTGAAAGTCATTTTGTCAAAGGTTTGGTGAACAAATCTGCGAATGAACAGTTTACTTACTCAAGTAATTTACCAAACTGACCAGGCGGTTATAACACTAGTGTTAGTTTTAATCTCTTCAGGTAATATTAGACTTTATTTGGCGGAAAATTACCATTATATGGGATGATAAGAGAATATTAAAGTTATAATATTATTCCACACTAATAAAAAAACGTAATTTCCGCAAAAAATGTATAGGAGAACGTTAAAACAAAACCAATTCATTGGTCGTTTTCTGAGAATTAACATTTACCCTGACAATCGTTCATCGATGAAAAATATCAAAAATATGAACAAATTGAGACCAACATCAAGAACACTTACTTGAAACCATCGTTTCCTTCTTTCATCAGCATTTAAACTATAAGGACTAACAGTGGATGTCGTTGTTGATCGACGTTTCATTTGTGATCTAATTATTTCAGTATAATTATTATCATTTGTACCATTGTGCGGATTTTCCCATGCAATATTTATTAACTGAGCTGATGGAATTATTGTATTGGAAATATCATTGGCAAATTTATTATTGAAATTTATATTTGCCATATAGTTTGCACTATGATCATCGAAATGATTGAATTTTTCTGAGGAAATATTACTATCAGAAACTGATACAGTAACAGGATTAGTAGAGGTGTGATCACTATCACAAGAATTACTTTGCGAGGATTGATTCTCTTCTGTACAATTAGATACTGAACCAGTACCAGGAAAAAAAGTCCCACCATCATATCTATGCAAACTTAAATAAACTAATCCAGGATGTGTTGTAGCCAGCTTAGTTCCATTGCCATGATGAATGTCCCAATCAAGAATTAAAACTTTTGAAACAATACGCTCACGTAATAAATGCAATGCAGCAATTGCAACAGAATTAAAATAACAAAATCCCATAGCTTGATCTGGTTCAGCATGATGACCAGGTGGGCGAACAATAGCGAATCCATTACGGAAATGACGTTTCGCTACCCTGTAGATGAAATTAGAAAGTAAAAAAGAGTTATGAACAAATTTCTCACCATATTTTTAAATATCTCGATGCTATGCAGTGGTCATTTATCATAGGGTTAAGGATACATTTTAAAGGTCATTTGATTGCTAGCACGTTGCTCACTACTTAGTAATTGGGTTAGAATCTTATAGTATATATACATTCATTGAAAAACTTAATTATTTGTGACAATCAGTAAACAACACACATACTTAACTTAGTTAAGTGTCAAAGTTAGGATTTTCTAGTTAAAATAGAGAACATCCATTTAATTGCAACTATTATCATGATCGCTAGATTATTAATCAATTAAGTAAATATCAGGAAGTGATTTTAAGATATATTTTATAGAAGACAAAACTGAATGCTTTAACTAGAAATTTATAGCAATTCATAAAGTTACTAGTAAGATTTTTCATATTTCTGGAATATTCACTTATATATACTGTATATATTCATGACATAACCAACCTAATGAACACTCATTTATGATCAATCTACAAGTGTTATACCTTTTCCATCTCAACAAAATGAAATACATACATTCTAACTTGGTAGGATTTTCAATAGTGTTTTCTATATTGTAAACTATAGAAAAGAGTTTAGAGAATAAACTAAAATCCCTTTTTTGTTTCTATCTCATTACACTTATTATTATTTTCTTTATCGTTATATGGAATGTTAGTACACACTAATTTAGCCTAGAATTTTGGTTTAATTTCATTAAAAAGATGAATCCATTTAAAATTTCTACGTTCGTCCGTTATTATATATATATATATATATATATATATATATATATATATATATATGTATATATATATATATATATATATATATATATATATATATGTATATATATATATATATATATATATATAGTAGTTTATGCACTACATACATAAATTCAGTAAAGTATAGTAAATAATGGATGAAAATAAATATGAATTAGTATAAAAGATACACATATAGTATTAAGAAATCATGTACACAGAGGTATTCATTCGATTATTATTTACATAAGTAAATAGAATTACAATGTTATAATGATTGGTACCTGGAATAAAGTGATAGATGAAGAAAATTGTTTGAATTAATATTAATAAGCTTTTAGAAAGAAAAAAAAAGGGTTCATAATGTATTCGATGAAGAAGTGGCTTATTTGTTGGAAAAAAAAGAAACTTAACTTTTAAACACGCTTTTATTATTATTTAATTTCAGTATGAACAACTGGTGAATAATATGAGTATACGAAAACAAGTATAGTTAAAAGTTGAGTATATGAATCACTACTTCGTTAATGAGTTAAGTAACATTCTTATTATGAATAAAAAGACTAATTGTATAATATATATAGTAATATATAGCCTGTATATAAATCAAGATCAGAATCTTTAATATGGACGTTAAGACAGTTTTATTGTACAGAGCTGAAACTTGGACAAATAATCCCACCATTATCAGAAAAGAACAAGCGTTTATAAACAACTGTCTAAGCAAGATAATGAATGTTCGTTGGCCGGATACCATTAGCAACAATCTATTGTTGGAGAGATCAAACCAGCTACTACAACTACCTGTAGAGGAAATTAGGAAATGATGTTGGAAATGGATAGGAAACACACTAAGGAAATCATCAAGCTGTATCACGAGGCAAACACTAACTTCGAATCCCGAAGGTAAACGGAAAAGAGGTGGATCAAAGAACAAACTACGTCGAGAATTGGGAGCAGACATCAAAAGAGTGAATATCAACTGGAAACGATTGTGCAGGATAGAGTTGGATGAAAAGTGCTGGTGAGCGGCCTATGTTCCTGGACGTGAGGTAACAGGCGTAAGTAAGTAATGTACGGTATTAACTTTGAGGTTAAGATTACTAAAAGACTATATAACATCGATAATTTACTACGTGATAAATTTTAATATGTAATTATGGAAAGTTCTAGAATGATTCAAGAAACAATTATTTGCTTATTCTCCAGTATCCGTTGCATAATACTAGGCAGTAACATTTGGACAATCGACGAAATTGAAAGTCAATTTTTTACGATAATATCAGTAAAATCTGTATCGAAATTTCTGACACAGAAAATTCATCCGACTGACAAATGGAATCAAAATTCCAAAGGAATCTTCAACATCACTGTAAATGTTCGATATTCAAAAGGCAGCAACGTCAAGATGTTCCCTGTTGTTCGCAATCCTAGTGGTCACTGACAAATGATCATCATAAATCTAACGAGGCCAATTTGTCAAATTTAATAGTAGTTACTTCTTATCTTGAGAAAATTATAAAATGGAAACTTGTTTATTATGTAATTGATTTAATATATAGTTCTTCGTTCACTCGTAAATCATGTAATTATGCCATACAATTGATTTTTATCAACGGATTACTATTTACAATCAATCGATCGGACAATGAAGTACCTAGTTTGAATACCTAACATTTATAAAATACAAATACCAAATTAAGGCAAAAAAGGTTGACAATTAACAAAGCCAGTCATTTTATGGCTTACGTCGAAGAGTGTGCGATATGATGCTTGTACTGTATTGGAGAATAGTGGAGTAAAACTTTATTTTTCATGAAAGTAAACCCCGTTTAAATTACTCAAAAAATCTCACAACTTGCTCTGATATGAACAGCATAGGATTTCATGAGTAGAAAATTGACATAAAATCATGAACTGATCAATGTTAGGCGACCATTGAACATCTGGAAGCACTGAACGACCGTTTCATCCTAGTATGGGACTCTAGTGGTTCCAGGTTTTCAATGGTGGTCTAACATTGGTCGGTTTATGATCTCAGTTAAAAATCAACAATCTCCACAACCCTATACTGAGAAAATTTAGTAGTTAAGTACTGACAAATATTTGGGAGTATACACTATTAAATTCTAGCCACATTAAGCGTATGCTTATTCATGATATACTGGTACCTATGGAACCTCTGACAATGTTATCGAAAGCCTATGATGATACCGGAGTACATCATTGACCACACATCAAATTTAAAACTTTTACTACTAATATCTAATATATTCTCTCTTATAATCCAATAAAAAAATCTAATACTATCGATGAATATTCTCATAACTAACTTGATTAAATTACACAGTTCGATATGTCAAGATTCTTTAATTCCACTAAGGATCCCCTCGAACAAGTCAGTAATATTGAATTACAGACAAAAATACAAGTATTAGACTGAAAGTTATGTAATAAATAAAATATAATTAAGGAAAATTTATAATCCGGTATCACAATCAATAAGAAAATACTACAACAGACAAACTCATTTTAACTAATACACTAGTCAGTAAAAAAATGATACATGGTTAGTTAGTTTGCTAGCCCATAGCAAAATTAAATCGCTGTTTATAAATTCTAGGTAGCATAGCTTTCAGTGATTTATTAGTGACTGCTATTTACATGATAACTCTAAAAAAAACTGATGACTTTAGATAAGAAAAGTAACCCACTGTGTGTCACTGAATAAAAAGTAAGGCGAACAAAACAAAGATAATTTTCTTTCCAACAAAATCAATTACTTAATCAGTATATTCATATTTACAGTTGTTTGATGAATATATGGGTCTATAGAAGAACAGAAATAGACTACATCATAAGGTGTTCCGAGATTTCAAGTATTGAAAGCAGGTTGCATAGTGATCGGGAAGTTAGACAAGAATAGGGGGTGGAAATAATTTATGGGTTATGAAAAAGAGAGATACTTATCTCGTTAACATACATGAAGGAAAAAATGGAAAAATGTAAAGGTCATAATAACAAGTGAATAACAATCATGGAAAGCTGTTAGAGGATAATAAGAACTGATTACGGTTTTTAAAAAATAATAACAATGAAAACGAAAAAAAGACCGAAACGTACTGAAAAAGGAAATTATGGCCATGAAAGGATCAAAGATTGCATGTATTGCTTTAGCACAAAGAGTTCAGGCTTGAAATTTTGAATTTTTAAACCCTTAGCAATGAACAACTTTTTGGTTTGACCTCGCTTTGATCCCATTCTTTGATTATTTAAATTATTTTGAAAGAAGGTCCTTTTGGGGCAATGTGCCAAGGGTTGATTAGGTGCTCCTGTATTGAAATACTGATTGCTTTGCATGGCCCTCTTAAAACCATCGTGGATGATGTTCTGAGATGTACTTGGAAAGCGTTCGTTTGGTGCGGCTAATGTAACCTGTCCCGCAAGAACAAGTAAACTTGCAGAAGTAAATCAATGTAGCTCAACGCACAAGTTTATCCTCAACGTTTTCTAAAATAGTAGATCGGTTCGAAAATGTATTACGAAGCTTAACTGAATAGGAAGTCTTCCTTCGGGATTTCAAAATTCGTTTATTTATTATTTCTGCTATCATACATTTTTTAAATTCGATATTTATACAAGAAGTTTCATTGTGAACTGTCGGTGATCTTTCAGGTTCCAGTCTCTGTGTTAAGTTGCTATCAATGAATCATTCATAACGAATATTTTAAAAATTATGGCAACATTCAGAAATGAAGTCTCTGTTGACAAAGAACCTCGGTCGTTAGAAATGATTGTTTTATTAGATGTATTGAAACTAAAAATATAGTATACAGAGGAACAGAATAACAATAAAATAATGAACTAACTGATGAGCAAGGCATAAAACTTGACCAACAGCTAAACGAGCAGCACGAGCTGTTCTACACGGATTCCAAACTGTATCTGAATCTACACCAACACCACCACAAGCTAATGAACATAATTGATTTGATAAACTTGTCGTGGTACATGAATTAAATACTGATAATCCACGATCAATAGTTGTAGATCCACAAGATGCAGATAATGATGTAGATTCATTTGAACATTTTGAAGACGGTCGATCATCATTTGAAACAGTGGGAATAGTGCCAAATGTTTGAACATATTCATTTGAATGGAATATTTGTAATTCATTCTGTCAAATGAAAATAATTAATTATACGCTTATACAAAGGAAGACCAAGATGGTAAGACGATGTAACATATAGTCAATACAAAAACGTTACCATTTAAACTTTTTAGGGAATATATTATTATTAAAACACTCAATGAGCTCATAGACTATTATTTCGTAGGCTAAAAAATGTTATGAACGGATATTTTTTTAAAATATGTACTTCTAACCATCGTAAGAAAAGCTTTAAGAGATTCCTTTATCAAAAATTGAATGATAATTTTTTGGTGAGATGCAGAATGGCATAATTGATTGTTTAAATTGATATATATATATATATATATATATGATGGTAATGTTGAGTTTGCTAAGCTAGGTGGTTCAATAGTGAAAAATCTGAAACGTTTGACAATTTTGAATGTTATCGGATAAAGCCACCTCAACATAACAAACTCATATTACCAAAACAACCACCTGAAAAACCAACGTTTTCCATTATATCCAAAAGGATTATGAAGACAAAGTATAATTTAACATGACTGTTATATTTGTGATATTCACTTTAACGTAGATGATATATAAACAATGAGTACAGTAAAGTCAATCACCAATTCAAGATAATTTTCTGTATGGATGACTCGGAATACTTGAAATCAATTTAATGTAATATTTTTATTTTACACAGGAGAACGAGTTATTGTATGATTGCACTTTATTTAGAAATGACTATCAATCATATATATATATATATATATATATATATATATATATATATATATATATATATCATAGAGGTGGCCTAATAGTCAAGATATTTAACTACTAAGTACCAGGTTTTGACGCCGCTCTGTCTACTTTAGTTCAGGCAACCTAGTGATATCATTAGCCTCCATACCTAGGGTGTGAGCTCATACCCAAATACTTGGTGTTTGAGTTATAGAACATAATCAAAACGCAGTGTTGCATACAGCTATTCTAATTAATGTTGTTTGAATATAATTCCCCTATCTAATATAATATATACTCATTTATTCAGAGTAATATCAAAGAAAGTAGGAAATTATTTTTCAAAAAGAATAATGATAATATCCCTATTTTATTAATTCTACCATCTAAGTAGACAACTGTACAATAGAAGAAAATATTTCGGAATACAAAACAAAAAAATTCAATAAACGATAATAAAAACAACACAAACACACACACATGAAAATAGAGTAAAAATAGTCAAGAAATGGGGTTAGTTGAAAGTAAGAAAATTAAACAGGAAATGAGGGCTAAAATACGGTCACTGTGGACACTATATGAAGTAATAATCATAACATATTGATTAAATAATATTACTCAAATGGTATAATCGGGAAAAATTAAATCCAAGAATACTACAAACCATTTATTGTAAATATTAAGCGAAAATGACAATACAGTGCATACATCTTAGCATATAAATTTGATAATACTAGGTGAAATGAGCTAATTGCAAAATTTAATATAATCAACCTCACAGAAGCACATAAAATAAATCAAGTTATACTAAGTTAAACCAGTTATCAACTAGAAATTATAAAGTGTAAGCTGTCAAAATAGATGAGGATTACAAAAGTATCTGAATCGCTTTACCGTTTTAAAATATCGATGTTATAACCACTACATCTGTTGTAATAGTAAAAATAGTCGTTTGTCTTAATATTGATATGAAAGATTGATAAATACTACAATACAATTAATACACTATTCCTAGATTGAAGGATAATACAATTGGGTATAGTAGATCATGATACTAGATATAAGATAATCAGACCACTAGACTAGATCACATTACACACACATACATAATTTTAATCAACCATTAAGATACTGAAAAGTAATGAGTAGATAGAATATCTTTTTTAGGCTAAAGTATGGATTTGAAGTAAATAATTGATTATGATATGTGAAAAGGTGACAATTAGTAAAACTTTAAAGTTACAGTGAATAATAAATCCGATGCGTTTTATGTTCATAAACCATCATTTATAAATGTTTATGATAATTTATATCTAATCGACTGAAACAAATAAGCATTATTGAATTGACTAAATAGAGTTTCTCTTTTTATTTTTAATCAACGTATCAAGATTTTTTAAAAAGGAAAATATTTGTAGCTGGTATATACTTCATGCAAATGAAGAGGATTATAGTGAATAATAAAAGTCACTATGATGGATTACATTATTACATTAATAAAAACAGAGATGGTAGATTTATTTTCAATCTAACTATACGCAAAATACTCAACGTCCGTTGGTCAGATACCATCAACAACAGCCTACTGTGGGAGAAAACAAACCAACTTCTAGATGAAGAGAAAATTAGGAAAAGACGTTGGAAGTAAATAGGATATACATTGTGGAAATCATCAAATTGCATCACGGAGCAGGTGCTAACTCGGAATCTTGAAGGAAAAAAGGATGGAGGAAAACCAAAAGACACACTGGGTCGGGAATACGAAGCAGACATCAAAAGGATGGATAGCAACTGGAAAGGACTACCCGGGATAGAGTTCAATGGAGAATACTGTTGGGCGGCCTATGCTCCTTCACAAGGGATAACAGGTGTAAGTATGTATGGGAAAGATAACAATCACCTTATTTAATTGTTCATTAGTTTATAAAAAAATGGTTCCGGTAGCACTCCAACAATTATGTTTATAAGTCAACGATAGAGAGTGGGAAGGAGAAAATAAATCGACCTACCTTAGGTCAATAAACACCACAAACTAACATTACTCATTAAAGTATGTTCAAATGATATCCTGAGCTTGACAAAACTCGATTTAATGTTGCTCATCAGCTTTTACAACATCACAATTAGATTGGATTAATCAGCCAAAGATGAAAAGACACTAATCTATAAATAATCATAAGGATTATTTATTTATTACAATAAGAAAAACAGACCCATTTCAGCATACTGGGATCATTTCAAAGTGAGTGTACGTTTGAAGCACTACAAGACATCAGCTTCTAAAGTGCGTTAATTTGAAAAGTATTGATCACCTGACTGCCGTATATATATCGATAAGAGAAAGGATACATGAGTTATTATTTACTCAGTACTTTTACGAAAAAAATATAAAAACAAGAAATATATTTAAACATCTTGCATTAAGTAAATGAAAAACGTAAGAGATCACTGCTTTCATTTTAAATTAATGGTTTAAAAGAAAAAGTGAACTTTTCAAATGATAAACCCATTCTATAGGGTAGCAAATAAGTTATAAAATACAACTGTGAATTTCACAATTTGGAGAAACTACTCTTTCTTTTAGAATATTCTATGAAGAATAGTCTAGGAAACTATTAGATAATTATTAATTTTAATACTGAATGAATTGAATTCAAGATGAAATATACAGAAGACGTGTTTTCATGCATATATATATATAAATATATATATAAAGTTATTCAACATAAAAACATAATTTACACAAATAAACACTATCACAATTACTAACCTTTGTTGCCATTCGTGCACGAACTAAACGACAAAATGCCAGTAAAGGTAAATGTGTAATTAAAGCTTCTGAAATATCTGCATGATTTTGTAAAAATTGACTGAAATCATGCTGTAGAACAGGCATATCATATAAGACAGTATATTTAAAACTTTCAATTAAATTATTTGATGCATACGACGACATATGTGGAGGTATACAAAGGGGTGTACGAACAAGGCGTTCTAAAGCAGGAGTTAGGCGATCTGGACATTCAGGATGAATACTTGAATCATGAGCATTGGGACAAAGACATTTATGTTCAAGCATCTCCGGATCAAAGGCGATGGCAGTTACTAAACTGTGATTTGGGATGCTAAAGAACAGAGACAAAAGAAAAGCACTATGTAGTATAAAACATTTAAAGTTATATATATATATATATATATATACGCTAACCAAAATACAAATCATGATTTCCCGAAGACTAGTGGATACATTTCAAAATATATTACTTTTCAGTTACATCCATTCCAAACTAATCAGTGGAAAAGATTAGTGCCGTAATAAGTGATAAAAATTTACTCAAATAAAAGTGTGAGAAAGGATAAATTGTATGCTTTAAAAGCCTTACACTAACGTTTCTTTTCAATAATTTTGAAGTTCTCAAGTTCGGAAATCAATTCATATTCATCACAGAATTTCAAGTTCAAATTCATATTGAATAGCAGAACAACACTATTTAACATCAACATTTACGTTGTTTTTATTGTTAACTAAATGTACACAATAACTAATAAAGGTAAGCCATTACATATAATTTTAGGTTGAGGTTTTCGGCAAAATTCTAAATTTAAAACAATTAGTCCCTTTGATAAATTTCGATAATGATATTAGAAGACGAAGATTATCAGAACTATGTGATATATTAGCGCAATACATTTCGAAAAATCTGGTCACATATATACTTGTTAAGAGCATTTATATATAAAAATAAAAGGTCAACTAGACAGGAAACGGGGTATTGCTAAACATATAATTGAAACAGGTCACTAGATTGATCTAAATTCAGCTTTCGTAGTGTTGTATAAAAGTGTAAAAGGGCGTGTACTAAAGTTTATTGAAGCCTTAGCCATACGAAAATTCAAACCCCCTTTGTGTGTTCAAAAACAGTTTGTTCTTACCTTAAACCTACCCTGGTAATATTGACTTATTATCCAGAGTGATTAGGTTTCAAATTGTGTTCACATTATTATCTTACCCCGTTTCCTGTCTAGTTGACCTTTTATTTTTATATATAAATGCTCTTAACAAGTATATATGTGACCAGATTGTTCGAAATGTATTGCGCTAATATATCACATAGTTCTGATAATCTTCGTTTTCTATTATCATTATCGAAACATTCTAAATATACCTTAAATGAATCGCGATCAGCACTTTCCATCATTTCACCTTTCATCTAGTGAACCAGTGCTGTATATTAGAGAATAATATTCATTAAAGACGTCATATCAAGCTCTAATTTTTACTAATATTCACATACTAATGGTATTGCAATTTTCAATGATGTTATCTATAAGAAGATGGAATTGCTCTATCGAAATTGCTTTAGATGTTATCTATCTAAGTGTTAAAAAGAAATATATTTTTTGTGTAGAAAAATAACTATGATGAAGTAGACAGAATGCGCAGATTTTTAAGTAACCTTTACCAGCTTTGTATTTCATTAAAAATGAGTAATATTTTACAAACCACTGGTCAACAATTCATAAAACTAATGAAGTACTGACAACATCCTCAAGAATAACATGCATATATTCATAATTGGTTCTGAAAATCAGAGAAATATAGAATTCTGTGATGTATATTGGACTTAACATCTACAGATTGTAACAACAAGTAGTTTGGAAAATGGCAATTCAGTAGTACAGATAACTACTTGTAAGGGTTTATATCCCCCTTATTGATACACAGATTTGAAGAACAAGTTACAATTTTATAAAATTTAAACAAATAAATCTTCAACCGCCACCCCACCCCCTGCCCAAAAAAGAAACGAAGCAAAAAAGCAGTCGAACCAACTTGGGATAACAAGTTGTTTTCATGTCTGCATGATAACTCTGAGAAAGCCAATCACTTTCGGGTAGAGCAGACCAAATATCTGATGCTAATTTATGAGATTGATATATTTTTGACAAATTATTGTCATACTTATTTTTGGCGCTATTGACAATAGGATTAGAGGATGTAGCATTATCGACGTCATCATCATCACACTTCCTTTCATTACCTCCACAACCATCATCTATATCTGTGGATATATTTTGTTGAGTAAGTGGATTCAACACTGAATTGTAAACCAAGTTGGATTTAGTACAGTTTGGTGATAATTGACTCTCCCAATCCATTTGACACAAAGAATGAGATTTATTTACTGGATTTCTATGCTGAGATTCGACAATATTTGACTGGACTGGAATTGAAGATGAAGCTTCCTGGCAAAGTTTTACAAGTGCTGACAATGCTGTATTTTTCAAAAATATATAAACAAGAAGAGGAAGACAGAAAAGATTTAATTAATTATATGATTGGCATGCCAAAAAAAGACCATCAAAATCAGTTTAGTTTATGTTATTATTGGAACAAATACTTTTGTTTAAAGTTTGTTGTACTTTTTTCTTCCTGTCTGAAATTTCTTAAGAAAATATTGTCCTACTGAGTGACAAACCTTCCTTAAAAGTGAAAACCGATTTGGAGTAACACATGAACAGATAGAAATATTTTACGTATAGAAATAAACTATATCCTAACAATATCCGGCTCAAATCTTAATCCACTTACTTCATCAAGGGAAGTTAGCGAGTATCCACAAGTTCTCTTACAAACATTATGGTTTAAAATTGATTACATACACCCGGTTACTTGGTAGATGAGTTACACTCAGTCAGTCAGTCAGCTACAACGTAGGACCAGGCACATATGTGCATCGGTCCAGGTTGCCATACCGCATCAGCACAACAAGATGAACACCGGATTCATAGCAGTGTATGAGTTACACTAATTAGTTAAGACTGGTATATGACATTGTAAGACTGGTTTGATATAATTACAATCAATTCTTCTATATGTGTAATAGACAATCACATGATCTGTTAACTTAATTAACATAAAATGAGAATTTCTCTTGGTGGAAATGCAACCAATATATTTAGTCAAACAAAACAAACAAAAAAGTTTATACTTTAAGAATTTAGTTACTGATTTGTTTACATATACACTTTCATAGAAAATTTCCAATGATCACACCACAATAAGACATTTATTTAATAGAAGAAAAATGTTTAAAAATATAATTAAAATTGTCTCTTGATAATTAATATAATTATTGTTAACAGACATATGAATTCAATAGTATTTGTATATATCGGTAATCTAATTATCATTATAAATATACAGATTTGTTAATAGATCCATCTATTATTTAACTAAATAACTATTGTCATACAGGTAATGATGGATCGTCCACGGGATCGTGGATGCGCACTGCTGAGGAGTCCCATACTAGGACGAAACGGCCTTCCAGTGCTTCCAGGTTTTCCATGGTAGTTTAGCTTCAATTGACTCATGATTTCAACTATTAAAATTTTTAAAAATCTCCACAAAACCCCTTCTGATAATTATGGATATTAGTAACAAAGCAGGGGTTTTTGTAATAAAACATAAGACATTTTTGTCATATTAAGACAGGATATAATAAGTGTCAGTTGGAGTAGGCAATGAGGTTCGAAGTTCCTTGAATATCTAATACATATACATGTTAAGGGGTGGAGAAAAGGATAAGCGTAGATAGGATAGTGAACTGCGAACAATCATTCTATCAACAGCCCTAACAATATGCTCTTCCTCTTTACAAATAAGAAAAACATTTTGGTGTTTTGAGTTCGCTGAGACGAACAGTTAAATTGCGAAGCCTTCTTTGTTGTTCTGGAAAACATCATCAGTGCAATCCGTGCTGAGATATTCATGTATCATAATGACAATTGGGAATTGAAAAGTGCTACACAACTTTCTCAAGAGGGATAGAAAATATTATCTTATGGGGATAAAATTAACAGCTAGAATTCGAAGCTAATGGGTCGTCTCTTATACAAGTCAATGACTCAGATTTAATGAATTGTACCGTATTAAGAATGACGATAATAGAAATATGTTCTCATTTATTTTACTCATCACTTAAATAAATAAATAATACAGAGCAATACAAAAAGAGATGGCTTAGTGATTAAGGCGTTCGAGTTTTAAGCACGAAGTCCCCAGTTCGAGGGTCACTTCATCTGCTTCCGTTTGAGCATCCGGATAGTATCGTTATATCTCACACTTAGTATGGTTCATCCTTAAGTACCGGGTGAATGAGTTCAGTCAAATTGATGAAAAGCATGGGGAACGAAGAATATTAGTTGAAAAAAGTCCTTATATCTAATCAACGATTGAATAGTAAACGCTAGACAGCATGATAAAATTTTTCCTTAATAAATATTGAATTCATGTCTAGGAGTCATAAAGTGAAAAAAAGTGGAGGTAAAAATTGATGAATAAGTTTCAAGAATATGGAAATCTACTTGTTATATACCTTCATGATAATTCACATTTGCACCGATTTCGGAGAAAGGAAGGTATTCTTCAAGGTGCCTTGAATCACCTTCACGATAATGAACTCTTTGTGATTGATGATAAGAATCTGTGTCATTTCCCAACTTCTATAATTAAATAAGAGCAGAGACAGATAATACATATAAAAATTATATAGATATAATCTATGAGCACATTAGAATGACTGTAAGTAACCGCTGGTGTTCTATATATCATGGGAATAAATATCAATTCACATTACCATGAATTCAACGGCTTGTGACATATAACTCTTGGGCTTACATATTTGTTGCATACAAAAATCTTATAATCCAATTTTTGTTATAAATTAGTATTTATTTTTTGACGTTTAATGTTAAAAATGCCACCCAACTGCTCAAAACATAGTTGACAGAGCGTTACGTAAATCTGTAGCATAGCAACGACTAAGAAAACAACGGGACAGTCACCTACAAATGTATATGTATATGCACACAAATAAAAGTAAAGTACCCATAAATAGACTATATTGTCATACAGTAGAGAAACTGAATTTATCCACAGAATTAAATAAATACATTTAGTTAAAAATAAATCAATAATGACTGAACAAGACAGTGAAATATTGGTAAAAAGACCTTGATTGGTTTCAAAGCTTATTTTCATCATAAGCTCACAATATTTGGAAAAAATTTTAAATCAGTTTATAGAAAGACTATAAGTCTGTAGCACTGAAGAAAACGAAAACCAAGGCAAAACAGTTGCCTGATTAACTCTGATTTACAATGTTTCTTCAACTGACGTTATTTGATAATGCAAATTACCTACGAGACATTCGGAATTATATAAATGACCTATAGACAATAAACTGTAAAAAAAATCACTAGTATGAAATGATGATACTACAATACAAAGACCACAAACATCGGTGAATTACCTTTAGCAAAACTACAGTCAGAACAAATCATTGCTAAGGTAACTTGAATATGGTTTAGTCCTCAGATTCGTTTATTGTCGTGCAAAATAACGTAGACATTATATGATGAATTTGAGTCACTGAAATGATTTTCAATTAAGTGTAACGTTTTGTAGACATGAATTTGTCCTGTGAGCACGATACCCATTAAGTCGGGATCTAATGATTTACGATCCCAATAATATAGCACAAAAAAAGTTCAATGTCACTGATGATAATAATATTACTACAGATATGGTGGAACTCTTCAGAACGTAGGTAATTATGAATATTGGCATGTTGAATAAGATAGATGAGGTTTTTCTAGAACCATGTAATGTGAGACAAACATATATATTCTTTGTGTAATATTGACAAACACAATTGCATATTAAATAAACACGAATATATATATATATTACATAGTTTAGAGTTAGATTTCATTGTCTCAGTAAACACATTGATGTTCAGACAATATACATAAATCACATAAAGAACTATGAAGTCAATTATGCCGCAGAAATCTCTTGAATTTTACAATAAAAAAAAGCACAACATACAAAAACATTCAAATATACAAGAGCTCCGTATGCTATTAGACATAAGTAATAATTATTACACTTTTGATTACCTAGATGTGATATTTTGATTTATATACTTTACATCGGAACTATGCCTACAATTTATATACAATTTTCATCCACTGCAAAATGCAGTAATAAATTAGAATTGAACATTAGCTTACAAATATTAATTCTATCTATTTATAATCTGTGATAATCTATAAAATAATTTCCTGTTGTCAACTGAACTTGGAATTCTACAAAACGAGGTTTAATATTGAACATAAATAGGAATTTCTGATCTGTTTGATATCAACGAATTTGTTGATAAAAGGTAAATTAAACTGCATGTCCATATTCAAATAGACAGCAGAAACTATGATTGTAAGCAAATAAGCAAAGTCTAATTTTTTCGGTGAACACATAAAGGATATGGCCATCAAGAGGTCAAAGTGGAAAGGCTTGAAATTCCTCTCACTAATAATAATAATAATAATAATAATAATAATAATAATAATAATAATAATAGTTTTGATCCGTCTAAAGTATGTTGTGTTACATCAGATTACCGTACTTCCTTAGAACAATTGGTAGGTACGCACACATGTGTGAACAAAATTATTCGGAGTTTTAGAGCATGAAAAGTTTCTTTTTCGAAAAAATTGATAGTTATTTTATTGACGGATATCACTGAAATAGGAATCAGTGAAAAATATCTTTCTAGATACCGATAACAAACTAAGTTGAATAAATTTCTATCTCATGGTTTTTGTGATGAAGCATTTTGGATTTGTATTTACCATCCAATAGTAAACATAGTTAATTCCTACAAATACTCCTTTATTGTTAATGTGATTAAAAACGAACTTGATGTAATATGGACAAGTTCTATATTCAAATTTTGTTCAGAATGGTTTCTAGCAGATTAAGTATGGATAAAAACTCAGATCTGTTTAATGAAAAAACATAGTTACAATAAAATTAAGTTTTCTCTACGATAAAAATGTGTTCCATAAGCCAATAAAGTATAACATTTGCATGTTTATACTAAGTCTAATTAGCATCTATCAATATAACGTTAACCATTTCTAAGCGGTTATTTAACAGAGTGACCTATTCGTTTATATAAGTACAAAGTCAGATAAGTAATGTTCATTGTGAATTTTGCTTAGTGAATTAAAATAAAAAAGTGAATGTAACATGGTATTAAATTGTTTTTTTCTGTCAGGCATTCAAATTTACGTTGTATCCCCCCCCCAAAAAAGGACCAGCAGTCAACTAGTATCCCAAATATAAATATTATCACTGAGCTACTTAAACTACAAGTGGCCCTACTGTAAGATTAAGAATTTCATATGAATCGATAACCATATAGTAAATAATGTTGTAATATTATTTTAAAACTAAAAACTGATAGAATATAATCCAATTTAAATCTTTTGTCTTCTTATGTCTGTATTTTTAAAGTTGTCTAATAATAACCTTTACATTTTACTAAATAAATCAAATAACTTTCAATTAACAGAAATGAAATAAACTATAGTACATCACAGATACTATAGGGTAACGAAAGCTATTTACATAAAGAATGTAATTCTTTCTTAAAAATTAAACTTTGAAACTATGTAAATTATACATTTCAAAATGAGACTTTTACGTGTGTGTAGGCGATTTCAGACATCTTGACGGCCAAATATTTAAAAATAATTCACATTTTAACAACAAGAAAGTTTATCATGTATTGAAATAATACTAAACATTTGTTATACGAATTTTTATTTATTTATTTACACATAAACATTGGTACAAGAATAGATATGTGCCACATAAATCATTCGTTATATGTGAGAGCTAGGATACTGCCCGGGTGACCAAACCGAAACAGGTGGTTTTCATAGGGGGTCACACCCCGAATCTTTGACCTAAAGGTCTGATCCATAAAGCAGTGGAGAAACGTCAGGAGATGCTGTTCCATGGTAGCCGGTGACCAATGATTGGTTTATACGACATTTGTTCCTTTAGAATACTGGGGCCCATGTGCACCATTGGTTTGGAATCGGGGTTTTTCAACTCCCCTATGTGAACTCTTCGTGTTCACTAACCCGGACATTCACTTTTCGTCCTCTCAATTTCGTAAACAACAGTAATGTCACGAGAAGGCAGTGACTAGGACTTCCCTTGCAGTGCTTGTATGCACGTGGCCATGTGAGAGCATTTTCATGGTTAAAAATGATAATTAAAGAGGTCTAGAACAAAACATAATAGTAATTGTGGAATAACTCACTAATTAAAACACAATATCAAATTATTTATACATTGCTTATTAGTATTTGTCACAGGAGTTTTGCGGAAACGTTAGTCAAACGTCGGAAAATCAATGCATTTCACATTCAGACTACAACTCCTAAATGCAGGAACGATTAATAGACGGTTAAACTTGAATCGCTACACAGTAATACTCAAACAGAATAAAATACTAATGCTGGATAACAATCTCACCGAGTACGTAAATAGCTTTTCTAACACAATTGTAATAACATATATAAAAAGAGAGTTAGCAATACAAATGATGGCTTGATCGATTAGTGCAGCTTGCTAATTGTTAAGTGAATTATTTATATAGTATTCCTTAAATGTATACTTGTGAGAGGCCTATGTAAATATGTAGTGAAAATAATATCACGTATAGACGTTCAGTATTCAAAAGTTATATAGATTGTCAGGAAAATAATTCTATTTACTGATCATTACCGATACCAGTTATATTTGTTCAATAAATATGTTGTTGGTGTTATTGATTCATATCAGGCACTAATATATTTTAGCTTAGTTAAGTTTTAGGTGTTTTCTCTTTAATATGCTTCAAGACCTCAGCTATAAAACATTTCAAATTAATGAGTCCTTAATTGGGTAATGGTGATTTATTTATCATTCAACTGGTTTATTTCAAGTTCAAACATGGTTTCAAATAATTCGGTTTGAACAACGGGAAAGTGTAACCATTCCTCCCACAAACGACATGTCTGAAATCCGAATGTATGCACACTTGCACTAAGAAAATAAATCATGTTCTACTTCTAAACTGGTAATCACTTGAAAAACTTTAGTTGAATTGAACGTGTTTCTTATACTAAATCTATTGAAGAAGCAATAACATTATTCATATTTAAACCGCCGATTTTCAAGCAGTAAAAATCGCTAGACATTTCAGCTTAATGAATTGCTTAACATCACCCCTAAAAGGTGATCTATAATCACGCGACCTCCATATAACGAAACCAAAAAAAGGTGAATTTGCTGCGGGCTGCTAACTTCTAACTCTATGGGTTATATTAAAAGGTTAGTTTATAATAACTAGGAAAAGAAAGAGTAAATAGATGATGTCGATCAGTTTAAACAAACCTTTTAAATAGCATATATAATTCCAGGTGACTAGTATTCGATATTATCACGACAATGACAATTCTGTGTATATATATACCATGAAAATCTTGGAAAATCTACATATTACAAATGGTAAATCAAAAAGCAAATTAGCTATCTAAACAAATAAATCAATTATCTCGTTATGCACAAAGATTATTGATAGAAGTTAGGAATTACCGAAATGTAATGTAAAACTTCATCAAGGTGTATCGAAAAATAGATCAATTGCTTTAAGTTTTTTAGTAATACATTTATCAAGTTGACATCTGTATGAATAAACTGAATTATACATTTTGTAAAGGTGGATAAACAAACTAATTATGATGCTCAAGTTAAAATAAATTAAGTTGAATAAAAACCTATAACTTAAGTGAACACTTTTGGCGGCCTGCTTGAATATTTGGGCTACCTGTTCCTGCCATCTAGATATTTCAAGTTATCTGATTTTTATTTGTTTTAAAACATTATTATGTCTATTAATCGTATAACCTATTCAAGCGCGTTTATGAAATGTTTACGACCTTTAGCTGTACAAGTTTCGAAAATCCCAATCAGAGATATTATGGTTGCTGGAAATGTGCAGCGAAAAGGATGAACATTATTCAGATGTCGATTCCTGAATTGCTAATATCTAACTGGCGATCACTCGATATTTATCATCAGGACAGAGTAAGAAATAAGAAAAGGAAACTTGTTGAAATACCTTGTGCTAAGAATTCGATATTGTACCAAAAATATAATATTGAATGAAGTCATTAATAATAATAATAATAATAATCACTTAAACTACAGTACATTCATTAAGATTTTCGTTCGAAAAGAATGCCGAAAATAGTTTATTAATGTTGACATGAAATGAAAACATATGCGCTGTATTAAAATTTAATTTAAAAATACTGCCAATAAACTATATATATTTGAAAATATGTAAGCTATCCTTTAACTAAGTCATATTATTTACTGTTAAAGAGTATAAACAACAAAGGTTCACCGTCAGTAATAGTATAGTAATTCTATGACTCTAAAAATTATCATTGGACTGGTTCTGTTTGCGTTTCAACCCTCCAAGTATTTAATTCTTTAAAATCAAACTGAAATGCAGTAATACCAGATTCTATTCTTCCTAAATTGTGCTTATCAGCCCAAAAAATTCCCACAACCGTAAAATTGTATACACATTGACAATACTTGTTTAAAATTCATACTACTAAAAAACCATGTTAGTAGTGTGACTACCCAAATTACAGACAAGTTCACAATGGAATAACGTAAAAGTTACATATGACAAAAGCAAAACAAGGTTAATGATATTTTACTAAGCTAGGGGAATAAAATTTTTTTACATCAAAGTGGTTGTTTGTAAGTAGGCGTTATATTAAACAACATTTTAAGTTGGGAAGACAATGCAAAATTTTCAGGAGTATATCATTGAAATTTAACACTAGCAAAAAATATTAAATTACTATTTTCTAGGAATTAAATTCATTTACAATACGACAGATGGTTATATATATATATATGTACCAACTTATTAAATATTAGACAGTCGATTGCGATTCCGCATTATCTAGATACTCATCAACAAGGTGTATCCACCACTCTTGCAAGAAAAGTTTACTCCATAACAGATTTTAACCACGATTTCAGAGAATTTATTGGGGTACATGTAGAGCTCAAGTTGATCGGTTATAACGTAGAACCAAATTTTTGATTATTATATATAAAACTGTTCATCTGTTCAAAAAGTGAATAAATTAATTATTAGAACTTTACGACCTTATACAGGTTTGTTTAGCAAATATACATCAGAGACAGTAAAAGGATGAAATCTTTCTAATCGCAAAACTCAATACAGTCGTCAAGTACCACTTTTGGAAGGGGAGTATTTTCAAGTGTTTTCGACGAGATCACGACGATAAGTTCAATAAAGAGAAAAAAAGTACTCCGGGAAATTAAAAATAAAACCATGCAAAAATGTGTGTAATATTATTTCTGTCTAACAAGTATTGGCCTTAAATTATGAATACATCTGTGAAATTTAGGTACAGAGACATTGACCTGGAACTTCGCTCCAAACACCACTTTAAAACTACAAGTTAACAGTTTTTAAAATAAATTATTTCAATAGGATGTCTACTGTCCATAAAAGAGCTAGATGCCAGTAATTTAGGGAACAGGTGTATAAGAGACAAAGATTGCACTCCATCAACTTAAAATCAGGGGACCAGATGTTACCGATAGTTGACATTGCTTACATTCTCGTGGCATATCCAAGATGACATGTAATTAATCATTTACCAAGTATGGATCAATGTATCCGACTTTGAATCACTGTTCTTGAAAATGAGGTTCAAACCTAAGAACTACTGATAAAAATCGAGAATCTTAACCATTAAGCCATCCCCACATTGTACGCTTAACAGAGTCTAATAAAATGTCATTGTTAAGTCTACAGTCAATATATATTACAGTGTAAAGAAAAACGTATACTTCATACATAGCGAATTATCTGCAACAAAAAAACAAGGATACGTAGTAGAGAATACAGTAGTTTGAAGTACAAACACATCTAATTAAAACTGACACAATAACCTCGTAGAAACAATCAATGTTGGAATTGGTTTGTTTAAGTTTTAAGAGTCGACATAATTCAAATCTCCACAGAAATAAAGTGATTAGAAGTATAAATATGATCGAGTAATTAAAAAAAAACCATTACCTCTTCTAAATTTATTGGTTGAGATGACGTTCTTTTTATTTGTCGTCTAAACTGACTAATTATTCTAAGTAATGCAATCATTGTTTGTATTTGTTCATTTGTTAAACGACCATTATATTTAGAGACTAAGTGATAATTTAGTTGTTCTAAAAATTGATTGGATTTTGTTAGTTCTCTAGAGTCCGATTCTCGCTCACTAGCAACAGAGCTACCACGAACAATACCAATATCTCCACGTTCTTTGTTTAACTCTTTAATATTTACAGAATTGAAAGACGGTACATTACTAGATTGGGAAAGTGATGATGAATGAGAAATATGTTCTAAATTCGATGAAAGACACGTAGGTTTTATGGAAGCATTGAAATCTGCTAATTTTCTCTGCAAATCCAAATCTAGTGAATGATGCTGATGTACAAGTAAATTTTCATCACCTAACGTAAGAAAAAAAAAGACAAAACAGACTAGAAGATAGGCGACGATGGGTGATAAATAAAGAAACAAATCAATGGAGTTAATTTTCACCATAGATTTTTAATAAGAACTATTGACAAGCGAAGGGAATCGAACAGTTGTTTCACACTAATTTAATTTGAACGGTTTCCCCCAAACCTCCGGTTTTAATAATTATCATATCCGCGCTAGTAACCAACTAGGAGGCGAATTATAAACGTTTTAGTGATAAACAATGATCGATGTAATTGAGTTATGTTTAAAGTTAGTAGGTTGTTAACAGTAACAGGTGATGTCACCTAATTTCAAAGCATGTGTTTAGTTCCGATATATGAGAAATAAACACTACTGAATGAGCTAGATTACATTTCATTTTCCTTATAGTCGTTATACTCAAATAATCATTATTGATGCTTCACTATTGTCTTTATGAGCTGATGGTTTGAGATACAAGCCTTTGTTAAACCAGAATAGTACTTCCATCTGATAAATAATAAATATAGTTCAAAATCCAGTAAAACAGACCTATACGTAGAATTCTATTAAACTATAACACTAGATTAACATACACAGAACAGACGAAAAAGGTATTATGACTTCATTAGTAATGTTGCAGGTAGACCTAAAGGTGAAGTCTTTTCCTGTGAAAGATGATGGAGGGGAGAGTCAAAGAATTCCAAAAAAACCCACAGGGGGCCCTGAAGACGCTAGGAAACATTTTGTCTAGTCAGTGTTGAATAGAAGTATCTTAGATGCATTTAAAAAGTGAAGTCACATGTCACATTTCTGACTGGATGATTATCTATCCTCCTACTGTGTTTAATATGGCCCGAGAATCTTCCAAAAGCCCAAGACCATCTGGAATACCACAAATACCCTCGGTTTTTTGTACATAAACTAACCTTGGAGTAAAGTGTTCTTTTCATAGTATGCGTTTTCCCCATCGTGTTGTCGTACAGATTTAGCCTGGGGTTATTAGAAGAGCTTAGGAAACCGATTCAAACGTTCAGTTAAGTTTATCAATCAGTGAATATCAAATTACTAATTATAAATAATTAGAAGATGAGTTTGCAATATTAACAAAACGTATGCCCTAAAGGCTGACAGACCATAAAGGGAAATCATGAACTAGGTGTCATAAAAACAAGAGATTTTTAGTGTCAGAAGAACATTAATTGTAATTATTCATCGAAATATGTGAAGTCATTGACGAATACTGGTGACAGTCAGTCAGTCAGCTACAACGTAGGACCACGCACATATATGCATCGGTCCAAGTTGCCATACCTCATTAACACAACAAAATGGACACCGGATTCATAAAAGTAGTTAATTCAGAGGTGGTAGTATATAAAAGAAAGCTTGCAATAAGGAGATAGTACAGGAAGAAAGAATTAGTTCGTAGAAAGTAAGATATGAAGCGATTTTAATCTCTTAGTTTAAGGGAAGACAGAGAGTATATACACCGACGCCATTGTTATCGATTCTGAGCCATGTCACCAAGAGTCTCCAACTATTGGTTACGATAGTCACGTGGACCCCAACCAAGTAGTCTGCATCTCTCAACATGGCTCAGACTAGAAGTTAGTGACTTCAAGCACTGATGTCACGTTTTGGTTTGGCCACCCCTAACTTTCTTCCAACCATCTCCAACACTAGTCAGCATTGTGGGTCGTGGTAATCAGTGTTCAGGCATACGTAACACGTGGCCCAACCATCTCAGTCGATGAAGATTCATAACCTCATCAACTAATTTACCATCATTCCCTAATACCCTGCGTCTAACCTCACTATTACTTACCCGGTTCTTCAGCTAACGCCAATTCTTGGTGGAATTCAATTAATTTCAAATTTATACTTTATATGGTAGAGATTCCATTGGTTGGTAAGATGCTTTTAGTGTTAAAATCCTTGAATTATGAGATAAATTTAGGGAATTTTCATGGTTTTGCAAAAACCCTATGAAAGCAGCTGGAATGTTAAGCCTGGTTGACCTTGTGTGATAGATGATAGACACAATTAACCACAATCACATATTTGTAAATAGACTATCCAGCTGAAAGGATGCAATATCAACAAACACGTTCTATGTATTTCTGTATGAATTACTGTAGGCTTTTTACGCTATTGTTGTTTGATAAAATTTAATTGTATTTTATGATTTTGTGGTGGTCGGTATTCAGTATAATTCTCTAACTTCGTACACTGCTCGTCCTGATAACCGCTACTAGATAACGCCCAACGGTGTATAAATCAGAAGACGAGTACGAAGCGTTGATTACGTTTATTATCGCACCGCACACAGATTACCCAAACCACAGGCACACGAAACAAGAAGGATATGCTAATGCCGAAGAGCACACGAGAAAGTGAGTGAGTCACTGAGCAAGTCAATGAACAGGATTAAAAGTTTCAAATACATACATAGAAGATGAATGCGTCATCGAATCGTTTAAGCGACTAACACTAAAGCTAACAGAATGAATATTTGGGTAAGCGGTAAGCAATTCTCAAGCATGCATATTCATACAAGCGCAACACTGATAAAAGGTACAATGGTATAGATAAGTTGTTGTTGTACGAATGACTGTCTGTTAAATAAGTTAATAAAAGGGCTTAATCAAATCAAATCTGAACAAACTCAAATCTATATGGGCCGCTATAATTTCCTATTACAGTACAATATAAATGTTGATGTTGAGAATGTTTAACACGATCAAAAACAAAAGTGGAATCGATGCTCTGATTTACACATACAATTAAACATAACGCTTAGGATAAAATATTGATAATTATCGTGTGACATAATGCCTTTATTTAATACCTTAACGCTTATAATTTAACTTCTATTTTCAGTCTCAATCGGTTCATGTGACTTGTTCAAAACTCCATAAATGCACTGTATTTTTGTTTATTTCATGCTAATTTAAGAAAATAGTGTTTAAGATAACTGGGAATAAAGTAAAGGATGTTCTTACATCAATGTAAAACTGCTGTATAATTGACATTTTACCTAAACTGATGATACGAATGAAAACCAAGATGTACCAAAACGTTATCAACTTCAATAGGCACTATACACACCGAATTGACTAGATTAACTGTTAATTCAGTAAAACATTAACAATTTTATGATGTAGAGTTCAAAGATCCGACCAATAAATTTATGTATATTCGAAGAATAACAAACAAAAACCTGATACTGCCCTTCCAAATGTTTCTTAAATCCTTATAAATATCCTACAAAGGGTCACGGACATAAGACAAAGGCTGGTAGTTCGAAAAGAAACTTACTTCTAAGATTAGCTCAGATACAGAAGTATTTTGTTTATTTTATTTACACAAGAATATTTCTAGGTTTACTCGTGGCTTTGGTATTCTTAGAGCATCTGCAGTCACGCTAAAATGAATAACGAAATTCGTAATTATCCAATTACGATATAATACATAGTTCATTGTTTTTCTAGAATGCACCGGAGAGCTTCTACTGAGAGCAGATCTAACGAAGTATTTTCAGACTTCCCAGCTTTTGAGGAATTTTTCGAGGGACTTTGGAAGGTCACTAACAGCAATCACGTCAGTTTGTACTTTAAAAAGCCTTTACGCTGACTTGGCCTAAAAATGGTTCAGTGCCAATCAGTGAACACTATAATTTAGAATTAAGTATGGTGTGACTTATTTGTCACACATGGTGTGTAAGGGCTAGCGATACTACTCGGTTTTAAAAACCGAATTAAGTAAAGCTGAATTTAAACTAGCGAATTACTAGTTGCGATGCAAATGCTTTAACCAATAATCCACTTCACCATCACGTCAACAAGAAAAGAGAAACGTCAATTAAGCAATTAATTAGTATGTGATAAAATAATATGTCAACTTTTACAGAACCATGTCGTGCATTGTTAGAATTACATACGGAATTTCGAAGGTTGGATTAATAATTTGGGTAACCAGCATCGAGTTATGAAAGGCCATCCGACAAAGTATTGTGTTGGTGAAAAAAACATTAGACCTCAATACTCCAAAAGTTACTAGAAAGCAAGAGAATTTTATCAAGGAACATTCAAATATACTTTACTTGTATGGGATTAAATCTGCCCATTGTTCATGTTATGGACTGTAGTTGGTCAGTCTATTTTTGACATGTATGCATCCTGAGCAGAATGTTTCTCACATTGCTATTTATTCACAAGCGTTTTTAAACAAAGTTTTATTAGAGATTAGTAGTGAAATCTAGGAAAATGTGTTTTATCCCAAATAGGATTCCACACCTAGATACTATCCAAACTATACTTAGAAAATTGAATGTTTTATATTGTAACCTGTATATATTTATCGGCAAGATGCTTCAACGTTTTTTTTTAAATATTTTTAATATAAAACTAAACTATCCAGTTAGTATTGGAAAACTGTCACATGAAACGTAGTAGAATTGTAACCAAAGTTGATGAAAGAAATAGTCTATAAACTGAGGAATTAATGAAAAATCACTAGATCTCAATAATATAACAATGAAACATTAATTTCTAAAAATATATAGAAAATTTTTATACAATTTTACACATTTAAGCTCACATGTTTGTTATTGTTAAAAATGAGAATGATTTCTTTTTTTTTGTTGCGAAAACTAACAATCAATTGTGGGCTGCTTAAAATAAACTTTGAGTTTTATATTATAATCTTTATTTACACTCAACATATATGAAAAGTGAATTTGAATTTGTCGATCATGTATTATTTCATTACTAATTATGTACATATGATCCCTTCTATTATATAATAACATAGTGGAATATATATTAGGAGAATGAATATAAAAGTAGATAGACAGGTCAATTATAAGAATGTTGCATAAAAATTACCATAGAAAAAGAGAATCCACATGAATGAAAAGATATTGAAATAAAACAAAGAGATGTATGATGATGATAGTAATAGTAATAATAGTAGAGTGATAAAAACGATAGTGACAATAGAGGATGATTTGTCTAATCCTATTGTTCATTAGTATTATAACTTCTCTATTTATGTTTTACAGAGGATGATCGTGAATTAATTGACTAGTTGGATACTTTTATGGTCTTGTTATATAATTGGAAGTTAAAAGCAAAGAATATTTATTGACTAAAACCAGTTATACTCTTAATACTGTTACTAACCGGAATCATAGTTATTTGAAAACATATCTTTTCGAAGAAGGGAGTAGTAGATGGTCATTTTTGAAACGTTATTACTGTATTTATTGTCTCTGGATACTTTATGTCGGCCTCAGATCACAGATGAGGGATTATTTTGAAGCAGAAATAATTGTACTGCCATTTTGTTTAAAAAGTAATAGGCTACAGTGTTTGATATGAGCTTCTATTTTGAAAGTTGAAATCACATATTTAATCCTACTCCATGTTACACATTTCTAGAATAAATTTATTTTACTTTTCCTCTCAAAGATCTCATTAGTTAGATCTTTTGTATAGGCCTTCCATTTTTATACTTGCAGGTGTACCGTGAAAACGTTAGCTTCCTATGTATGTGTTTACAGTGATCGCTTACTTACTTTCATGTTTCTCGAGAACTGAGTTCCGTTATCAGGATATTTGAAGATTATATCGTTTGAACACATTACCAACTTATTGTTCACTTATGTAGAAATGATTTTAATGTATAATTATCCAGTCTTCGTAGAGGTTGCTAATTTCCGATCATTTATGTATATACTGAAAAAAGTTTGCATATTTTTCTTTTCTTAATTTAGGATCAATTTGTTTTAAGAGGGGATGCCCTCATAGATTTGACTAGTAAAACCAATACACTAATAAGGTTCCTATCTATGAACTTGGACTCAGTTTAGATTCCATGGGCCACATCTATGGCATCATGTAAATAACAACAATCTTTCCTTGACAATATCGAGCCTATTTATAACATCATAGATTTCATTGAGATCATTCTAATTTTGTTTCTTTACACTTGTATATCGGATACATCGCTCATGCGTAAAGTTTGGTGTTACCTATGAAAATGTCTAATAAATAAATACAGAAATATCTTTTATGACTCAAAGGCTTATACAGATCAATTAGATTTTACAATTTCAACACATTGTGTTTTCACCATTACTTTTATAAAAATCCAGATACCAATCGACATCAGCAAGTACCCACAACGAGTTTTAGTATATCCTACATTAACTGATTACCGCTCTGTTAAGGTATTTCCGTTTGTTAATTTTCGATAGCACTAACCGAACTAGAAGAACAAGAGATTTTACGTCTCAAGCAAACTAACTCCTTACATGGCAAGATGTTGAAAGTTAATTAAAATATATTCCTATTTTGGGAGACCACTGCTCAGTTGACCACCAACAGGACAAAGGAATCTCCGTTAAGTAATTTTAATACAAGTGTGTACAGAGCCGTCTCTAATTTAGGTTAGGTAAGATTACTTTATTAAAACAAAAATGTCCATTTAAGTGAGGCTTTTAAAAGTTGAGAGTTTATTCATGTACAACAAAACTTTTTGTATTAGATTTTCATATTGTTTAGAGCAATAACGAAAACTTCTCAATTAAACCACTCAACTCAGAAAATGCAACATCATAACAAGTAGGAAACTGCGCTTGTCAGTGGTTTACATTAGGATAAATGATAATTAATAAATTTATTTAATGGTGTATTACAAGTTCAAAATGTATTCCACATATTTCAACTTTGGGAGCCAGGCAACAGTACAATTGGCTCCTATAAAAAAGGATGAATTACCTCGCACGTAGGTTAATAAATTTTATGATTACGTTACATATCAGAATAACAAGATGAGGAGGAATTTGTAAGTAGCAAATTGACATACCTAAATCCCACTCACTGAAAGAAGGTGAATCTGCACTATGCCAATGATCAACTATATGAGAGATTCCATGTTGACCTGAATCACTTCCTGAATGTTCTAAATTTTCATCGAAGTCTGATTCTGTAAAGGGATTTTGCGATGAACCAGGTAATTTGCCATCTGTTCTACAATGTCTGTTACTTAAAACACGACCACGACGACGATTAAGCAAGTAAGCTTTTAAGCGTTGTTTGACCTGGTATCAATACAACAAAACTTGGATGAAGCAAATGACTATTTGATAGAAATGTTGTTAACAAATTACTCCAGTTAAGGGTTTAAATTTAATAGGTACTGGAATAGGCTTCAGAGTTTATGGGAAGGTATTCCATAATATGATAAATACGATTAGCAAATAATAATGATAGTAGATCATTAAAAAATTAGTGACCCCATAATAATACTGTTAACATTTTTTGTCAGAGGTATAATTACGAACATTTCTTCTGGATGAATAACATCGACCTGAAATTTTGAACTGTTAATAGTTCGGCAGTGTAAATATTTTGTCCTAACTCCTTATGAGCCTTTAAATCAGCATCTCTGCATGATTTTGAGAAACTTTTCAAAAGAGGATGATTGACTCGAGTTTACGAAGTTATTTGTAATTCGGTCCCATTTGATTCTAAGTTTATTTTTTCGCCATCCAAGCGGGATAGTGCTCATCAGTTTGTTTTGCGAGAGAGCACATGGTAAAGTCGAGTTAATCAAGAACAAATAAACTGATAGAAATAAATTAATCTGGTGTAATATCTTAGATTATTTTTTGTTACGTTTACAACAACAGAATATAATGTTGTGTAGAAGGCTCTATTCAGATATCTTGATAGCCTTTGAAGAAAAATATCATCGCCAGCATCTTCTTTGAATCCGAATTTCGTTGACGGAATTGTCCTCATGGCTAAATAAGCATGATCTGGAGTCATTTTACCTTGCAAATTTCGACCAACGAATATTGAAAAGTATTCTTTCCCCATGAAGATTCTTTGAAGATTACCTAATTCGATAATTGATATCATGAACTGATCTAAATTAGACCACCATTAAAACTTGAAAGCAGTAGACGACCGTTTCGTTCTAGTATGAGACCCCTCATCAGTGTGTACACACGACCCTGGACGAGGGAGTTGAACCCAGAACTTTTGGTCTCGCGTGCGAACATCTAACTTCTAAACCATTAAGTCAGTCAGTCAGTAACAACGTAGAACTTCGTAAGTACGTACATCAGTTCGAGTCGCCACACCACATTAGCACAGAGATGCAATGGTCGATTCCAATTCCGTAGTGGTAGAGGTAATAATAGTATAAGCAGTAATCAGGAAAATTAGTGTTTGGAGATGTTATTTAAAGAGTATAATACAGTGAAATAAATTTGGGAAGAGTAAAAAAGAGACAAGGAGATCAAAATTTGGGAGAACACAAAGAGTGGATGCACCTGCGCCATTGCAACCGATTTTGAGCCATGTCATTCAGGGTCTCTAACCATCGGTTGCTATCATCTCGCGGTCCCCAACCAGGTAGTCTACACCTACCAACATGACTCAGTCCACTTGTCAGTGACTTCATGGACTTGTGCCATGTTTTGGTCTGGCCGCCCCTACCTTTTTCCAACCTACTCCTATACCACTGAACATCGCACGTCAAGGCAGTCGGTCGCTGGGCATACGTAACACATGTCCCAGCCATCTCAACTAATGAAGTTTCACTACGTCATTAATTGATTCGCCATCCTTACCTAGTACCCGTTTCCTAACAACTGCGTTACTTACTCGATAGTCCCAGGATATACGAGCAATATTTCGAAGACACGTATGATCAAATACTAGTAACCTACGAATATCCTCTACTCTTACCGGCCATGTTTCACTGCCATAAAGTAGGACGAAACGAACTGCTGCGCAGTAAACACGTCCTTTGGCTGATAGACGGATATCTCGCTTACGCCATAAATAACGCAAGTTGGTAAAAGCTAGTCGAGCCTTCTGTATCCGTGCTGAGATTTCGTCACACACCAGACCACAAGGGTTGATGAGACTTCCAAGATAAGTGAAGCGACCGACACGCTCAATTACTTCACTCCCTATCATTAGTTCGGGTGTCAATGCAACCCAATCCTGAAGCAATATTTTGCATTTTGAGGGGGAGAATCGCATCCCGAACATGCTTGGATTGTTGCTTAGAGTGATCGGAAGACTCTGCATTTTGTCAGCGTCTTCATAAAATAAAACTATGTCATCAGCATATTCTAAGTCAACAAGTGAACCTCCCGGTAAAAGTTCAACCCCTGGAAATTTAGACGAGGAAAGTGTTATCTCTAAAAGTACTTCGACGACAAAGTTGAACAAGAATGGAGAGAGTGGGCAGCCCTGACGAACACCACTCGAGGTAATCAATTCTGATGACAGTTCGCCACAAGCCCTCACTCGACCAGTTGTGTTCGAGTAGGGAGCCTTTACAAGATTAATGTACTTCTTTGGTACTCCTTTCAGTGACAAACACTGTCATAGAACCTTACGATCGACAGAGTCGAATGCTGCCTTAAGGTCGAGAAGTACTACGATTGTGGGGCGTCTGAATGTGTGTCTGTGTTCTAGAACCTGACGTAGTGTGAATATGTGGTCTATACAACCACGTCCAGGTCGACAACCAGCCTGATTTTCTCTAGTCTGCTCTTCACGAGCTTTAGTTAGGCGTCGAAGTATTATTGAAGCTAATATTTTTAGATACTATATTTGTCAAACTGATTCCTCTGTGATTGTCACAAGAGGACTTTTATCCTTTCTTATAGACTGGCACAATCAGTGATTGAGACCAGTCAGATGGGATTACGTCCAGTTCCCAAATTCTACCTAAGACCTCGGTTAATCTCATTGCTAATACTGGACCACCATCCCTAAAAATCTCAGGAGTAAACCTGTCAGGGCCTGCTGCTCTCCCTCGTTTCAGATTTCCTATGGCTTTTTCAACTTCGTGAAGGGACAGAGGACCTACATTAACTTGCCATTCAGGTTGACTAGAGATCGTGGGAAACCGAAGTGTGGCTGAAGGCCAGTTGAACTGATCCCTAAAGTGTTCTGCCCATCGACTCAATCTCCTGGATTGAGAATGTATAATATGTCCATCTTTCTCTGAGAGTGTTTCGCTAACAGTTGGTTTCCTAATACCGGTTTCCTTAACAAGTCTGAGCAATTGTCTGCTATTACCTATTGCCGCTGCCTTTTTCATCTTTCTTGCTTTCGCTACCCACCACTGTTCACGATCATTGTGTAGACTTCTTGTCAGCTTGCGCTTAAGCTGACTCCGCTCTTCATTATGTTTAGAGCCAGGTGGAATGAGTTTCCGAGCATCCATCAGTGCGACAGATGCTGCTGAGATCCAGTGTTGCTCCCTAACCTTACGGTTTACCGTACTAGCAGATATAACTGCTTTTCGGATATCATTCCATGGTGCCTCGGGGTGGGCATCACATACATGGGTGCCTGATTGTTTTTCTAGTTGTTCCTGAAACATACTCTTAGCTTGACTATCATTAAGTAGGGCCCTAAGAGGTTTACTTGCAGCGTCTTTCCTACGTCCAGTAAGACGCAAGCAAATACGCGCTCGCACTGGAGCATGATCTGAATCTAAGCATGTGCTCCAGAATGAGCGACAATCTTCTATCGAGCCCCTCCATCGGTGGCTGATAGCGATGTGATCTATTTGGGTCCAACGTTGGGACGAATTAGGGGGTCGCCATTTTAAAAGATGTTTTTCCTTATGCTTAAAGTTAGTATTTGCAAGGAACAGGCGGTTATCTGAGCATAGCTGCAACAGACGGTCGCCATTATCTGTTCTTTGAGTCACAACACCATAAGATCCACCTAGGTGTCTTTCCCCATCGCTTAGTTTACCTACTTGAGCATTAAAGTCACCGGCCACTATTACTACATCCGAGCGCCTAGCTTTTCGGAGAAGGTCGGAAAGCTTTCTGTAAAACTCATCTTTTACATCATCTGAGCTGCAGTCAGTGGGAGAATAGGCAGAGACGACGAAGAGGCAACGAGGAGTGTCCCTATCTTTTCGGATCCTTACTGTTCCGTCCAGTCGGACAGCGCACAAACGACTGTCTACTGGGATCCACTCTAAGAGAGCTAGTTCTGCCCTAGGACTCAATGCTATACCTACGCCGGCGAGGCCACTAGAAGCAGAATCAGGGCTTCCAGATACACGAAGTGTGAATGGAGTCGGCTCTTTATTTTAGCATGGTGAGGTCAAGTGAATGACGCTACTCGGATCCTGTATGGGCGTTTCGGAGACGCAGCACACATCGATGGCGCGGGATTCTAAAGTCTTAGCTAAGGAAGCCTGCTGTCCTATTTGGCACAGTGTTCGGACGTTAAAAGCTCTTACATGTAGTTTAGAGCGTGGTTTCAGGAGACCAGGAATAGCGTTCCGCGTACACGAATCGTTTGTCCTAGCGGTGCGAGGTGATAAAGAGGCGTGAGGAGGGTTAGTCATGGAGATAAGGGAGGTATTAGGAGGTGTAGGAAGGATTTGAATGTGACGAACTTGGTCTCGTGTGCTGTTATGGGTATGAGGGCTGGTGTCACTTCTAGGTTGCCTACACCGTGGAAGGGTATTTCTTGAGGAACCTGAAAAGGAAATTAGATTAGTGTTGATCCTAAAGACCTGGGAGCGTGACCGCAGAGCCCAAGGGACAACTGCTTGAGGCCGGTCGCGCACGGCCTTTTCGTGCAGGGTTTTTAATGTGTTAGCTCCGTTCTTGAAAGGGCCTTACCGCCGGAGACGGAAATCCGTGAGGTAAGGTGAGGTGTGACAGTTTTAGGGTCGACCTTTTCTAACCCCACCCCTCCTTGTGGGAAGGCAGCATCGCTGCAGATGCTGGTCGTCTGGGGGAAACACCTTACTGCTGTCACACCTCTCTACAGTCAGCAGTGCGATTTCGCCCTCAAACCATTAAGTCGACATCCAACGGTGAATTCGATCAACAGGCAGCTGTAGTTTATGGTACAAAGTTATTCAAATCCTACTGCTAATTAAGCTGGGAAAACTTTCAGACGGTAGACCGACTTTGTATACACGTATCTTCCTCATAGAAAGTACAGCTGAATAAAATTAGAATACAATGACTGTGATAAGATGACTAGTAGAGTAAGACCTAAATGCGCATGAGTTTCTTGGCTCGATAATGTTTGCATTGGTAAGATGGAAATTTTTTCTTTAAGGATATCAAGATCAAGTTTGGTAATTCTTTATTGTATACTTATACGCGATTACACATACAGATAATGAAACCATGGAGATATTGTAAATACATGAAACAATTAACCAATTATGCATTATGAATGACATTATATCCTCATCCTCGCATATTTTTCATATTTAAAATGCTGATTAGTTTGCAATATCGTTACTAAAACGATAAAACTTCATTTTTCTACATGCAGTAGGCGCTGGTGATATTACCCAGAACAGCAAAGAAAGATCCCCAATGAAATCATCTGGCTCAGAGAATAAAACACCACTAAAAACTTTAATCTGTTTTACTAAGGTGACAATTTCGAGCAACTGTATGCCTCAGCTATAAAGCTATGACGAAAACCGCTAAAACAACTAATGGTACTACATATCAAATTATTCTGTATACATGGAAAATGTTACAACCACTTTTAATAGGAAGATATCGTCATTAAATTACTGCTTTCATTACATCACAGATAGTTTTAAAATTTTAACCCTTGTTAGCTGAGAAATACCTTTCTATTTTGTTATTGTTTTGAATACATAAGCCAATAAATTTGGGATCAAGGAAAAACAAGATATACTTTCATAAAAAACCTGATTTTTGTTCAGGCGTAGTGAAAACCATGATTTAATCGTTGGTTATTTTGAGACAGCAGATGGACGGCTTTAGCACATTCTAGATAAAAGCTTCTAGTGGCACCGTATCGAAAAATGAAGCTGAGACTGGGACAGAGAAGTCAGTTACGTAACGCTGAGATGAAGGATAGTTGTATGAAGTTAGTATTTCTTGGTTCATCGTAACTGCAGTTTCAGATTTGATTAAACATATTTCGACGTCAAAGTCAGTGATCACCGATCATCCGGATATATAAGATTTTAGCCGTATTGTTAAATCGCCCAGGATCGCGAACGGCAAACATTAGTGGAAGGTAAATATAAACAAAGATGATAGAACAGTGTTAAATGTGTAGATGATCACTATTTAAAGGAATAGACATCTATAAATCCGAGCATTGCTATTTGTCTTCAGTGGTAGTCATCTAACTTATCAGCGATTTCGCAACGTTTAAAATTCATAATAAGTACTGAACTTAACTGTCACTTCACAGTTAACATTAAATAAATATTCGTCAGTTTTACTTATGTACAACCGCTTAGCCTTCAAAGATAAGTGATCCCATTTATCATGAAACGGCAGGTTAGTTAGCACCAAGCCATAGAAATATACTAGTAGCAATTTTAACAACTAGTTTTAGTTTTAAACTACTACTTATTATAAGCAAAGAACATGTCTATAAGTGATAAATATGCACTATCATTTCGCACATTGTGCATTGCACTGGCAAGTCAAAAAGACCTTATGAAATCTATAATGCAATCATTTACTTAGATGATGCATTTTTATTTTCATCAGAACTATTAGAACGCAGTCCTGATAAAAATTATCTTCTGGTTGAATTACCAAAATTTGTCAAAAAGAGTTTTAAATCATATTTATGACTGCAACCATTGATCTCAGTAAAGTTTAAAACATTGTAGCTAAACTTGAGGGCTAATGATCTTACATTTTAAAATATTATTGCGAACTAAACAGCTAGAATACTAACCTGCGTTGAAGAAAGGCGACCTTCTCCTCCTTGATCAAAGGATACTTGACGTGACAGAAATGAGGAGCGAGAAGGGTTTGATGATATGCTTGCTGAATACTCTGGAGATGTTGGTAGTAGTTGGTGGTAAGAAGTACGTAGAGATAAACCATCTCCCGATCTGGTGGTTGTATATGTTTCGGTCGATGCACCTTTTGTAAATGGTGGATGAGTAATACGATGTCCTGTGCTGCTGGATAGTTCAACAAGAGAAGAAGTAGACTTCAGAGATCCAACCGTTCTATTGGGTCCTCTTTGATCCATTCACACATAAGAATGGTTGAATATCCTTAACAGATGGTTAAGTCTGGTAACTGGGTGAAGTTGCTGAAAAAGAAAAGTATGTAAACTAAGGTGTATCTTAAGAAAGTTAAGCACACTATCGTCTCAAACCCATCCAGAAAAATAAAATGGATGATATTATAGTGTGTATGCCAAACATTAAAATTAGAACCAAGGATATTTAAGAGTAAAAGTAACGAATGTTGTATAATGTTGCCCCATGTAGTTCCTTCAACAGATAACAGCACAAATAAATTTGGACTGTGCAGATTAGTGCTGAAACAATAATATAGATAATGATTAGTAAATGAAGGTCTCCTATAGTAAGATCCTACTAGAAATATTTCTTTATGTTAGGAACCTAATCTAAAGATTAAATTAAAGGAAAACATATGTATGTATATTCAGGGGAAATTTGAAGAGGTTATGATATATTGATGACCTCAGGTAGTGCCAAGAATTCAGGCTGTTTTTTAACCAATATCTGAACAGGTCATCGAAATAAAGTATGTTGACAAAAACAGAATGAAGTAGCAATATATGTGGTCTACGAGTTTTCGAAAGGTTCATGATCACTTTGATTTGTCTTAAAACAGGCTACTTTAGCGACAAAAGGTCACTCATTCAAGAGACCAGTTATTATTCATGTCTTTTATTAAACCAAAAATACACTTATTAACGACTCCGCAGTTTCTACAATACTTGTGTTAAGACTTGCTGACACTAAAAAGATGGTGTCAGTAGATCACTGTCCGAGAACCACAAAAATAAAGATCTCAATACTACTAGGGAGTCGTCTTAAACAGGAGTGTGGCGCATATATATCTGGTGTCCCCTTGTACCAATATTAATGTGTTCAAATAAATAAATACTTAAACAGGGGTATGTTACTCAATGAATTAGTAATAACATCAACTAGTTGAAAGCAAACGAATTATCAATAAATTATTCTAGGTAGAATATATATCAGAAAACGTAAATTTATACCACATTATTCCTACTGAAAGGTAGAATTACAGACCTTTTCTTACTACTCATCTCTTAAGAAACAAAAATATCTTCTACAAAGCTTATCACAAAATAAATGCTAACTGGTGTTGCTTTTGGAATTATGGAATGCTTTTACCTTTAAAAAATGTTATAACTTAATCCATTAATAATTTTGCAAACAACTGACTTATACATTCAGAGAAGTAGGGAAATAAGGTTGGTTACAAATGATGAAGAATCCATTAAGTGAACAGTAAGCTATGTTAAAGATACGGATACAGATAACAGAAATCTAAGGTAGACTAGCCACCACACCAAGTCTACAACTAAGCGTATGAAGCTGAAGCACGTATGTCGTAATATACACATAGGACAACATACATTTTGGCTTAATTTTCACTAAGAGGTATCAAATTGTTATGTACGGAATCCAATCGATCAATGACAGTTTAGTCGTGAAATACTGGAAATTGCAGCTCTAAAGGAGAAGAGATATGGAACTCAGTGACTCTGTTATTCCTATTAGGAAGATATGAAGAGTAAAGTTAAATAAGGGTGAGCTAGTAATGAAAGTGTGAATTGTTTTAAGGTCATGGCACAGTAACACAGAATGTTGTTTACCAAACATAAAATGGATGACCACTAAGAAAAACATCTGAACTTATTTAAAACCAATTGATAGTTAAGAAAAACCATAGTTTGTGACTACAGTGCTGAAATGGGTATCTATGAAAACAGTGGCAATTCAGATGAAACGATATTTTGTTGTAATGATCGCTGGTCTAAGGAACCCCATTTTTGTCCATTCCATTTTAACACTCGGGTTATTATTGTTCCTATAGTCCAACCTAACCGACCAAACTACGACAAAGTATAAGCTTTATCCGTATCACGCGACTAATAAGAACCTACCAATTGAATGCACTAGGTGTAGGATCAAGCGCTTTCAATAGACAGAAGATAGAATGGAACTATAAACTTTTAAACGATCGGTTACAGTCGACTGTATGGAGTATAGAGACGTATCTTTATACAACGATTACCACCAAAAAGTACACGTAGGTAGATTGATCAAAGAACTCAAGCTAATGTCCGTTTAACTTATTAGATTTTAAAACAAACCTTCAAATTCAAGTAACAAAGTAAGAGGTGGTCTGATGATTAGAAAAACTATGACTGATGCTTGGGTTTGAAGTGACACTTTCCAGTGAGCTAAATGGTCTTCAAATGTTTTTCTAATGAACTAACAAGTAGAACGTGAGAAACGGAATAAGCGATCTAGACAATACGCTTTCTTAACTCCTGGAGTTACGTTGAAAACGAAATATGCTTACAGTTAAAACTATCTGGCATCTATGAGTTACATACTGTTATATGAGGATGTGAAATTCAACACGGTATGCAAGTGAGGAATGAGTTCATGATAAACCAGTTCGTGATGAAAACTGTAAATGTGATTCCCGAAAAAAACCGTCAACTACAAATCAAAATTCATATAATTCACACACGTTTATAACTCATTTAGCTCTAGCAACTAGGTAGACATTCTCAGGACCATTTTAACGTCGCTTAAAGGTCATCTACAATTTATAGTCTCACCCCTCGAAATCATGATTAGTCCGTGTTTTTAAAATATAGTATTCACCGTTTAAAAAAACAACTAACCAACAAATTAAGCTTTGGAACAATAAGTCGAGTTCCAAGTTTAAAATTACTTACTGTTTTTACGGTAACAATGAAGAGGAGCCCGAATTTCCTATATCTGGATCCTGAAAACTTCGGAGGTGGCGCTGGACATAAGGTCACAATTTCCAGCCTCACTTGTGCGGATAAACAAACTTGCTCTAACAACCAATATCTCGTTGAAAAGCCGATACTGCTGTACTTGATTTAAACATATTGGCATTTTGGATCCTTTTAACGTTCCAGCATATTATTCTGGCTAACAACTTCTAAAATTACTTACGTCATCAATATAAGGTGAAATTTCGGCAGATGCTGGAAATGTTACTTGCGCAAGGTTACAACAGCCACATTCTTGGTACTGAAACTCATCGAATGGGATATCTCGATAAAATGAATAACACAGAACAGCTGATTATCTAAATGATAATTGAAGAAGCGAAGCCGCGTCTCTCAGTATGCCAGAACAAACCATGTCCTAGTAAGATGTGCCGTCCCTTAGAAGCTGCATTGAGTGGTTCATCAGTCTATTACTCAGGTTCTTTCCCATGAATTTTGCTGTCCTGAAGTACGCGCGCTTTAAGAATGGGGAATACTATCCGAACGAGATTTGCATTTCACAAACTTTAGTTTAGTCTTGTGCAACAAAAGTACCATTTTTGATCCATAGAATATGTTCCGATCCGGACGCTCATCAGATGCTTTTATTTTGCCTGACCTAACTATTCGATTTTTACGGTTTTTCATGTCAAGAGGCTAGCTATAGTATATCCTAAGTCTCTATACTACGCATTTTTATCCGTTTTATCCATTTTGAATATATATATGTTTTTCTCCGCGTACATAAACGTATGCTGGAACTTGTCTAACAACTTATATTTCACTAATGTTACTAAGGATGCTGTGTGCTCTGTTTTTCGGTTTTTAGTGTCAGCCACGAAATCGGTTTGAGCACTCAAATTCAAACTTTATGAAGGGCACCTCAAGTCACTGAACCTTTACCTATTAGAGTATCGGTGACCCAGATTTAACCTTCCAATGATTCAAAGCACCCTCAAATACTTACTCAAGCTCAGTCTAACACTGTAAAATGGAATACTCAACATCACTGTGTTGGAAATACCTTTGTTCTGGAAATTATTTACGACATTCTCACCTGTTAAGATGCCTAAAATGTTGCTTACTAAGTAGAGAAGCCAACAATAAATTGAATCTGAAAACTGTAAGGGGTGTAGATTATATCATTATATCATTTCACTCCTGTGAAATGTTTATATATGGAACTACGTTACATGTACTGAATTACATGAGAAAATGCATCATACATATATCATAAGTTTGATGTTTTTCTTCTGCTTCCTGTACGATGGCAATCACAAACGGATTCGAAATTTACCAGTGTTAAAGTTTGAGGATTTTAAGGTACCTACAGTTTTAATCCTAGTCATATTAGACTAATATTCACACTCCGTCAGAAAGTGAAATCGAAGTTTAGAAGTTCGTTAGTACTCTCTATTGCCTAATACGGGGAACAAATGAAAAGCGGTTTTGACTACTGTAAACTTGAAAACAATTCATCGACTTTTAGTGAAAGACAATGAATGTAATGTACACATCATGTGAGGATGTAAACAATTACGAACTTATATTGAGATTCATTTGACCTAAAAATATTTTGAGCCGATTTTTTCTCCAGTTTTTCTTCTATTGTCGTGCGTCCTATTAGCCTCTCTCCAAAAATGACTTACCTAGGTATATCGGTTTGAGTGATTTAGGAAGAGCTGCAGATCACGGAGTCCAGCTGCAGCAATCGGTAAGATGCTCAGGATTTATATATATATATATATATAATATCTGTTCAGCTTTCATTGCTTCAAAGTTGCTGGGCATCAATACATGGACTTTCGTCACTTATCGATACAGGTCGAGAGTACAGCGATTTTTATTAAAAATATGTATTTATTGACAGTTCGCAGGTGTTGGTGTTACTACTTTGAGATTCGGTTCGTTCAATATTTATTTGAATTTTTTTACCCATGGTTGCCAGAGAATTCAATCGGTGTTCGTTGACCAAGGAGAATATACGTAAAAATCAATGGAATTCAGATAATCACAATCAGGGTTTAGCTAGAATCCAGTGAATCACCACAGACGATGATTACAATAAAAAAATTCGTCTTTACCAAATCTGCAAATTTAAGTGCATGTGCCATTTCTTACCAGATAAGGTAAGTCATTCATTCGTTATTGTGTACGCTCACCGTAAACTTACAATGGAATGTTAAGCAGAATAAATCCTGGTGTTTTATGCCACTATTGTGAGAGGCTTATTTTATTACTCCGTAGCCTGACCTAGTCAGATGAATCACAATAAAGTATTTTAATTTCCTGTGCAAGTTAGCGCTGCAATTTATGCCTAGCATACTTCCTAATGCTTGAAACCATGTTTTGATGCATATGTCAGGTTAACTGCAACGTCATTATTAACAATCATGGAGTTGGAAAATTAATTGTTGGTAACTTTCGAAAGACGTTGTCTACCAGCTTAGCAGATGGCCGCATTCTCTTTTAATGTCACTAAGTCGACTAAATGGCAGGATGTTGTTCTATCCAATGGCCCATCATGTGGTGAAAACGTCAATCAGAACACTGACTTATTTGACAATGCTTCTGTGACAAATCAATGATGAGTTAACCAGCACGAGCAGCCTTGAGTCATCCCTCAATTCTTATTGGTCCTGTGTGTAGAAGCTTCTTGCTTAACCCTGCTTATTTATTCCAGAACACAAGTATCGTATATTTCAGACACATGTGATTTATATACAAACAGAACGGACTGCATCATACCATAAAATGAAAAATAATAATTTTACAAGATCAAGCCTGAACGTGGCTGTAAGTATGAGGCACCGTAATTAATAAATTGAGGGCGGGTTAAGAATGGTAGATCATATAACACAAGCCAATGGGTCAACTAAAATGCTTATGACAAAAGGAATACGAATACGTATATAATCTAATCACATAATAATTATTCGGAAAATACATGTGTAACAATAGTCCATAAATAATTCCTAGCAGTTTTAGCAACCAGCAATCTGGCTTCAGCTAGATCTTATGATCGTTATCGAATGACTGCTGTAGAAATATGCATACCGCCAGTCCTCGAATATAATCATCCACTTAACTCGCGTTAGTACATAACGGAATTAAATGTGTCGAATATGCGAATGATCTTTTGAAAGAGCGTATTTCGTAAACTCATTGATCTGGACAGATAATCAAAGGAACAAAGCAAAAGAAGGGAGCGAAGCGAAATGATGCGCAGTGGAGAAGACGTGTAAGTCAGCTCGATATAATCAAGCGTAAGTCGGTATTTATGGTCATCAGAAACTAGGTCCAGACGTGTGATCAATAGGAGAAGAATTGTACACACATATTCCTACGTAAAATCAATCAAGGTCGATGGAGGAATAATTAACAGGGTCGTACTGCGAATGAAGAAGAATGAATAGATTGGCTTGTCCGGAAGCTAGAATAAGCTGTGTGGACTTGCATAGTACTACAGTCATCATTCATCTATTCTTCATTCGGATATAGCGAACGTTATCTTCGTTTAACAGATCTTGCATCTTCGTTGTAATAACAGTGAATTCATTCAGCGTTACATGTTAAGTAAGGGATGGTTCAAACAATTTCGTTGTGGCGCGTATATGAATATAACGTTATATTTATCGCGCTTGACCAGATTGATATTCTGTCCATCGACTTTATCATGATTAATTTTAAAGAGTAACATATAAGGATACTGATTTTAAGTCATTTTCTGTGTAGATGCACCATTTCGTGTACACATCCTGTGTCGGAAAACCTTTTATTCCGCTTTCAAACGTAACGTCGATGGGGTAACTTCCCTTTGCAAAGTTCTGTATGTGTGCGGTTTTAGACATTTCCAACTGTCTTACTGAGGGGTTAAATTCTCGATTATCGCCGTTTTATCAAATTTATTTGATTCATTGACAAGCGACAGAAACTTCGTTTTTCAATACAAAACAAACACTCAATTTTGTAGGTTGCCGGAGCAGAAACTCGTAAATACCAAACCAAAGAAAAAAGAAACCAAAATGTCCAAAAATAGTGATAAACAAACACGTTCAGACGTTGAGTAAAACAAATATGTCCAAAAAACACAGTAAAATTATTAATATGCAATATAAATGTTTTAATCAGACGAATGTCCTCAGTTCTCACGTAACAATTTACTAATTATGCTAGTTTCAACCCATAAATTTATGATGTCTGGATGCAACAATGATTTCCTTGTACGTCATTCCCGACTAATAAAAATTCTAAATATATTACCTAAGACAACTCTCACAGAGTCCTCTCCGACTCAAATACTGGTCCGTACATAGCCGCTAGAGTACAAACTGCACATCCCTGTGTCATACCAGATAGCAGAAGAAAATAATTTACTTCTGATTACCATAGTAATCTTACAGTACCATCGTTGTTACGTTTTGTATAGAAAAGTTGTTAGACTTACTCACAAGCATTGAAATTCTGATTAGAATAGGTATTACTTTACATTCGTGTTACCAAATTATTATTCCTTGTCTATTAAAAAGGAACGACCTTACGCCGACTCTATATCATATGTCCTGACCTACCCTACCGTGGTGTTAAACGTCTCCCTGTTTTAAAACACTTTTAAAAAGCATGCAGCGTGGCGTCGAGTTGGGATTAACTATGAACACCGCTACCAAGAAACACGTGCCAAATAAATCAGAAGGCGAAGGTTGAACGTAACCAAATAAATCCATAAAATCTCCGAGAAGCCAAATATCAGAAGGCAGTTAATGGACCAAGTCGAGTTATATTTGCTGGCGATCTCGTGGCATCGAAAGGATACCGAGATCGTGCCAGGATACAAGCTTGGTTACAGAACGTAACCGAATTCGCGCGAAGTCACAATCAAAAGTGCAAGTATAAGAATGGAAGCACAAAATAGCTGTCATTAGCACAGTCAAACAAAAGCACATTAAAACAAACACTGGTACAGTTGGTTATAATAATAATTGTTTTTATTAAACCAGTCGTGTTCTCGTGATAAATGTGAGTCACTACAAGCTAATCAAATCTTGTGGATGAAGCGTTATGTTGGTTATGATGAAAAAGATTTACATAATATAGCCATATCTGCATGATTGAGTCGTGCAGTCT